GCGTTGCAGCCGCGCTCACAGCCATCTGCCCACTATAGGCACCAGGCGCAGCCCCTGCGGACTGGCTCATCGGCATACTCGCCACCGGCGTCATCGCGCTCACCGGCTGGAACGAGGGGGAGAACGCGCTCGCGGGCGTCGCCCCGCCTCCGCCCATCGGCGTCTGCGCGATCGTCAGCCCTCCGTACGAGGGGATCGCCGCCATCAACAAAGCGCTCGGAGTCGGCGCCGGAACCATCATGTGCGTCGGTGTCGGCACGGACGGCACCGGTCGAGACAAGACCGTCGTAGTCTGCACAGGCACGCTCTGCATCGGAGCCGCGTTTGGCGTCGGCACTCCCGTGGCCGCCACCGTTCCAGCCGCTCCCCCAAGATATTGTTGCAGTGCCTGCCGCACCAGCGAGTCGAGGTACGCCTCTGCCGAGGGGTTCACGTTCCCCCGTGCGGGCGCACTCTGAGTCGGCCGGGCCGCTACCGTCGGCTGCGCAGACACCACCGGCTGGCTCACTGGCCACGCCGCGCTCGGAGCTTGATACGCTTGGGCGGCCGCACTTGACGTAGTCGGCCCCTATCCCGTGCCTCCCGCCGTCGGCGGAGGTAGACTCGTTCCTCCTCCCTGTTGAACCGTAGGACCCTAGGATGCCGGTGGGGGCGTGCTCAAAGCCCGCGTCAATACCCGCGTCAATACCCGCGCCAGCAATTCCACGTTCGGATTCCCGCTCGACCCGTGAGCCCCACCCGACGGTACCGGTCCGGTACCTGCCGTCGAAGTGGTACTCGCGGAACTCATTGTCGAGGGAGCCGCCGAAGCCACTGTCGCCGCAGACACCGTGGTAGGAGGCGGCCCCGTGCTCGCCGCTGTCGGCGCCGGCGGTCCCATACCAGCCGCCATCGCCGCTACGTCGGCCCACGTCAGGGTCCTCGTCGTCCTCGTTCTTGTAGGGGCAGGGGCCGGAGTAGGGGCCCCGCTCGCTCCCGCCATTGACGCGGCGGGCGGAGTTGCAAACGCGGAAGTCGGCACCGCGCTCGTATTTCCCGGGCGTCGCCTTACCCGGCACACTCTCGCTCGACCTTGGCCCCGAGGACGTCGCCACTACCGTCGCCACCACGCCCGTCGTCGCAGGCACGTCCCGGGCCTCACCGCCAGCCACCGCAGGAGCTCTTAGCACCAGCTCCCGGAGGGAGGCGTCCAGCGCACGCCGCCCACGCGACGTCTCCAGCAGGCTCACACGCCCCTGGGCCTCGGCGCCCATCCTCAGGTCCGGCCGCTCGGGCGCCTCGCCCATGGGCACCGCCGAGGCCTCTGCACCTGGAGCCTCGTCGTCTTGCCCGACGGCTTGCTCTTCCACGATCGGGCCCAGCACGTTGCCAGCCGCCACTTCCTCAGCGCTGGCCTCGCTCTCGCTGCTGCAGAACACGTCCGCGGCGCCCTCGAAGTCGAAGTTCGACTCGCTCCCGTCGGTCACGCCACCACCCTGCCCGTCGCTGGGCGTCCTTGGAGAACTCATCCAGTTCCCCACCGCCTTCTTCCTTCAGCACGCCTTGATCCAGGCGCCTCTCTTGTCAGTGAGAAGTACCCTGCTTCTCCACTAACTTGTCGCGGTCCTCCTCCGTTAGGGTCGAGTACTTCGGCCAACAAAGAGTAGCCGCGTAGCTTGCTGGTACGACGCTAGAAGAAAGGAAGGCAATCTCGTAAAAATGCAAAGGGTTTCTTGCTTTCAACGAGGACAATTCACGACTGAATCCTTCACCACATCATACGCGGCCGACGGCTACCCCGCCGACCCGCTTCCTTTCCTACTGCAACCACTTGGGGACGCCACACCTCCCGTGCACGAGCTTCCTGGCGTTCATGACACCCGTCCTTGGCGGCTGGCGACCGAACGTTCCGCGCCCAGCCCGCCATCTCGCGTCATCTTTGCCTTGAAGAGTGGGATAACCACTCACACTTGATATGCTAGCCCGTCCTGCCCTTGCTCCTCTTGAAGTCGCGCCTCTTCCTGCTCTAACGCGCCTTCGAGCATCGTCAGGAAAGCTGTCAGTTGAGGTCTCAGACGTGACCCGTGACACGGACTACTACGATGAACAACGTATTGTGTACTAGTAAGCATTGTATTCTTTCGATCAATATGAGGCATCGGTGCTAATGATGCTGACCTTGGACACAACTGGTATCACATCACTGCATCGTACTGTACATGCAGCTTCAAAGCACTCAACATAGTACTTACTCATTCCATTAGCGGTAAAATTATCGATTCGATCTGTTATGACTCATAACTTATGAGTCATAACTTATACCCTCCTCTTTCAGACACAGATTTTCTTCTGCATGCATAGTTTCTCAGAGAGAGATATTGAAAATCGTGTGTCAGCTGAGTTTGCCCATAAACTGTCGGCGGGCTGATATTGTGTGAATCCCCACACTCACTGGAATTAATCCGGATGGATTAGATAAAACATTCCACTAAAACATTCCACTAAAACATTGCAAAAAACTACTTCAAGTCCTAGGTTGTGCGATCCAAGATAGGAAGTATAGCTCGATTTTTTTTCGTTCAACAATTTTTTTTTTAATCCGAACTCAACTCTATCCGCCGGTAATGCGGTGACGTCCTATAAGGTGACGAACGAATTCATTCAGCGGAGACTCAAAAGAGCTGCACCTGGTGGTACGTCGTCTCCGGAAAAAGGCTAAAGGCTAGCTGCACTAGTTTAGGCATTTATCTATGAAGACTTGGATGATTTAAGCTTGTCTTGTGTGAGACTACAATGCGACCCACAGAGATCCACCGAACTGGTGGTGTAGAATGATCTACTACTTGATCCTGTTCTTGTCAAAACAAGTTCAAAGTACAGCAGTTCAGTTTCCCAAGAGCGTACAACCAGCAATAACCAGTTAATCAATCATCAGTTTTCTCCCAGCCAGGCCGCAAAATGCCCCGTCCGTGGGATAGCTAGTTCAAGGCTGTGTGGTGACACACAATTTTCAATATAAGGCTACAGAAAGTGGTGATTTGCCGCTTTTCCCAGACTTGCAAAAATCGCCCCATCGTCATCCCACCGTATTGCAAAACTCATCAGGTGCATGACCGCCCTATGATATTGCATGCATGCTGCACTCATATGTGGTTGGCCAAATGAACCGTTCAGGTGGGTATATTCGCTGGAAACGGCTACCATGCCATAGGACAGTTATGTTAAGGTGTATGGGCCACTTTTTACTGGATTCGGGGACATGGTGCCAACTTCTTGTGGGCAAGTATCCCTCCGCCTGTGCATGCAATATCATAGGGCGGTCATGCACCTGGTGAGTTTTGCAAAACGGTGGGATGCCGATGGGGCGATTTTTGCAAGTCTGGGAAAAGCGGCAAATCACCACTTTCTGTAGCCTTATATTGAAAATTGTGTGTCACCACACAGCCTTGAACTCACGGAAGGGGCATTTTGCGGCCTGGCTGGGAAACTTAGCAACTTGATTGAGAAATGGTGTCCATGCATACAGCACCTTCAGATTAATACTTGATAAATGGCAATATCACACTTGGACGAATCGAAGCTGACAGTTTTTTTTGTTGTTAGATCTTCAGGCGACCCGGACAAAATATGTGTGCGGCTACACCATGTTTTATCAAACAGAGTTTGAATGCTCCTACGTTGTCGCTGTACGCCGCGCATCCTGTGCGAGAGGAAGCACCGGGCGGACATTGTCAAAGCGAAGGCCGAACACCCGGTGTATCCTACTCCTACACGCGATCGAAATCTGCTAGACCTCAGTTTAAACTCATCATACTTGAAACAAATTGCTGGCTTCATCGGGTTATCCTCCTGGCAGCGCTAATTATTCGAATGCACGTTTTTTTCTTGTTTTATCGTCACCTGTAAGTTTCCGAGCACAACACTGCAATCTAAACAATAAAGGATTCTGCCTGGGCATCAGCGCACATTTCAGTAGCAGGAAGGAAGGAAATTACGGTAATTACCTCGCTGTTGATAACCGTTCTACTAACTACAAAGAACAAAATTTAAAACTAAATCCGTGGAGCCCTCATTCGACGAGCAGGAGGAGGCAGAATCATTACGGTGGGTTTGTCAAACCCAATCGTTGAAGTACCGATCCGTTGGTGTGACGATAGATGTATATGAACTGGCAATGCCTTTGAAAATAAGCGATCAAACTTTGTATACTTGGTTGTACCGTGGTAGATTAGGCAGATGCTGCGGCTGTGAAGAAGGCGTAGGGGGTGCCCGAGTACATCGTTTCCCTGTAAGGTATCCGTACAAATTAGCTTCGAACTGCGAAACCCCCGGGTCCACCACCCGGGTCCCCTATATTTTTATCCAAAAAAGAGATAACGGCAAACAAATGCATACAGACTAGAGCGTGAGAGCGAGACGCCTGATATATTCGGATTTAAAAGGGAAACATATGTGGAAGACTCCACGTTATGTTGGAGTCTACAACTAATACCCGTTTTCACCGATGAGATCAGGTATTAGATTCAATGTAAAATACATAACGTGGAGTCTTCTACATATGATTCCCTTTTAAATCCGGATATATCAGGCGTCTCGTTCCCACGCTCTAGTCTGTATATGAAATGAAATGAGTCGCGTGTTTCGCATAGCCTAGTTACTCCGTCCCAGACTCTATATTGCTAGGTTGGTGTAAAAAACAGGCGAGGCAAACCGCTACTGTACCCACAACTGGGTACAGTTCCGGTTTGAACCTTTTTCCGCATCCGCCAGGAAATGTGAGGCTCTCCGTGCTCCACCTCCCACCTCCTCGTTCTTGGTGAAAATGACGGCACGCTGCGTCGCTCTCCTTCACAGGTGTCTATGTCAACGTCTGGAAGCCGTCGGTACCCGTCGATCGATGTAACACTCCACGTTTTGTGCCTTGATTTGTAGTATCTGTTCTGCTCCTTGCACGTCCGCGCATCGGTCTTCAGCATGTCCAGCGTAGCCTCGCGCCTTGATCTGTAGTATCTGTTCTTGTGTCATGCGCTCCTCCTGCCGAATCCTTCGTCCACCGTCGTGTTGAGTACAAAGTCCTGCTCGGGAGTCCGCCCTACGCCTTGGTCTTGTCGTGCGTCCAGTTCATCTTCCTGGGCCATGCCGTTAACAGCCCGCCAGATACGACGAACCCGGTCATAGCGCGCAGCGAAGCCTCTGCGCAGCGAGTCCTTGGCCACGGCTTGCCACCACCTCACCGCCTTGCCCACGAAGACATCCCCACATGTCCCGCAAGGGACTAAACGCTTCCCGAAGGCAGCGCCCGCAGAGCGGCGCCGAGACTCAGCTCGAGACCGTCTACGGGGAGGATGTCACCCCAACCCGACCAAAATAAAATGCATATACCATATGGTAATGACGGCGTTGATTCATATAACGATTGGTCACGCTCTGTGATTGGTTGGATAACATGATATTTCGACAAGGCCGTGCTCTGCCCGGAACAGCTCTGGATTTTACGTTACATGTACTCTTGGGCGTATAATTCATCAACCTAGGTACAACTGATTTTGTAAAAAGTAGGTCCCGGTGGCTATGCCGGTAACTATGAATTGTACTGATTTAAACTATCACCTTATTACGCGCTTCGAGCGGTCATCCGACCCTGAAGGATCGCTGCGCTCGCCCTAGTAAGCCCACTTCAGCTCGCACACCGCGCTTGCTAGAAGGCAATGCTGGGCCCTGGGTTTGTATCCGCGTGCTTCTCAGACGGGCTGACAATACGCAGGCGGGGGGCTCGCTTCGTGCTATGGCCTGACCTACTTATAAGTACGTCATCAATCTACTAACGTTTCCACGAATGAGACTTGCCTACGTATGTAGAGTAATTCCTCGCTTATTAGCTACAAAGTCGTGCCTCCGGCCCGAAGAAGCTCTCGAATTTCAGGTTTTCAAAAACCAATATGATTGGCGAAGCAAAAGAGGAAAGGGATGCACGTTAGGTTGAAATGTTCTTTTCCTCTACACTTAAGCAAATTCAGGGTTCTTCTCCGATTTTTCAATCGCTGCAAGATCCACGCTCAGCTTCTCCACGAAATTTGGGTTCCAGACGTGGTGTAGTCAATTCCGCACTAGAGAGCGAAAGCAAAAGTGAGATTCCTTCCTTAAAACAAAACTGCTCTACCGCGGTGGCCAGTGCTAGTTGGTCGATGCGCAAACGGCAAGTTGCGCATTCGCTTCTCCGACGAGAGCTTCTCCGACGGCCGTAAGCAAGAGGCGAGTCCGACCCTGCAACTGGGCGACCGCCAAAGCTCGCGCTGCTTGAGCATCCTTGCATCTGCTACACCGCCCTCCAAGAGCTGCAGCGCGTCGCCCGGTTGGCCGGCTTGCCACACGTAACGCCATGTCTTGTTAGGCTTGACCGGCCGTTCGACGGTGGTCGCTAGCGCTGTCTTCAGCGCCGCGCTGCCGCTGATCCCGACATACTCGTTGACCTTGACGGGTACCTCAGCGGCCATTGCACTCAGCAATTCCCACGGGTTCTCTTCATCTTGGAGGCCACTCGTTGCTCGACTTGGCGAAACGGTAATCCTTGAACTGCTCGATCTCTAACATCATGCCTTGATTGCCGACATACGCGATGAGCTCCTCGGTGACATCCATATGAGGCGAGGCGGGTGAACGCCTGACCGCCCAGGTGTATAGCTTGACGCGTGCCGGGTGTAGACTCCCGAATGGGGTGCACCCAGAACAAACCCTAGCCGGAGATAGTACACCTAGATGTACACTCCAACCGGGGTGGCGTGTGTCCTTGTGAACAATCTTTGTGGGTTCGTTTGTCTTCGTAACCAGGGGTCTTCAACCGTGGATGAGTTGTCTTGATACTTGTAGGTCGCTAGGTAGCAGGGCAGAACGTAACCTTCCTGGACGTCGCCTCTGACAGCCCTCAGATAACCAAACAATACAAACAGATACAGAGTTATATACAAACACGTAGCCCTTCCTTATTCTTTTGGACCGTGAAAGGGTCGGTCACTACTCCAGTCAACTCCAGCCGGACTCCGGGATACTGGTCAATCCCGGTCGGCTTTGGCTCACGCGCACCACCCTCAAGTACTGAGGGCAACTAACACAATCAACTACCTCCTATCACACAAGAGATCTTAAATCAATACTTCCCATCCGGGGCTACTCCAACCGGGGTGGAAAGGTAATCGGTAATATGAAATGCGGGGCCTTCCTGGTCTGGACGAGCTCAACCGCAACTAGGAAATGAAATGGGGTGGATCAACCTCGGGTTGTCGCCCGGTACTCACCCCAACTTGGACTGGACTTGGTTGCGGGAGCTCGACCCAGATGTCACAGTTGCTGGGCCCTCACACGTAGACTTAGTCGGTCCTCCGGGAATGCACGTCCGGTAGGCTGCTCCAACTCACTTGTGCGATCCTTGGCAAAACGAACTCTGTTTATCTGTTATCTGTGGTCTCTCTGTCTGTCTGTCTGTCTGTCTGTCTGGCTATCTGTCTGGCTGTCTGTCTGGCTGTCTGTCTGGCTGTCTGTCTGTCTGGCTATCTTCTGTCGATCTTTACCTGCACTCCATCTTGACTTGTCTTCACTATGGTCTTGTCGTCGTAATCGTCCGCGGTCCCTCGTAACATACTTCCAGCAAGTATAATCATCACTGGGTACGCAAGCGAAGTTCAATGTTCCACGGAATCCGAACAGATCTTGGCTGGTCGGCTTGGTCGGTCGGAAACATCTTGGACTTTGTATACTGGATCTTCACATCTGGGATGGTATCTTGGTATCTTGGTATCTCCATTCGGGATTCATGATTATCTCCAAACGGGATCACACTCCACTTGGGCTTCACATCCGGGGTATCTTGGACAGCTTCACGGTTTCTGGGTCTTCACTCAATCCGGTCGGGCTCCTCTTGCGTTGTACAGTGCACCAAGAGCAGGCGGCCTCCAGTCGGAGGCACTTTTACGCTCCCTTGGGCGTTGCCTCTCGTTCGGTACTTGGTTCCAGCCGGGGTCCGCTCCTGGGGACATCTCCATCCGGGGTCACCAAACCTTGTACACTGCCAACGCGAGTCCGGCCGGGATCCGCTCTTCCCATACGCCACGTTTCGCTGCTTCCCTCTCCCATAGTGGGCCTCTGAGCCAACCAATCACAGGCGCGGCTCGGGGAATCCTCGAAAATCTCCAATTTCATCGTGTCAACCGCCCCTCTTGTTACGATCCATTGTAGAGTCCATTCGGCGAAACGATCGATAATGACAAGATCTCACGATCCGAGCAAGCCCAGATGGGTGGGCGCCCCAGACGGGGATGTCTTCAGTCAACTCCCAACTGTGGCGTCTCATCTTTGCGCCCTGTCCCTACCGGGTCGCTTTTCATCAATTTCTCTTTCCAGTCTGCGGGAACCAAATCTCCACTCACAACGAAATCTGCGCGCCACTACTCACACCATGGACACCCCCGCATCGAGCGCCGACGCGGCGCTTATCCCAGCGTAACTCCTGCCCTCTGCGCCTCCAGTGGGGGGTGCGGAGGCGGGCGCGGTCAACGGCGGCGGCAGTCTGGCTGTTACCGGTGAGGCCCATGTGTCGGCTAGGACCGGCAGCCCTGCGCGCACGGTCGGCGACCATGGAAGTCGACGAGCAGGCGGGCACCGGCGAGGACGACGACGTCGGCGAGGAGGAAGAGGAGGAGGAGGAGAGCGCAGCGTCTTCTGCGAGGAACTCGCCCCTGCGCGCCAGTGGCCAGCCCGTCCGGGAGGATGAGGCCATGGAGGAAGTCCCCATCCGGGATCCTCCGGCCGGGCACACTCCGACTGTCACTGCGGCTATCTCCGGTCTGCTCTCTCTGGATGAGGCGGTCGAGCACACGCGGTCTGGCACTCTGCCGTCGTCCCATCCGGGACCTCGTGGCATTGAGAACATCTTGCCTGCGCGTCACATCCTCCTCCCCAACGTCCTGGTGACGGCAACTCCTACCTGGTCGGCGTTCCTGCACACCCGCTGGCGTATCAGTCTGAGCGCTACATCCAGGAGGGGTAAGGCGGTACGGAGGCGCTAGCAATCTTCGACGGCTTCTCCGCTCAGGATCTCCACGACTTGGGCAACCTGGTTGGCAGTCAGACGGAGCTGCGCAATAATTTGCTGCGCCCGCATGCCAACCGGGAATCTCCCAGGCTGCCGCAGCTCGAGGCCACCTTGAACTCATTGCTGTGGCGCCGGGAGTCCGCCACTGTGCTGGCCCCGTTCCCAGCCAGGCGCTTCGCGGAGAGGCTCTTCTTCACGACGTCCCTGCTCCACCGTATCCTCGACCGGGCACGGCGTGGCGACATCCCCATTCAAGGGCCGGTTGAGGTATCTCCCGGCGGGGCCGCCCCTGCAACAGCGTTACGACAGGCTTGTCGACGAGCACCGGTTCCTGCAGATGTATCACCAGCGGGAGGTGGCTGCACTCCGGGCGGAGAAGGTGGAACTCCAAGCCCAGCTGGAGAATGACTTCGCCTTGGCGGCGCAAAGCCATCTGGATGAGGAAAACTCGCTGCGCAACAAGGTCACCGAGGCCGAGGCCAAACTCGAGCGGGCAATCTTGGTCGTCCAGCGTCTGCGGGTCACCAGCCAGGAGGATGCGTTTGACACCGACCGGCTGATGCGGTTCCTCAACCAAGGTGGGGCTGCCACTTGCGGTCGATGGACCAGGCTGGTGCGTCTGCTGCGGCACTTCCAACGGGGGTCCACACCTCCTGCACACTGGGTCACCAACATCACCGTCGAGGTTGCCGACCGTCCGTTCAAGATGATCCCGCCCTATCCGGGCCCGGTCGACCCGGACATGGAGGACGATGATGACAACTACCAGGCAGGCGATGGCCACGGCGGTCAGGATGGTGACCGTGAAGAGAAGTCGGAGAACAACCCGCCCACTCCTATCCGTTCGGACTTCCCGCCTGCGGATGCGTCTCCGTCCAAACCCAAGCGGCGTACATCCAGGGGGTCCCGTTCGGGGTCATGTCCACGTGGTATGGCCGAGCTTTCCAGCAAGGGTGGGTCGGTGTACGTCCACATGCGACCCACGGTCCACCCGGGATCTGATGTGCTCCCTCTGTCGCCCCAGACGGACTTCAAGCGCCTGATTTCCGACTGTGCTGCAACCCTGCCAGAGTTTGTCCCTTGGTCGGATGTCCGGCTGGATGTCCAGTTCGTCATGCGGATGGACCATGGGTACGAAGAGGCCTTTGACATCCTCCGTCAGGATTGTCCGGCCCACCAGTATTTCCCAAAGCCTTGGCTGCTGGAGATGCTGGTCAAGATGATGTACCATGGCACCCTGGACGACACCCTCTGGACGTGTCATGTCCCCGAGACCTTCTACAAGATGGCTGAGGTCGTGCTCCAGGGTCGTCTCCGGTCGGGTATGTATCCGGAGGAGTTTCCGCCACTGCGCAACTTGGCCGAGGAGGCTGCTGCCGAGATGGAGATCGCCGAAGTTGACGGCTCCAGTGAAAGTGACGACTCTCGTGACTCCGACTACGAGGACAAGGCCAAGACGTCTCCATCTGGGAAGAGTGCGGATGGGCCATCCAAGGCGGAGTCCATTGACGAGAGCAGCTCGTCGGATAGCGACACCGATGAGGAGCAGCCGTCCAAGCCCAAGCGCAACCCCAAGCGGAACCGTGTTCAGTCATCTTCGGACAGCTCCTCGGAGGACGAGCTCCAGTCGTCTTCCTCATCCCAGCGTCGGTCTCCCCGGTTGTCGTCCCGGAAGGAACCCCGGTCTCCCCGGTCGAAGTTCGCGCTGCAGGATAAACCTGATCGACCTTCGTCCAAGAAGAACCCCAAAAAACGCAGCCGGACGTCGAAACCCAAACGGGAGGGCGGCAAGTCGCCTCTGGCGCTGAAGTCCTATGAGGACCTGACTGCCGAAGAGTTGGCGATCATCGAGGTCCCGTCTGGAGATATCGTCTCGTGGCGTCGTCGCGGCATTGGCTCTCGGTTTGCTCCCAAGAAGGGTGGTATCGAAGGTCAGACTCCGGGCTTCCCGAACTACGAGCCCCATCAGCCCGAGACCAAGTTCCTGGCTAGGCGCTGGCCCGCAGTCGAAGACGAGTACGCGGCGCTGGTCGAGAAAGCACCCTGGCTGGCGATGTTTAACAACCGGGTCAAGGTCCTGTACTTCCACCGCCGGGACCAGCTATCTCCAACCGTGATCAGCATCCTGGACCAACATGTGGAGTACAAGAAGGATCACCTTCCAGCCTTCTGGCACATCCTGCACTGGTTCATGATGAAGACCAAGCCTGAAGACGACGAGAAGTGCGACGACCTCACGATCTACGAACGGGCTCAAGATCTCCACCGTAAGCGCCAGGCGTTCCACGACGGGGTTGCGCGCACCTTCGAGGCCCGCATCAAGCGTCTGATCAAGGCCGGCATGCCGAAAACGATGGTCTGGGAGCCTGGATTCTGGTTGTACCCGTGCAAGATCTGCTACCTGTACTTGGTCGACGAATCAACCAAGAAGGACGATGGCACGCGTTACACCCTGGCTGACCAGATCACGATGGCCGAACTCGAAGACCCCGGCCGGACTCAGTGGACTACCTGTACGGATGACGAGCGTCTGGCGCACGTCCCAGCCAAGATCGTCGACAAGATGCTGCTCCCAGAGCACGAGCGCGTTGGCAACTGGGTCTCGGCTAAATTCCAGAGAGGTCATCCCGTCCAGCATCCACATCAGTCCTGGATGTAGTTGCATATCCGTAGCGTAGCACTCCAATTCCACAATCACCGTTAATGTCTTCGCTGCCTTCATCATTTTCCTTCTTCGGTCAGGTTGTCCAGGTCGGTTCAACCTTGGGCGCAGTCTTGTTCCTCTCCTGCCGCTTTGCCACCTCCTTCAGGGCAGCATAGTCAACCTCATACACTCGTCATTGAAAACCCCAATCTCGCTCAGGTTACTCTCCGTAGTCGCAATTCCGTCGTAGAGCGCTCCATACAAATTCAAAATCAATTTTCCGTAATTCACACATTCGCATCCAGCCATTTCGGGTCTCCGCCGGGGAATCTCCAACTGGGATCAACACTCCCAATTGGGATTGCCCCATTCGGACTTGACCAACCCCAACTATTGTATGTTAGGTTGGTCGTCCCCAGCCTGCATGGCTTGGAAACGCGCTCGGGCTTTCGCCCCTTGATTGAACTCATACAAGAGCGCCCCACAATTCAGCTGTGCCATCGGTATCCATTCATGCGCGTCGTACCCCTTCCATTTGATGAGATACTCTCGTGCCCGATTGGACGCCCCAGGGGATTTGGTCCATCTGACATCTAGGATCTTCTCCACGTGTCGGTCATCGAGCTGGCAATCCAATTCCTGACTGGTCTGTCGGACGCAAGCTGCGTCGCCAACTTCGGGAATCCCCATCTGGGATGTTGTTCCTGAACGTGGTGTTGGAGATCTCCGAACTTCACAGCTTATGGTACAATCATTAACGTTCGGGTCACTGTCATCGCCTGTGTCTGTATCGGTATCCGTCTGGGTTCCTGCGTTCTTCGTCTTCTGGGCCTCAGCGCGCATTGGCAGCTGTAAGTGGGCAGCCTTCTGTAACATGACGATCCGAGTCTGTGCAGTCTCCGGATGGGGTCGTAGCAACAACTTGGACGACCAGTCGTATCCCGGGATCTGGATATCAGGTAGTTCCTTACTCCGTCGAAGTTTCTCCAGTCTGCGTTCGCCCTCGCCTGTGTCACTGGCCACTGTGGTCTCGTGGATAAGATGCTGCCACTCCTGATACCTTTTGCTTCCCGGGCGGACAAACCTCCCGATCCGGGGAAAACTTCCGAACTCGACATTTCGGGCCACAGGAGTCCGGTTGTCGATCCACAGTCTCTGGTTGGAGATATTCACCACCTTCATTGCGGACGCCCACGACTTGGTTGCGTACAGGTTCTGGGTAACCCAGCGATCACCCCGACCGGCCCAAACAACTTCTCGTTGGGGGTTGCTCCTGCCATACCGGATCTTCACGATTACATGTTCCCCCGGACGGAGATATAATCCCTCTTCTGGGGTTATTGGAAGGTCCAAGACCACTCGTTGATGACGCCGGTCATCACACATCACAACGGCTTCCTCGTCGGGGAGCTTCACCAGTCTTTCTCGCACGCTCAGTCGTACCCCAGCCGCATACATGAATTTCATCCCCAGAAGTACTTCCAATCCTTCGCCAATGTTCGCCAGTCATACACTCGTCACATATGCCACACGGGAGCCCAGAGTGATCTTCACCCGGGCGTAAGACGTGATGCTCGTGGGAACGCCTCCTAATCCCGACACCTTGATCGGCTGCGGCAGCATCCGGAATTTCAGCTTAAGCCTAAGCGCAAGGTCCAAGCGAATCATGCTTCCAGATGCACCGGTATCAAGCAGTATCCTTGTCCGGAGATCGTTCACCGCCCCATGCACTGTCGCCACTTCATGACTTTCATCGGGCACGTGATTCTCCCACCATCCGTATCTCCGTCCGGGCTGTAACGTGAACTCGACCGGGCTATCAACGTTTGGTTGGTCCCGTCCGGGGTCTCCCCGGCCGGGGTTAGCACGCACGTCAATAGCCGTCAGGCCGTGTCGTCTTCTCAGCTCTGGCCCAACATACGCAAGTGCACACAATCGGGGCTGCGGTTGCACGGCGCGTTCTGGATCCCCATCCAGTGGGCTTAGTAGTTTAACCGCATTCCCGGTTGGGCATCTCCGTCCAGCAATCGTTTACGAAGTGGCAGAGGTAGATCACGTAGCATACCCTTCCGGACTAGCGACTTGAGGGCTCCCATGATGGCGCGGTCTCCACAGTGGCCTACGAGCATGACTGAAATGTGCAGGCAATTGCGAGGTGCCCAAGCTTCAGACACTTTTCGCAAAACGCATTCCGGTCGGGGTTCTCCCGTCGGGGTGACTGGCATCCCGGCCGGGGCGTCTGCCACCCTGGATGGGAATCACTCTGCGTAGGCGGGCGCCACCCAGTCTGCTCGATCGCCTTGAAGATAGTTTGGCGGAGCTCAGGCTCCGGGATCTGAGCAACGGCTGGGGTACTCGGCGTCTCCTCAGCCGGGGCACTCCGGCTGGGCTCCTTCGACTCCGCTTGGGACAGCTTGGCTTCCTCGACCTCATCCTCGAAACGAACACGACCTTCAGACTCGTAGCCGGACTCCCCGTCCGAAGTTGCCACAAACGCGCGGCGCCTCGGCTTGAAACGGGAATCCTGGATGTTGCCCGCTCGGAAGTCCCGCCTGGGCGGTGGCGTATCATAGCCCCCGTCCAGGTTCAGGTCCTCCTGTTGCTCCAGGATGTCTTCGATGTCGTCCAGGCTGTGGATCTTCTGGTTAGCCAGGATGGCCTTCAGCTGGGAGTCCCTGAGGTTCTTCAGGAAACGCTTGACGTGTTGCTTGCGTTCCTTCTTGGACTTCCGGTACTTGATCCCCGCCTTGACCGCAGCCTCGTTCAGCCTGTAGAAGAACTCCATCGGGGTCTCAGATGTCTTCTGCCGCATGGTATAATACCTTTCAGACTCTGACGTCCGGAGCTTCAAGTACTTGCGACGGAACTCCTGGACGAAGCGCTTCCAATTGCTCTGGACGTGCTTCTTCAGCTGTTCGCGCCAATTCCGGACGGCAGGCGACAACTTCATCTTGAGCTCGCGAACCTTGGTCTGGTCGGACCAACCACCCTGGACGGAGATGTTGGTGAACTTCTCCCACCAGGTACGTCGGTCTCCAAGCGGGGCCTTCTCATTGAACTGGCCCAACGAGCTGGAGTTGACGTACGAGCGGAACGTCCAGGAGGTCTTGCCATCCCCAACCGTAGTTGACTCCACGGTCTGTGTAGCGTCCTCGTCGTCCAGGCTGTCGCCCGAGCTGGAGCTATCATCATCCGAGCTCGAGGAACTGGAGCTTGAATCCGGGAACGAGTCGCGATCCCGGCGGCGTTCCTTGCGCGGCGCCTTCTTGCGCTCGTCCTTCCTGCGTTCGTCCTTCCTGGGCGGGTCCTTCTATGGCTCCGTTGGCTCCTTCTTCACCGTCGTCTTGGTCCCCGGACCGGAGGTCCCCGTCGGGGCAACTTGCGTCGCCGTAGTAGATCGGTGCGCCGCATTAACTGCAGCCGGCTCATTCTTCACCACGGTCGGCCTCAGAGTCCTTGTTAGACGCGCGACGTCGACTTCCGGCAGTGTCGCCAGAAGCTGCTCCCAGCCGGCTTCGGTCGTGTTCTTCTGTCCCGGCTGTGCACCTGCGACCGTTACGTTTCCCGTGATTACGCCCGTTGCCCGTTCAGGGTTTTCACTTCCCGTTTGATGGGAGTTGCCAGATTAGGGTCGGATGTTCCCCGTTCAGGTTGAGCTTGGGCAGATGTTGCTTGAAGGTCGCGTATATGTCCCACATGGAAACGCTGGATATTCTGAGCAGACTCACGTTCCTGTGCACGCGCGACTTCCGACGCCTGCAGCCTGGCTGCCAACGCGGCCAGGTCCTGCTGGGCCTGCCCGGCTCGGGCGGCCATCTCAGCGGCGTGCCTCGCGTCGGCTTCAGCTAGCTGCCGGCGGATGTACTCCGCGGCGGCTGCCTCCACACGTTCACGCTCGGCCCGCGCGGCCTCAAGACGAGCAGCTTCGACGTTGGCCTCGGCCGTCAGGGACTGCGAGGCGGCCTGGGACGCCTGGGCGTAGGCCTCATGCAGGTGTCGCTCAAGCTCCTGGGCCCGGCGCTCGGCTTCGCGCGCCTCCCGTTGGGCTTCGGCCAGAGCAAGCTCGGCTTCGGCATCCCGGCTGGGATCCTTCCCGGTCGACACAGCTTCGCGCAGCTTCGACAGCTCGGCACCAAGCTGCTGGACCTAGTGGAAGGTCGACACCGCCATCTCCGCCATCCCCGACTGGGCCGACAGGCTTGCCCGTCCGGACCGAGTGGACCGGTACGAGCGCCTGGATCGACTCGAGCGCCTGGATGGGGATCGGTCTCGTGATGACCTCCGGTTGGAGCGTCGGCGGCGACGCCGAGCATCTTCATCCGAGTCCGAGCCACTCGACAGCGAGTCACGCCTTGAGCGTCGGTGCGTCCGGGACCTCGTCGACGTCCGCGTCCTGGATGTCGCCCGGCTGGCCACCTCGTCCAAGCGTGCCATGCTGGCATCAGCCTGGTCGGGGTCGGCTCTCGCTTGGGGACCACCTCGCGCGTCACGTAGAAACCCAAGTCTCCAGCGCCGACCGACACGCCAACTGGACCCCGGGCGGACATCGCCAAGGATCTCAACTGGGGCATCGGCATGTGCGACGCAGCGCTGTACCCGAGCGTCGAGGTCGATGAGTCCGAGGTGGTGTTCCTGGACACGTACGACTCGGACGTCGCGCCGTAGGAAACCCGGTCCGAGGTGCCAACTATGCTCGGGACACGGTCCGAAGTTGCACCTCTGGCCAGGGCATCCCGGGCGGACTCCTCAGCTGACGGAAACTCGGACGGCAGCGACTCGAACTGGGACGGCGGGGACGCAAGCGAGCTCTCGGCCCTCGGCGGCGCATGCTGCGGACGCTTGGGCGCAGGCTCACCAGTGGACGACCCGCTCGGACTCCGGATGGGACGACGACCAGTCAAGCGTAGGCGTAGGACATAGGTCCGACCCAGCAAGAGTTCGTAGTCGTTCATCAATAGATCTACATCCGTGTCTTCCGCGTGGTAATCCATGATCGGCGGCTTCTCTGTCTTCACTTGGGCCTCCAACGCTGGCAGGATGTCGAACGTCGCTCCGACGACCAGCTCGCGCCACTCGATGAGCTCGACCGTCAGCAGTCGCTGGACGTCTCCGACCAGGGTCCGGATGGACATCGGCTCTACCTTGGACACTCGCATCTCCACCCAGGCCGGCACCACGTTGACGAACTGGAAACCGGCCTCGAACAGGAGCGTCTGCAGAACCGCAACTCACTCCCGTGAGTCCAGCAACCCGGCTGGGATCTGGACTCCGGCCAGGTCCTGGGCAGTCGACAACTCTCGGCGGCTGGGTGCCAGGTCGGCCAACCAAACTTCGGCCAGGTCCTGCGAAGCCACCTTGGACGCCAGGTACTTGGACGTCGCAAGCGTCGCGGTCAGCCACAGCACGGAGTCCGGACGGGACTTCGGCCAGGCATACTCCACGTTCGGCGGAAGCGTGAGCCCAGACCGGGCTCTCTCCCACCGGGACGCCTGCAACGCCGCGTACGTCTTCGCCGCTTGGACACCTGGATGCTCGGCCGGCAACTCCGTCGGGGGTTACCCCCGCTGACCTTCACCGAGAGTTGGGTCTCCGGTTGGGCATCAGCGGCCGGGGTCACCGCCTTCGCAGGAACTGCGGCCGGCTTCTCCTCCTCGGCAGACGGCGTCGGCTTGGGTCCGGCGGACACTTGTGCGTCCGGCTGCACATCTTGGCCGGACAGAGAGGAGTCCGAAACTCGACCCTCCGCCTGGGGCTCATCCACGTCGGCGCCTCCCTCAGACGCCTGGTTGGGTTCACCCTGTCCAGGATCCCCCTCAGCGGTCTTCGACTCCTCGCCCGCGTCAGCACGTTCGGGCTCGCTGTCCTTCGACACTTGGTGCGCGTCATCTGAGACGGCTGGCTCAGGTGCCGGCTGGACTTGGTTCGAAGACCCATCTCCGGCCAGGGCCGCCTTCCGCTTTTCAGCGTTAACCCTCCGAGCATTGCGTTGAACCTCTTCCAGGCTCGGTTGCTCCTCGGGCAGCAGCCCCGCCGCACGACGCGATTGACGCGACGCCTCTCCGCGTCCTCGTCCTCCGCGCCCTCCTTCGCGCATGTCTCCTCGCTTAGCTGTCATAGATGCTAGTTAGGAAAGTTAGCACACCTCACACCTATAAACTTACAAAATATAAACAACTCCGGTGAAATCCCTGGTTCGAATCCGGGTACGCGCACCAGATGAGGCGAGGCGGGTGAACGCCTGACCGCCCAGGTGTATAGCTTGACGCGTGCCGGGTGTAGACTCCCGAATGGGGTGCACCCAGAACAAACCCTAGCCGGAGATAGTACACCTAGATGTACACTCCAACCGGGGTGGCGTGTGTCCTTGTGAACAATCTTTGTGGGTTCGTTTGTCTTCGTAACCAGGGGTCTTCAACCGTGGATGAGTTGTCTTGATACTTGTAGGTCGCTAGGTAGCAGGGCAGAACGTAACCTTCCTGGACGTCGCCTCTGACAGCCCTCAGATAACCAAACAATACAAACAGATACAGAGTTATATACAAACACGTAGCCCTTCCTTATTCTTTTGGACCGTGAAAGGGTCGGTCACTACTCCAGTCAACTCCAGCCGGACTCCGGGATACTGGTCAATCCCGGTCGGCTTTGGCTCACGCGCACCACCCTCAAGTACTGAGGGCAACTAACACAATCAACTACCTCCTATCACACAAGAGATCTTAAATCAATACTTCCCATCCGGGGCTACTCCAACCGGGGTGGAAAGGTAATCGGTAATATGAAATGCGGGGCCTTCCTGGTCTGGACGAGCTCAACCGCAACTAGGAAATGAAATGGGGTGGATCAACCTCGGGTTGTCGCCCGGTACTCACCCCAACTTGGACTGGACTTGGTTGCGGGAGCTCGACCCAGATGTCACAGTTGCTGGGCCCTCACACGTAGACTTAGTCGGTCCTCCGGGAATGCACGTCCGGTAGGCTGCTCCAACTCACTTGTGCGATCCTTGGCAAAACGAACTCTGTTTATCTGTTATCTGTGGTCTCTCTGTCTGTCTGTCTGTCTGTCTGTCTGTCTGTCTGTCTGTCTGTCTGTCTGGCTGGCTGGCTGGCTGTCTGTCTGGCTGTCTGTCTGTCTGGCTATCTTCTGTCGATCTTTACCTGCACTCCATCTTGACTTGTCTTCACTATGGTCTTGTCGTCGTAATCGTCCGCGGTCCCTCGTAACATACTTCCAGCAAGTATAATCATCACTGGGTACGCAAGCGAAGTTCAATGTTCCACGGAATCCGAACAGATCTTGGCTGGTCGGCTTGGTCGGTCGGAAACATCTTGGACTTTGTATACTGGATCTTCACATCTGGGATGGTATCTTGGTATCTTGGTATCTCCATTCGGGATTCATGATTATCTCCAAACGGGATCACACTCCACTTGGGCTTCACATCCGGGGTATCTTGGACAGCTTCACGGTTTCTGGGTCTTCACTCAATCCGGTCGGGCTCCTCTTGCGTTGTACAGTGCACCAAGAGCAGGCGGCCTCCAGTCGGAGGCACTTTTACGCTCCCTTGGGCGTTGCCTCTCGTTCGGTACTTGGTTCCAGCCGGGGTCCGCTCCTGGGGACATCTCCATCCGGGGTCACCAAACCTTGTACACTGCCAACGCGAGTCCGGCCGGGATCCGCTCTTCCCATACGCCACGTGTCGCTGCTTCCCTCTCCCATAGTAAGCCTCTGAGCCAACCAATCACAGGCGCGGCTCGGGGAATCCTCGAAAATCTCCAATTTCATCGTGTCACAGACTTGATTCAGCAAAGAACTTGAGACGGGAGTCGTGGACGTTGTAGATCTTGTTAGTGATGAGGTGGCGCACCATGAACGAATGCGGCAGCGCCTCAGTCACTTAACCCAGCGAACCAGCAGCTTGTTGTTCGACAGACGGCTGTCAATTCGCGACCAGAGCACGAAGCCACCCTCAGTGAAGTTGCACTGAGTGCTAGTCGACTTGTCCTTGCTCCGGCGTCTGCGTGCGTCCTTGGTCTCAACAACCTCGCGATGCATGGCGTGCAGCGCCTCCTGTAGCTCCTCGACGTTGTCACGCTGGGTCACCGCATCCAGGATCAGGTTCTTCTTACCACGATAGATGCGAGTGGACTCGGGGCAGGTAGCAGCGTGAACAGCTCGCTCGGCGTGTGGTTGTTCAGGCAGTGTGGTTCAAGTTGGATTGTACCAAAGGCAGCAGGTACACCCACTCGCGTGTGTCCAGCTGGAATTCCATCAGCATCACGCACATCACTTGGAGAATGTCTCGGTTGATCCGTTCCACCGAGCCATTGATCCAGGGCGAGTAGGCAACGACAAAATGCTGCTCAATGGACAGCCGTTGGCAGAGCTCGTTGACGAGGAGATTCTTGAAGTGCGAACCCGTGTCAGACACCAGCATCTCCGGCGTGCCGAACCGTTTGCTCCAGTCTAGCAGCGCTTGCACGGCAACATCGCTGGTGGGGGAGTCGCACGCAATCAGCTCGCAGTAGTGTGTGAGCCCATCCTTGAGCACGAGCACATACAGCGTGGTGCCCATGCTGGCCCCCATGTACAGGAAGTCGTAGTGCAGAATCTCGTTGCGCCTTGTCGCTTGGCACGTCGGACTCCATGCGCGCGGGACGATGTTGCCGCCCTTCGTGTGCTTGCAGAGCAGGCACCGACTCAGAAATTGGCGACACAGCTTCGACAGCTCGCGAACGAAGAAGACTTGCTGAATCGTGTACATCATCGGCTCCAGGCCGCGATGGCCTTGGGTGCCGCAATGGGCCACAACCATTACTCGGCGCACTAGGTCCTTCGCTCGCTCTGGAAGCCACAGCTTTTCGTCCACTACCATAACGTGCTCATCGTTGAGCTTGGCTTGACACGCTGGTGGTCCGCCTGCGCATGCTTGATCTCGTCAAGCGTTGGGAAGACGAATCCACCAAACCGAGGCCGCAGGTGGTGGCTCTCGTCGTGCGAGGCTGCCGTTCCAGCCCGAATGCTGCTGCGAGTGATGGCCTTGCAGCGCGTGATTGCCCCACCCTCTCCATAAGAAGAACACCCCCCATCGTGAGAGTAGATCCAGCCAGTCGTTCCGGTCGCCGTCGAGGTGCTCGATCACATACGGTAGCCCAGCAAGCGCGAGGGGCCAGCGCTGCAGTCGCCCCCGAATATGGCGCTTCAGCTCCACCGACGGGTCAAAGATGTAAATGAGGTTCTTGTGGTCGCAATAGAGACGGAATCCACGGCCGCAAAGCAGCAGATACTCCAGGTGCACGCAGGCCCATATGATCGGGAACGCCTCCATGTCGATGATGGCCCAGTTCTTGGAGGCACCCGAGAAGATGCCGCTCTTGCACACCAACAGTTGGTGGGCTTACTCCCACGGCGCCAGGCCATCGTCCCAATGAAGGACCTGTGTGACGATCAGACCCCATCCAGTCTCGGAAGAATCCGGGAAAACACAGACTTCACTGTCATCACTGGGGAACGCGAGAGGATGCGAAGATGAGATGAGCGACTTGATCGCCTCAAACGCCGCGATCTCCTCCTCGGTCCACTCCAGGTTGACGCCATGGTGTCAACCTCCCTCTTCATTTCTGCTGAAACATCTCTAGTTCCCGTCACAGTATGACCCTCCGATGCATTCGCCGACATTCCACATGTATGAGGGACAAAATTAGTGTAGCGCTACGAGTATAGCTGCAGGTTGGACGTGCGGATCAGCTGGAACGCGCGCTTCACTTCTTGCTCGCATCGATCCAACGTCAGGTGAATTTCACTGCCGTAGCTTTGCGTCAGAGGAAGCTTAACAGAGTCGACGGGTGCGACCCACCGTGGACAGCACCGACTCCAGCTTCTCATGCAGCGGTTGGGCCACACGGGCATAGTCAATGAGCGTGTCGCGCAGCCATCCCGCACCGCACAGAAACTGCTGTAGGTCCGCGCCAGTCACGGGAAGTGGCAGCGTCGCGAGTGCGCGCACCCGTGCCGGATCATGCGAGATACCGTCACCGCTAATCATACGACCACACCACATAGCTTCCTTCTTGAACAGGCAGCTCCTGATAGCGCTCAGCCGCAGGCCGTACGAGCGAACGCGCTCGAAGCAACTCTGCAGCACATCGAGCAGAGCACGTACAGACGTGGCATGTACAAGGATGTCATCGATCCACAGCAGAAGACTAGTGTATAGCATGTCAGCGAAGATCTTCTGCATCTGGTTCTGGAAATGAACCGACGAGTCCATGCCCCCTGTGGCACCCTCGTGGGTGAGTACACCGTGTCCTCCGAGATGAAGCTCATCAGCTCCTGGCTGGTCTCGGCCAGCGGGAACTGAAAAAAAAAACTTTTGGCAAATCGAAGATCGAGAAACCATAGGCTCCTGCGACAGCATGCGTGATGGTGTCCATGTTGGGCGCGGCGCCCGCAATCGGCACGGGTTGCTTGTTCACCGGTCGATAATCAATAGTCATGCGAAACTCCATCTTGCGGTCAGGCTTGGCCACTGGAACCACTGCGCGTGCCCAGCGGCTGTGGTTGTTCTTGCGGATGTATCCGATGTCCTCCAGTCGCCGTAGCTCTTTGCGGAGGAACTCACGCTGTGCAGGCGCATACTTGCGCGGCTTCACACGGAACGGAACGGCGTCTGGCTTCAGCGTCACCATCAGGGGCTCCACACTAGCGGGCGGGTCCTCACCAACGTCGATGGCGAAAATGTCTTGATACTCAAACATCAGTTGTCGCAGCTCCTCGTACAGGCTCGGGTCGAAGCCTTCACGTAGCACAGCAACCAGCATGTCATCCAGACGCACCACCACATCGGTGTCCGCCGGGGGCGCTTCGGGCTCGAACAGGTCATCGTCGAGCACTGCGTCCCCACCAGCGAGCTGCTCGAGCTGTCGGTGCACATCGATCCCTAGCGACTTGAGCATTTCGTCAACGAGTAAGAACCCCGTCTCACCGCCACCCATAACAAGGCATGCGACACTTGCGACACGCACCATACCTGCGGCAGTCTGCAACTGCAAATCAACCACCACCTCGTGCGTGCACTCCACCTGGCCACCACCGGCTACAGTTGCCACAATCGGGTCGGATAGGAGAGTGAGCTGGACGTCACTGCCCAACTCCACCAACTCATCGACCAGATACTGGGGGATGATGCTGCGGTCAGACCCTGAGTCGGCGCAGTGCGGAGCGGTCGCCATCCCGTTGACGAGCACCTCGCCGGTCTTCGGGCCCTGTCGCTTGTCGTTCCGCACTGCCTTGGATCGCAGCCTGCCTCTGCCGCGCTGAGAACGGAGCTTCTCCAAAGCCCGGCGCCGATCCTCTTCGGATGCTGAAGGGCATTCACATAATCCGTGGGTACCCCCACAGTGAAGGCAGCCTTCCGACGGCGGACTGGCACCCTTGCCTCGCGCAGTTGGCATGCTGGGGCTCGCCTTCGGTTTCTCGAGGTCGCCGCCGCCACGCTGCTCGCAATCCTTGCGGGGCTTGACGTCCTTGACCGAAGGCTTTCTGTCACTGCTCTTCTCCACCTTCTGCTTGTACTCGAGGTTCAGCACGTGGTACTTGTGCTGCGCCCGTGTGCGCTCCTTGATGATTCGAAACAACTCATAGTCGTTCTTCTTAGCGGAGCGGCGACTCGTACTTGACATACCGCTGCACATCATCACGCAGGACCTGCGGCTCTAGGTTATCCAGCAGGATCTTGCACCGCAACTTCATGCGGTCCTCAGACATGCTGTCGCCCGGTAGCTCAACAGCGAGCAGCCGACCAACGCCGTGCTGCTCAATTAGATCAGAGAAGTCGCGGTAGTACTTCAGGACCCGAGCGTCGAAGTCGGCCTCCATCAAGTCTATCTTGAGGTTCTTGCGAAAGAACCCGTCCAGGTCTGGGACGAAAGTTCATCACGTTGTTGGTGCGATCGTAGATTAGCTTGACCAGCTGCTCTTCCGTCACCTCCTCCACCGTCGTCTGCAGTTCGTAGAGGCTCACTACCTCCAGCAGCTTCGGCTCAAATGAATCCTTCACCGTGGCGAGCGCTTTCGCAAGCGTCTCGCCGCTGTCCGCACAGCGCTGGCGCATAGTCAATTCCGTGCTAGGGAGCGAAAGCAAAAGTGAGATTCCTTCCTTAAGATAAAACCTGCTCTACCTCGGTGGCCAGTGCTTGTTGGTCGATGCGCAAACGGCAAGTTGCGCATTCGCTTCTCCGACGAGAGCTTCTCCGACGGCCGTAAGCAAGAGGCGAGTCCGACCCTGCAACCGGGCGACCGCCAAAGCTCTGTGCTGCTTGAGCATCCTTGGATCTGCTACACGTGGACACGGCTGAAGCCCTTGATGACGATACCAGTGATTTTCCCGAGGAGACCCCTGAAGATTGCGAGTCGCAATTTGCGACAACTGAGGGTACGAAAATGTTCTCCTCCTTCTCGTCTCGTTAGTTGGTAGCTCTCTATCTTCGTTAACACTGTGGTTGCTTGTGTAGCTTATTTCTTAGCGACAACAAGCGCCGCCAGGAGCAGGTTAACTGTCTGCATGTTGCATTGTGTAATCGGGCGTGTTTCCAGTCTGAGAAGTGCTGGTTTTGAGTCGAATCCGAAATGGACTCGCCGTACGGCACCCCTACGCTGGACAGTCTGCCTCCCCGTCAACCACTGCGGCAAGACAGAGGGTAAAAAACTGCGGTAACTTGCACAGTGTCACTGGCGGTCACACTTTTATTCTCGTAGCTACTACATTTATACTTGCGCTTGTCCGCACCATTGACGTGTATTTCAATGCGTGAGATCACGTGCTGCTCCTGACCAACACCACCGCTGATCAGCCGCACCGGTAGCTACGGCCCGTTCAGTGTCGTATCTGATAGCCAACCGATTAGTACGCAGTGTTTGACTTACCGGATCGAGTGGTATAACTAGTTAGTTAGTACGGTAGGGGCCTGCTGCAATTGTACGCACTGGTATTAATCGCGTGTAGCGTCATCTCCATGTTGCAGGTAGATTGGACTGGGGCTTGGTGAGTGGGAAGGCCTGTTGTTTGGTTTAGTGGTCAATGCAAAATGAGAACTGAGAGAACAATGAGTGCGTTTATAGCTGAAGTCATACACTGTCTATCAAATGACTCTACACGATTGATGTTTAGAGCTAAGATCATGGAGCCACCCCGGTAATCTTTTTTTCTATCGTTAAATTCTGATCGGTAAACGCAAATTTTCGACTTAGGTCGCTCGAATGTAGCTATTTGGGGTGCTCTACACAACCTGCCGCCACAGGTAACATTCACCTAAAATATCACCTTACGCGGTATGTGTATTCTTTTACTCCACTGTACTGCAGTTTGTCTTGCTATTTGTATGAAACCCCTCGTCTATCGATGAAAGTTGATGGATCGATCAGGAATGCACTAAGCCATTAATCAGACTAGTGACTCCAATCGTCCATTAACTCTGAAATAAATTTCAGAGAACACGTAGTGTACAGGGGGCATGGGGAAAATTTCGTCAAAACATGGGAGCATGCCCTCTTTTGGGGTAATTTTGGTAGATTTAGAAGAGAACTGCGGTGACAGGCTTAAAAAAATTCACTTTTGGCCATTTTTAGCCGCCCCCAAATGGTATTTTTCGTGATGCCCCCAGTTTTTCGGCTGCACAGATCTTACAGTTCATGCGTATTGACGTTCCGGCTTAAGTTGGTCATTTGACATTGTCGGCAGCCAGCACGATCAGGTTTTCGCATGCGGACAATCTCACACAACCTGCATGGCCGTATTGCTGTCACTGCCATGTCTGCCGTCACGGGTGGCAATCCTTCGACAACACCGGCAGGCCCATAGTTGGAACTCCACACCGTTCGTGTATGCTCCACACCGGAAAACGCTTCGGTATTCGTGTCCGGCTCGGAAAGGAGGGCCGCAGTCAACGAGTGATCCCGGCTAGCCATCTCAACAACCTCAACGCCTACATAGTAACGAATCAAACGTCGTTAGTGGACAGATTCGAATCCTACACTATGCGAAGCAAAAAAAAAAACACTTACCATTGGCTTCCTCTTCAATTTGAGGTGTGGCTGTTGCTGGCGAAGGAGGACCAGTCTGAATGACATCTTCCGACGTTGAGCTTGAGCTGTCACTTATCGTTATTAAAGCATCAGCAGCGATAGGCCCAATTCCAGCACCTCGCACAAACATGAACTCAACGTCTTCACATGAGTCGGATTCGTCGCAGCTTGGACGCCACCTGCGATCGTTTTGCCCATCGTCGAGCCGAAGTAAAAACTCTGCAGCACTGATTCCAGCCAAGCGAAATGCTTCACGCTTTTCCTCGTGACTCCCGCTGCCGATCTCAACCTTCCCGACGACAAATTTCCAGTGGTGGAGGCGAGCTCCACGGAAGTAGTTGGTCTGCCATACATCACCTGCGCGAGACTTGAGATTGTTCCACGTCCGAGTGAACACGTTGCTTAGGTCCACAGTATCACCTTGCCGGCTTTTATAAATCTCACTTGAGATTGTTCCAGGAAATGGCCTCCGCTCTCAGTCGTTGGATAGTTTCTTGTAGCACCACGATTGTAGATGAACCCTTCAAGTCGATCCAGACACGGTTGTGAATCGTCACCAGAACTCGCTTGTCCTTCAATTGTACACGCAGAGGGCTGCAAGTGCGCTCTATTTTCTTCATGTAGTCAATGTACCATTGCATTTTGCGCGGCTTCTTCGTCACGTTCATCACGGGTTCCAACAGAGTCGGTAAATGTCGGATGAATTGTGACAGAACAATGAATGGGTCGTGAAACGAGAAAGTTGCCTCATACTCGTCATCCGTGTCGACTCCTATCTGCACTGCATAAGGGGGCGACAACCTCACCGCCTCCGAAGTAAATACACGATTCGCAGATTCATTTGGACGTTGCTCACTCAAGAACGGCTCCACATTTCGTGGTCGATCAGCACTTCCGTTAGGTTCATTAGCGCATCTGGAACTTCTCGCATCAGAATCGTTACGGAAGAGAAGTGAGCGTGTGTCCGACCGCCATGCTTCTTCTCGTTGTGCAGCACGTTGGGCATCCAGGTCGCTGTTGTATTCTCTTCACAGACCACTCGATTGCATACACCATCGTACTGCGGTAGGTAAGCATGGCAAGGCTCCTCAACAGTACTGTAATCTTCTCTTCGGCCGATCCTACCCGCTGCTTGGTCAGCATTGGTTCGATGGGCTGGTGGCAGGTAGGAGTGTGGATGTGGGGCGGAGTTGGACCTATATTCATCCTGGTGGTCCTCTTGGTCGAACTGTGGTCGATACAGACTGGAAAATCGCCAATTACGTGGTGGCATGCTGTTCCACTCATTATCGTAGAACGAATCCAATATCACTTTTTCAGTAGATCTCCGCATTTCGTATCGGTAGCTGTTCCATCATCCTCCGAGCAGGCAGGACGAGCGCTGCCACAGGTACTGCATCTGCATGGCGATTGTTGCCAGTCTGGGGAACTGCCGATTCCGCATCGCGCTGATTGGGGTTGTAAGCCGGGTGAGGAATTCGAGGGAAGTTCCGCGTAGAGTGGTGTGAAAGGACATTCCTGGATTGTAAATATCGCCCGCCCTCAGCAAGATTCTGTTCCCCTTGTCGAACAACAGCAGGAGGTGCTGCACGTGGACTCGCATGGGGCACCGGGGAATTTTGCGCTGTTTCTTGTATCCCGAGGTCCCGAGCTTGACAGGATGGGGCGATGGTTGCTGAATTTGAGGTTCGCGGATCGAAATGTGCCAGGACTTCAGTGAATCGCATGCCACGACCGAGGCGCAACCTTTTCCGCTTCCTCGGCTCGCCATCAGTACGGTCACACCTCCGAGTTGTCGCTCTCCAAGGCCGGTACGGCTCACTCGATCGACTCGTGCTGAGAACTTCGGCTGCTCCAGTCCGAATGGTACCAGGACGTTTTCGACGCGGGATCACATACGGCTCGTCCGCAACTCCATTCTCCGTAGCAGTCCGAGTCATCGATCTTGGTTGCTCTCGTGCTTGAACACTCATAAACGAATCTGTCCGTCCGAGCGCTTCAACATCTTGGACCGCTGCTCTCTCTGCGTTCGCTAAGCATTGCAGCTTGAGCGCTCGATACTGCTGGCACACCCATCGATTCTCGCAGTAATGTGCGTAGCGGTTTGCCAGAACTTTAGAGCAGAACGGGTTTCTGCATCTATTCGTTAGTTCGCCACCTTGCAGAAACACTTCCTCCGCCTCTTCATCGTCGTTCTCAGCTTCGGCTGCATCTAAAAGTGCCGCTGCATTTACAAGAGCTTCGTCCACATCTCTTGACTGCATGATGGCCGGGTCACCTTCGGCCTTTTAGGCGGTCAACGACGCAAAGTGACTACGGATAGTTTACAAATCCAGGTGATTTGAGCTTATGAGTACACAGCTAACATTTCCTCGATCTCTAGACGGCAGATTGGGCACTTGGTCACTTCTTCACGGCGGGAGCAAGTCTTACATAGACACAGGTGGCGACACGGTAGACACAGAATGGTCTTCTCGTTGGCCAGGCAGATCACGCAAAGCTTGAGTTCGTTCTGTTCCTCGACTTGCCGGTCCAGCTTTTTCTGCATCTCCAGTGCCTTTTCCTCCTTGACGGAGCGCACGCGGCTCAACGTGCTCTCTAATAGCTGTTCCCAGTCCTTCAGTTCATCCATCTTGCAGCTCGTCAGTGATGCTCCAGAAATGTGGGAAAGCGCCGACCGAATACTTTGAAATGGCTGCGAGCCAGTGCTCACATAAGCCGCCTGGACCTGTGGGTTTGGATTCATGCCCCTGACGTCATACGAGTGCTCCTTTTGCTTCAGTCGCTTCCGCAAAGTTACCACTTCCTTCATAAGTGAATCGTGATGGTGTTCGTGATCCTCGAAGCCATGCAATTGGGTCTGCAGCAGGTCGTTCTCAAACAGCAAGCCATCGCGATCCCGCTCCACGCGGTCAATGAGCAAGTGCAACTTCTGGTTATTGTGGCTCAGCTGGACAATGCGTCGACGAGCAAACGCGACCTGCTCCTGCATTTCTCGATTGCGTACGATCAAGTCTTCACAGTATCGTCGCCAAGGCTTCTCAGCACCATCTTCGCTTTCATGGGAGGCATCCCATGACTGCTCGGCCATACCGCACTCAACGAGCACATCGTGTGCGTAAGCCGATACACTTGATCCTACAGTCGATGACTCTGCCTGGGCTTCACCTGATGATAACGATACGCGAGCTGGCGAGCAAACTGAGCCGTTATACCGGCACCCTCGAACGAGCTCGTCGAAAAGTGACTGATCCATGGTTTTCTCTTCATCGGGAGTCTGGAGTTCGAGTGCGCTGTTGCTATCAAAACTTGCACCAATATCGTTGTCATCCCCCTCGCTTGGCAATCGCACGGCATATCCTGCGTCGTCCCAACCGAGCTGCATCGCGGCATCTCCTTGTTGACTCGACCCATATTGATCTCTGATGTCCACGCTTCCCGATGACAGATCCAGTAATGGTGACGGATTGAACTGACCATACTCAAGCGGTCTGCTCACAACCCATTCACCCGCGTCGCTGCTGTCATCATCACTGTCACAATAAAGATTTTGCTGTTGAGCCACGCCAGGTCGAAATCGCACTGCAATGCTGCTCTCGCGGCGCTCATAAGAAGGGGCAACAACATCGTCTGGATAAGAACCGGGTATCGCAGTACTTGAAAACGAATCAGGGAATGATGCCCCATCGTTCATCATAGCATTAGCTCGCCGCTGCTCTTCAGCGGGGGTCTTGACTTGGTATTGACGGAACAAGTTACCCCTGATTCTGCCAAATGGGCCCCTGCCCCACGTCAATCCGTCCACTGCAGACGCACACCTTTTGGCCATGTCTGGATCATCAAACTCAAGAAAAGCATGACCTTTGGTGCGCCCCGTAGAACTCGCGGATGGAATGACCACTTGAATTGGATCGCCAATCATACAAAACAAATTGCATGACAGCACCTCCATCAACTCCTCCGTGCGGTCCATCGACACCTTTGGCAGGTTTGTCAGCACACAAACACTGTTGAAGCACGTCCCTGCGCGGGCATTCCCAAACTCAAACTGCGCCATATCAAAGACTGGCCACTTGAAAGGAAGAAAAGAGCGCTGATCAAGGCTGTGGTTCATGTGCGCTTCCATGGTGCCAGCAGCGCCGTCGTGAACCTCAGAAGTTCTATCAGGAGATGCCCAATCTTGGTCGTTGTCGTCGTTCTCGATCAAAACGTCGACGTGCGCATCACACACCATTTTGATTAACGACATGAAGATGTCGACATACGCCAGCTCGCAGTCGGAATCGTAGTGGTCTATCTCGAGAACCCCGGCCTCAAGTGCTGCAAGCGTAATGGCTTCGCGAAAGCCCAAGCGGAGCAAGTTTCCCAGCATCGCATTCTTAATGGCACGCGCTTTTGATGCATTGATGGCTCGGTTTGAAGCGTCCATGATCTCGCCTTGTTCAAACTGCAGCCCCTCGACTTCATCCATAGCGTCGATTTCTTCCTCCGAGCACTCACTGTCGTGGTCGTCAAAGAAGGCGCTCTCTCCTTCCTGCACTCTCCGCGGTTGATCCATTCGACCAGAGTAAGTTGTGGCAACGCCGCCATCATTCCTCAATGATTCCACAAAGGCTTCGTCGGTGGGGTATCCTCCAGCGTTCTGGAGTGCCAGATCGGAAACACTATCAGACTCGGTGTCCTCCTCCTCTTCATCTTCGTCTTCATATTCTTCAGCATCACTGCTCAGCGTGCTACCATCATCATCCTCAGCACATTCATATTGTCCAGGCAGCGACGACGTTCTCATCTCAACAGCAGAAGCCGACAACCTCCTCGAAGACTGCAGCTGCGTTGGCTGAGATACTGGCGGCAGATCTTCAGCTCGTTCCGCGCGGTCTACAGCCGACCACAGTTGCGCCGTCCGAGCAATCAGCGTCCTGATCTCCGCAGCTTCACTCTCGATCTCCACCGCAAAGTCATCCACACTACTACTCCGCCTTGCCAACGCAGCGTGCTCCACTGCTCCATCTCCTTCCCCAGCTACAGCAACAAATCAAGCACAACATCAATTGTCAGCTCCACGACAGCAGCAAATATCAACTAAAATCTCAACTACAACGCACAAATACAATAATTTAACTATAAAATAAATAAACTTACAGTCCGCTAGCTGCTGCTGCTGCAGACTGGAGCGTCGGATCCTGCGTCTCGTCCGCTCCAGCAGCTGCTGGCGGCTCCCAGCGCGCCATATTCTCTTGTCTCTGAGCTCCGCGGCCGGCCGATTGGGCTCAGCGACCGCTGGGCTGGCAGCGACGCGCATTGGCGACCTCTGGACCTGCTCTCCCTGCTCTTCCTCGTCGCTCTCGGCCTTATCCAGCGAGAACTGCGTGGCTCCAGACCGACGAGCGGCTCGCTCCTCCTCTTGCTGCTGATTGGTGGACGCCACAGCCGCGTCAACGCGCGCGGTGGAGGCTGGAGACCGCATTTTTGAATTATTTTCTGCAGTTTGGGCGGATTACGCGGCGAATACTGAGACTTTGGTGGTGAGTCTTGCGTGGACGGATAGAGCAGCGTCGCGCGCACACGGGTGTGTGGTGGTTGTATCTGTGCGAGGTCTGGGGCCGGCGCAGCAGCCTCCGGGAGCGCAGCGGGACGGCGGCGAGTGCGCACTCGCGACTGCCGAAGGAAACGAACGCGCCCTTTTCAAGATTGCGTTTAGGGTGGCGCACACTATTTGGTGTGACGTCACACCACCTGCTGTTGCCATTCATTCGCGAGCATAAAAATCATCCAATGACGCCGCGACTTGAACCGACTTTCCACCAATCACAACGTATGCGCTAAGATTCCGGCTCGCAGAAGAGTTCAAAGGCACAAAACAAAGCGCAAGCGGCGAAGCTTCGGTGCGTGTGGCGGCTCCCCGCTGTGTCCCTGGGCCCCGCCCGCTCTCGAGCGCGTGCTAACCCCTCGGCGAGTAGTGTCTGCGTGTGTGCGTGCAACAGCGGCGAGCGGATCTTCATCGCGGCGGATTTAGCGTCGGATCGACGGCAAAAAGGTGTGAATTTAAGGGGAAATGGGCCTTTTCAGCGCTAAAACCAGCGTTCCAGCCGCTACTTCCACGCCGCTGCGCATCCATTGTAAACGCAAGAGTCTGGCAATGGAAACTGCGCGGTTGCGGTGGTTGTAGCGCCGCTGGTTCGGTCTGGGGATGGAGAAATGATGGCACACTGACTTGTAGTCACTTCGTCTGCTGCTACTGCTAATTAGGAGTAAACGACAGGCTAAAAGCTAGAAGAAGATGGAAGCAGTCGGCCAGAAGCTGCTGGACTTCTCGCAGCCCTTCGACGTGGCGGCGCTGGACCAGGTCGTGGCGTGCATGAACGACCCCAGGAGCCCGCACCAGCGCGTGGCCAACCAGATCATGGTGGCGCTGCAGGAGCACCAGGACTCGTGGACGCGCGCCTCCGACATCCTCGAGCAGTCCAGCAGTATCCAGACCAAGTTCTTTGGCCTGCAGGTGCGGAACTGCACTGCGTTGTGCACATTATGTGAATTATGCTAACGTCAATGGTGTCATCAGATTTTGGAAGATGCCATTCGGTACCGCTGGAAGATCCTGCCCAAGGACCAGCGCGAGGGCATCAAGAGCTACATCGTGGGCAAGCTGCTGTCGGTGCGTGGACTGGTGTAGGGAGTGTTTTTCAGTCTGTCTGTATGGGGTTTGATAGTGGTGTGTATTGCGTGTAGATGTCGTCGGATGAGTCGACGCTGCACAGTCAGCGCATGTTCGTCAACAAGATGGACCTGGTGCTCGTGCAGGTGCTGAAGCACGAGTGGCCGCAGAACTGGCCGTCGTTCATCACGGACATCGTCAACTCGAGCAAGACGTCGGAGATCTTGTGCGAGAACAACATGACCATCCTGAAGCTGCTGAGCGAGGAAGTCTTCGACTTCTCCAAGGACCAGCTCACGGAGCAGAAGACCAAGACGCTGAAGGAAAGCCTCAACCACGAGTTCACGCAGATTTTCCAGGTACGGTATGCTGGTCGGCTACACCGAATTTGCTGCGATATATTTCCAATACGCTAACCAGTAAAACGTACTTTTTACAGCTGTGCGAGTTCGTGCTGAACAAGTCGACGCACGTCCCGCTGCTCCAGATTACGCTTCAGACTCTGCTGCGTTTCCTGAGCTGGATTCCGCTTGGCTTCATCTTCGAGACGGACCTAATCAAAATCCTGGTCACAAAATTCCTGGCGACGGGCGTGTTCCGCAACGATACCATCAGCTGTTTGAGCGAGATCGCTCAGCTTCGTGACGTCCCTGAACAGTACAACAACGTGTACGTGCAGCTGTACATGGGCGTCCTCAACGAGGTGGGCAAGATCCTGCCGCCCGGCAACTCGTTCACGCCGTTCTGGGAGCAGGACGAGGTGTATGTTCAGCGTCTGAGTATTTTCTTCACGAGTTTCTTCCGGTACCACATCCAAGTCATCGAGCGACCTATCACTGCTCCTGGCGACGAGGCCCACCAGGCGCTGCTTGCGGGTTTCACATACCTTGTGTGCATTGCCGAGGTGGACGACGACAGCATTTTCAAGATCTGCTTGGACTACTGGCACTACTTCACGCGTGACCTGTACACAGTGGACCAGAACCAGATGAACCCGCTTGCGGGCTTCCAGAACCAGTCGCGCAGCCGCCGCGAGCTTGTGTCACCCGTGATGAACCGTGTGCGTCACGTGATGATCTCGAAGATGGTTAAGCCGTCAGAAGTGCTGATTGTCGAAGATGAGAATGGCGAAATTGTGCGTGAGACGACCAAGGACACGGAGGCTCTGTCGCAGTATAAGACAATGCACGAGACGCTGGTGTACCTCACGCACTTGAACTACGATGACACTGAGACGATCATGCTGGAGAAGCTTACGGCCCAGGTCGAGGGCACGGAATGGTCGTGGAACAACCTGAACACGCTTTGCTGGGCTATCGGATCGATCTCGGGTGCGATGAGCGAAGAGAACGAGAAGCGTTTCTTGGTTACGGTGATCAAGGACCTTCTCGGACTGTGCGAGATGAAGCGTGGCAAGGACAACAAGGCTGTTGTCGCTTCTAACATTATGTACGTCGTTGGACAGTACCCGCGTTTCCTGCGCGCCCACTGGAAGTTCCTCCGCACTGTTGTAAACAAGCTGTTCGAGTTCATGCACGAGCTTCACCCCGGTGTGCAGGACATGGCGTGTGACACCTTCCTTAAGATCTCGCAGAAGTGCCGGCGCAAATTCGTGGTTCTTCAGAGCGGTGAGAGCCGTCCGTTCGTGGAGGAGCTGCTGGAGGAGCTGCCCCGTATCGTTTCGGATCTGGAGACGCACCAGGTGCACACGTTCTACGAGGCTGTGGCGTCGATGCTTGCTGCCGAAAACGATGCTGGCCGAAAGGAAGTGCTCCTTGGTCGCTTGATGAACCTCCCCAACGAGGCCTGGAAGTCCATTATGTCCCAAGCATCGCAGGACGTGAACATTCTGTATGACAGCCGGGGTATCAAGGAAATTGTGAAAATCATCCGTACGAACGTGAGGGTGTGCAAGGCTATCGGACCTAACGGCTTCAACTCACAGATGGGCTACATTTTCCAGGACATGCTGAACGTGTACGTGGCGTACACGCAGCGTATTGCTGTGATGGTCGAACAGGGTGGAGAGATTGCTGTGAAGACTTCGGAGGTGCGATCACTGCGTAGTGCTAAGAAGGAGAGTTTGCGTCTGATGGATGCATTTGTGGAGCACACTGCCGGAGATGACTCGTCCCGGCAATTCGTGGCTACCCACTTCCTACCCAAGCTTTTGGAGACGATCCTCTCAGACTACCAGAACACAACGCCTACTGCTAAGGAGTCCGAGGTGCTTAGCTTGCTGGCTACGAGCATCAACAAGCTGAAGACCATCATTGCGCCCACTGTGCCGATGATCCTCGAGGCTGTGTTTGAGTGCACCCTTCAGATGATTACCAAGAACTTCGAGGACTTCCCGGAGCACCGTGTGAACTTCTTCAAGCTGCTGCAGGCTGTGAACGACTTCTGTTTCGAGGCGCTGTTCAGTATCCCCCAGGAGCACCAGAAGCTGGTTGTGGACTCGATTATTTGGGCCTTCAAGCACACGGAGCGCAATGTTGCTGACACGGTACGTGCTCTTTACCACTGTGATTGTTGCGAATATGATACATGTGTACTAATGGGATTTTCGATTCTGGTTACTGCTACGATAGGGTCTCGCCACGCTGTTTGCGCTGCTGCTGAACATCCAGGAGAACCCGCAGATCGCCGCCGGCTTCTACCGCTCGTTCTACTTGCTCCTGCTTCAGGACATTCTCGCCGTGCTGACCGACCGTCTGCACAAGTTCGGCTTCAAGCTGCACGCGGCGATCTTGCGTCACATGTTCATGATCGTGGAGAACAACCACGTGGTCGTGCCTCTGTGGGAGTCGGTGCCCAACGCGGGTCCGGTACCGCCCGGCCAGACCAACTCGGTGCGTAATTTGTATCGTCGAACTCGATTTGCGTTTACCCTTATCTGACCTCGGTTGTGTTGCATTATTTATCAGGCGTTCCTCAAGGACTACGTGGCCAACCTGATCGGCTCGTCGTTCCCGAACCTGTCGCGCGCACAGGTCGTGGAGTTCGTGGTGGGCTGCTTTGACATGTCGAAGGACCTGCCGACGTTCAAGAAGCACCTGCGCGACTTCCTGGTCAACATCAAGGAGTTCGCGGGCGAGGACAACGCCGAGCTGTTCCTGGAGGAGAACCTGGCGCGGACGCAGCTGCAGGAGAAGCAGGACATGGCCGCCAAGCTGGCAGTGCCCGGCCTTGTGAACCCGAACGAGCGCCCGGACGAGATGGCCGACCTGTAGGCCAAGGACGCGGCAAGCAGAGAGATGCATGGCGGCAGTGACCTAAAACTGACCTACTACGTTATGTTGCAAAAAAATCAACATTTCCCTTTTTCATCGCACAAAGGATCAATTTTGGTCCCACTGAGATTCATTTGGTTTTTGTATGCATATTTGTGTACGAAAATGTCGACGCCCGCCATTTTTGCGCCGCAGACCGAAACTGCATCCAATGTGGCGGCCAAAAGGCATGGTAGACAGGGTCCCGCGCCGGCCGCAGGGCCTCGCGACGATGTCGGCGCGCAAGTCGGCGCCCGTCTCGGCCGGCGGCATCAACGCGCGCCGCCTCGAGCAGTGGCGCGTGGCGGCGGAGGCGGCCGAGCGCAAGCAAGACGAGGAGGGAGAGGACTACGAAGACGAAGGAGAAGAAGAAGAAGAAGAGAACGAAGAGGAGGAGAAAGAGCTCAATAACCAGTGCGGGAACCCGTTCTGCAAGCAAATATTGACCAATCGCTACGCGCGCTTCTGCGAGACCAAGCCCATGTGCCAGCGCTACCGGGCGCTCAAGCTGCAGTGTCTGGCCAACGCCCAGGCGGAGGAGGACGAGGAGGACACGCGGCCGCTGGCAATGGTGCTTAAAAAGAAGAAGAAGAGGAAAGAGGACGAGGAGAAGAAGAAAGAAGAAGAACCTTTCGCCATCCCCAGGAGGAAAAAGGCGGAGAATGGAGCAGGGAGAAGGCTGAATTTAAACGCCGCCGCCGCTCCGATTGAGGAGAGAAGCAGGAGCAACTCGAGTAGTCCTCGGGAGGTGGTGAGAAGGCAAAAGAAGAGAGAAATGGACAAGAAGGTGGGGGAAGAGAAGGAGAAAGAGGACAAGAGACAGAGAAAAAAGTTGAAAAGAGCGAGAGAGGCGGCTGAGAGCAATGGCACGACGTCCACTTCGGTGGTGACGAGTAATCCCCCCAGCGTCCAAAGCTCTTCGGTCTCGTCCGAGGAGGAGTTTGTGTCGCTAGCTGATGAATTGAAGAAGAGGATACGCCCGAAAGACCCACGGACACGACGGCCACCAGACGCAAGTAGCGACGCTGAAGCTGGAGCGGGGACTGCAGGCGTGAAAAAGCGTCGACTAAGTCGACACATTAGTGCAGATGACGTGTTGTCTCGGTCAGCATCGGCGTCGCCTGTGAGTGCTACGCCTGCGGCATCTGCATCCGATACAAACTGGAAAATTCCTCGGGCCAAGCCTGGGAAGACGAAGATGACAACGGCGCAGGCAATCAGGAGGAGCACGAGTGTGGAGTTAGTGGCGCTTGGCGTTGGGAGCCAGGCAAATTTCCCTGGTGGAGGGCGATACGTACAAAACGGGAATCGAACGGCAGCACAGTCGTTGAGACCCACGGGTCCGCGAGTAAGGCCACCGACCAAGTTCGCTTCCCCCACAGCTACAGCTCCTGTTGCTCCACCAGTTGTTTCGTCAAGACCCATGCAAGCCACGCAAGCACCTCCACCAGCTCCGACACAACCACCGCCGCTACCGCCGCTGCCTCCACACGCTCCGCCGTTGCCCCCGCTGGTGCCTCAACCAACGCAGCGTACTCAAATGGTCACGCCTTCATCATCGCCTGTGAGAAATCTAGCGATAGCATCCAGCTCCGTGTCGTCCGCTGCTAAAACAACTACAGCTTCGTCGACAGCAGCAGCGACTGGGACGTCTGGAATAAAGCGGATTTCGGCTTCGGACTATCGGAAAAATAGGAAAGAGCAGAATCTCGAGAGGGGAGACCAGCCCCCATCACGATCATCGTCGCTGGAGAGCTCAAGTAGCTTGCCTGATGAACGTGCTTCTGCATACCCTGTAGTGCCCCCGTCTTCGAGTTACCCAGGTAGGCCTGAGAATCGTCGGAGTGACAGTGCTCCACTGCCACCTTCTTCTTCGTCGTCTGCATTGAGACCAAGAGAACCAAGCGCCAATTTAGATCCCCGTCGTCCATATCCAGACAGTGCGGAACAGTTTCGACGCCATCAACCATACTACGAGGGCGAAAGTGGTAGAATGGAGTATCAAGACAGATCAGCGGTCCGCGGTGAATATCTGGACAATGGCTACACGCCAGGATCAGGGCAATGGGAGAGGCGTAGCTACCCTCCACCCCGTGACCCTTATCCTCCTCGCCACCAGGAACCTTCTTCATTTGGCACCGGCAGTGGTCGTGATGGAGGTAGCTTTGACTACGCGATGGATACCCACTTCAGCCCAGCATCGTCTCCGCCTGATCCTTCGTACAGGAGAGAACCCCAGCGTGATGAACTCCCGCTCCCACCGCGTGTGCCAAGTCCTCGACGAAGTGAGTCAGCACGTGGGAATGGTGACCGAAGAACCTCCGAGTTCGACAAGCTGGATGAGGACGCGCCGACGTTCTCCTACCACGAATCCTTTTTGCCGCAGTTGCTGTCCATATTTATTCACAAGTTCCCGTCCTCGCTTGATGCTATCTCGAACGTGACGAAGAAGCCGCGCAAGATGAACTGGTACATCAAGTACGTCGAACGAATTGAGCGATTGTGCGAACCGCACGACCTACGCGTGAAGTTTGAGGGCTCGAAAGCAGTGGTGACTGTGCGTGGCCGTGAGTGGCTAACGTTGCAGGGTTCGTCAACGGTTACGCTGCACATGGATGTCCTTAAAAGCTTGAAGGCGCAGGCTCTTACATGGCTAACTATGTATGAAGAAATGGAGAAGGCTCTCAAACATTGCAGGGGCATCTACGGCAATCAAACGAACGAAAGCTACACTTTCCTTCGGGCGTGGAACGATTTGAAGCGGTCGGGAAGCTATATCTCTCTACCGAGACAGGCGAACTACTTCTGTGGTGCGCGACTCCATCACTGGAATTTTGTGGTTGGGAAAGTGGAGATCGGAAGTGGGAGTCATGAAGAGAAGCGAGAGGCTTTCCGCTTGGCTACGGTGAGTGCACTACATTTTCTACTGAATGCAGGCCGAGGAACCCGGCGTCCTCGTCGTCCAAGTGAAGTCAAGCGTGAGCGAAGCTCCGAGGCAACTCAAGTCAGTGACAGGAGGCAGCAGCGGAGCTCAAGCCGCGAGCCACCCGTCAGCACTAGGGTGCAACCTAGTAGCGAACGTGTTGGCGGGGGTTCTACTGAACCATTGCCTACCTCTGGGCGGCCACCAACTACTACTTCACCGCCAGCACGCGGGGAGCCATCGGCTTCTGCCGAGCAGCCCTCCGTGTCAGACTCAGCAGTCTCTACTGAACCACAACCTGCCGCCACAGCTACCGGCGCACAGGCTACCACTGAGCAACCAGCCACCACGAACGAGCCACAGTCTTCTGCAGAACCATCGTCTTCTCCCGTCACTGTGGAACGTACGGAGAAGGAGCCTGCTGTAGCTGTCATACCGACTACTGACTCAAACAGCAGCAACGAGGTGGCAGATGCTGCAGAACAGAGTGACCCGGGCGAGGAAATGAGCATCAGCGGTACGAGCTTGCATGCTTTTGTTCGGGGGGGTGTTGATTCGTCTACTAATCTGCGTTATCACTTCATTTATCGATGTAGACGGCAGCGACCTGGGCGCGATAACTCCAGCCTGCTCTCCACGCTTACCAACGGGATCTGCTTCCACCGTTGTTCGGTCTACCACAACAGCTTCTGCTTCTCCAAAAGCGGCGACTTCTTCAAGTATTGCGACGGACTCTTCCACGGCTGCACCGCTACCGTCGTCTGTGTCGAGTGAGATGGTGGCTACGGCAGTCAAGCTCGCGGCTGTTGCTGGTGTATCTACTGCATCCAGTACTCCGGCGTCCCAAACCACTGTTAAAGCGGCGGTGCCTGCTCGCCGGTGCATGATGTGCGAGATGATTCGAATGCGAAAGCCGGACGGAGAGCGCTGTCTACGCTGCCAGCAAAAGGGTGCCCCTGCAAACGGGTTGCTTGGCTCGTAGCTGGGCTCTCTTGAGCGGGCAGCAACAATAATTATTAAGGTCCTCGTTATAGATCGCAAGATGCCGGCATCCCCTTGCGTAAAGCGGAATACTACAAGAGCTTACTGGTGCGGCTCGGAGGTCAAAAATGCGATGCGAACGCCACCAGTAATTTATTTAACGCGCATGAACAATGCCCAAGTGTCAACGAGGTTTTCCATGCTGCTACAATGGGAAGCATCAGCTCGGCAACAACAAAACGTCTTCGAGCGGGCGCTCTACCAACTGAGCTACAACGTATTACCAACGATTGAAGCGGGGCTTGCAGAAATGGCAAGAAAAAACTTTTTTTTCCTTTCGAATTGAGTTGCCACGCACACAACAACTACGATACCTTTACAGTAAGCCTTCGCTCACGTGATGCTACCACGTAAACGCCCGGAGCTGCGTTGGCTCTTGCCCTTGCTGTCTCAGGCCGATTGCAGTTTGTGGGACCGCGCGTCTCGACGCTGGGCGCATTTAACACGCCATCCCCCTCCATGAGCCAGTTCGGGCGCCTTCGCCGCGCTAGACACGCACGCGGAAGCTCGCTCTGGGCTCGGTGTAGTCGAAGTCGCCGGCCAATGGGCGGGTAGCGCCAGAAACGATGCAAAGCTCGGCGCAGCGACGCACGCGGCACGAATAGCTCAAGCGACTTCGAGCTCCTTTGACACGGGCGGCAGCTTGCAGTGGGGGCAGACGCTGGCTGGCATCTTGGTTGTTGCATTCCCCAATTTCTCGCCACCACAACACACACACTCACACTCACCAAGAGAGACCGAGTCATGAGCATCACCGCCGTGAACGCTCCGACGCACGCGGACGTGCGCTACTTCGACAACTCGTGGCTGCAGATCGGCCAGGACCTGCGCACGCAGCGCTGGAAGAACGTGGTCACCATCGACCGCATGCTGCTCCACCACCGCCCGCACGAGGTGCGCACGCACGTGGAGCAGAACACCAACTGGAGCGCCAAGACCTTCACGCTCGCGCTCAAGGTGGAGCGCATCCTCTTCGAGGCCGCGGCCTCGCGCGAGAGCTACCTGGACGAGAAGACGCTGCGCGCGCGCGTGGCGCAGGTCTCGCGCCGACTCATCGAGCTGCGCAAGCGCAAGAACATGGCCAAGTTCGGCCTGCGGTTGCCTCGCCACGTCCCCGTGGCGAAGCGCGCGCGGCAGTGAGCTCAGGACTCAACCAAGGACCAAACCACCGCCTCTAGGGCATTGTACAAGTATAAGTTAGGTATCGACTAGTGTATTCTTCTGCTGCACAATGCGGCCTGCACAGCCTGCAGCTAAATTAAATGAACAATTCATACGACCCAAGCTTTACTTTGGCTTCCCGAAGAAACCTCTGCTTTTTGTCAGAACGAAACAACCCACAGATGCAGCATCGGATGCTGGAAGCGCCCGAACTCGAAAAATATTTGCTCATATCTTTTGTTTCGACTTCTGAGATCGAGCACCCAATCCGCATTACGGAGCTCATTGAAGTCCGGGAGAAGCTCCATTCTGCGAAAACAATGCTACATTTTGCTGGCCATTGCCTCCGGCATGCAGGCGGCGTAAGGCCATATTGGCTCACGTTGCAGCAGCAATGACGGCAGCATCTGGCCGCGACCCAGTCCTACCTGTTGCCGTGCTGCTCGTAGGTTATATGCTGCGCGTGGTGGACCGGAGCCGCATTTCCTGCAGCGAGCGGCGGCTATCCTGCCATGCTTGCCACGCCTGCAGCGCCCCCATAGTTGAGCGAGTCCCTATTGTTGGCCTGATGCAGCGGCAAAGACGCCTCCGAAAGCGACCATGGCCTTCGGCGGCAGCTCCCGACAGCGTTACCGTTGGGCTCACCAGGAGAACTCAGCCTATGGGCCGAATCAGGGCCAATAGAGTTTCCTCCGCGCGCGCCGCTGCCGCGTGCTGGGGACGCATTCGTCCCCATCGCCGCTGCTTGGATCCAAGCCCGCAGCACTTCAGGCTCAAAAAGGCAACTTCCAGTTGAAGTGCGGGGGTTTCAGTCGCGAGCCGATTTTTCCGGAAACGGTTTCCCGATTTTTTGCCTAAAAAATTGGGGAGTGCGGCGGCTTGGTAATGAGATTGCGGGCATACCGGCACCGCTGCCGAGGATTTGCATGGTCTGCCGAAGCTGGGCCGGCCGCGGGTCGCTCGTGGCAAGAACGGTTCTTGCCGGTCGAGACTCTCGGATACGAATCGCCGCCGCGTTCGCGCACTGCGCTCGAGCCTCCACTTCGGGGCGTCGCGAGGTCGGTCTGCTGCGGTTGGTATGCGACCTCCGGCACAGAGAAGCTCGGATAGCGCAATACATGTTCACACACCGCACAGGAGGCCCTGATCAGGCAGGCTGCAGGCTAGCACACAGCGAACCAGGCCTGAAGCTATCAAGCCTCGGAGGAGGTGAGCTTGGCTACAGCGTTGGCCGTTGTCTTGGATATGGATCTCCCGCAAACGCGAGTTAAACGCCCCCAAGCAGTGCAGGAAGGCCTGGCCTGGCAGTCGTTTGATCGCTGCTGAGACTTTGGCTTCGGCACCGTTCGAGGATCCAGCTTTTTCTCGAGCCGCCAAAGACACGCACGTCTGGAGAACGCGTGTCTACCCTCGAGTCCGGACGCTGCAAGCGCCCGCTGCGATCGGGCTGAGATTTTCTCGACTCGATCGATGCACCGGCTGCAAAGCCTGGAAACTGGAGCTGGCTGGCCCGTTGAAAGAACTTCGCCCCCGATGGAACAGGGGCAGCGCTTCCTGCCTGCTGGTTGCTGCCCGGCGCCCGGCGGAAACACACGAGCATCGCTGGTCGAGCCCCTGCAATCCATTGCATGTTGCAGTAGCCCCAGGCGGCACCGGTGCTGCATGTACAATGCCGGCGCTGTTCCAGCTCGTTCGGTCAAGTGCTGCCGATGGCATTTGCTAAGCGGTCCAAGATGCAACGACAACTTTCATCATCCCGTTCGTCGTGCGGGCTCTGCTCTGCGCTGCTGGGAGGAGCGACTATTGTACATGTACCTACATGTAGTGCAGGGCGCCCCTTGTTTACAAAACGGACTGCTTGGTGAAAGAGTTGCTCCTCGCGATTGATTGCCTGTTTAACGACGCCATCCTCCTTCGCCATCACCTTTCTCAACAATTGTATCCGTCATGCTCTTCGAACCAAGCACCACCACCACCACCAACAACAACAACTCGATAGTCAACCACCAGCACGTGCAGGTTACACAAGGATCGAAAGTTGGGTTTCCAAACGGGAGGTGATAAATTATAATACATCTTAGCCTAATTATTGTATGGGGTAAATACCAGCAAACTATACTACGTGCTTGCTGCATCCGATGTCGGCGCTCGCTGCTGTGAGCCACCCTGTCGATCCGCACGAAGTGTACAGGTCAGAGCGACCTGTACGAGGCGTCCTGCCGCGACGGACTTGTGGCAGGAGGGTCGTTCCGGACTCGCGACTGACTCAAACGCGACACTACATGGGCAGCGTGGGCGTTTCTGCCATCGACACCCAGCAGTGTCGCACGGGTAAGAACCTGAAACCGGGGGGGGGGGGGCTCGACAAATGACGGCGATCCGACTCTGGATGGGGGAATCTAACCTAGCACCGCTTGGGGACGCCCTCCACCATGGCGTTCTTGCGCATGCGGATGCGAACCAGGTAGCGGCACAGGATCTTGACGCGGTGGTGCAGGGTGTGTTCGTCCAGGTAGTCGGCGCGCGACTTGGCGGCCTTGAACATGAGGCGCTCGATCTTGAGGGCGAGCTTGAACGTCTTGGAGCGCCAGTCGGTGTTCTCCGGTACGTGGTTGAGCACGTCGTGCGGCTGGTGGTTGCGCAGCATGCGCTCGATCACGACCACGTAGTTGGAGCGCAGGCGGCGCAGCTCGTCGTCGCTGTTGAGGCGCCAGTCGCAGGCCGTGGACACGGCGGGGGGCACAACCGCGTTGTTGTTCAGCGGGAAGCGCTGGAAGCCCGGGAGGCCCGGGCGGTTGATCATGTTGGTGGACGCCGTGGTGACTGAGTAAAGGTGAATGTGGGTCTCGGAGGCCGAATCGAAAAGTGACTCGAGCCACGAACGGAGCGTTTGGGTTATCGGCTGAATTGGGCAAAATCGATAGTGAGCTCGTGGCCCGCGCTTGGAACTCGGCCAGCGTCCTGAGCTAGAAATGCGTTTGGCTGTCGGAAACGTATTTTTGAAGTTTGACCCGCGCCAGAAAAACTGCGACGCGTCCTCAGCGCAATTCATTTCGTGACTCTGCTGCCGGCGCGATGAGGCGACGGCCTGCGCTGGCATTTAACGGCGGGTAGGTTCTTTGACGCGAAAGACACGCGCTGACGAAATGGTCCCCAAATTAGGCTCCGAATTGCTCCCGCCGTTTAACACCGCCAAGTTGGCCTAAACCCGAACGTTTGCCGCGTGAGGAGACTCGGCGAGGGCTGATTGCATTGCTTGCTCCTTGCTCCGGTTAACTTTTGCCTGCGACGCCGACCCCGCTTGTGGCTTTACTTGAACTCTCCGGTTTGAAGCCGGAGTTTGTGCCGAAGCAAGCCGAAGCTCGCAAATCCCCGACTGCGATCTTCAGGAACAGGACGGGCCCGACTGCAACGGGCCGCGCATTCGGGCATGGGTACACCGGGCTTGGTGCAGCAACACGTGCCTCTAGCGCGCCTTCCGTCGGCTAATATTAGCTCGGGTGAACGAGTGGTAGTCGCGGTGACAACAGCGCAGTTGGCTGCACTGCTGCCTGCAGGCCGCTCGCAAGTGTCGCTCGGTGACTCAAAGCGGGAAGACCGCAGTCGGACTTGGCGCCATCAGGTCGGCCTGCTCCCCTTTCCCCAGCGCCCAGCGCTCTCGGCAAGAGCCTCGGCAATCGGGAAGCCTTGCAGCAATTCGCACTGACGACCCTAAATCACGGTGAAATAAGATCATTTCGAGGTGTCCACAGTGTAAAACTTAGCTCGGGAGTGTAAAATTGGTTGAAGTCACCTCCAGTTAATTCGGCTCGTCGTGCAGTCTGTGCGGGGCGCAGCACCACGAAAGCCATGGCAACTGGCAAGCAATGCAATGGTATGGCACCGCTCCCGATCACCGCCGCGACGTCGGCCAGCTTTGCACCTGCAATTGGTCTACATGTTGACATGGCCAAAAAGGGACCAAGCGAAATGTTGGCAAATTTTGCTATGCAAGGGATTACTCCGTAAAACGCTGCCCAATTCCTCACCCTGCGTGGTGCGGTAGCAGTTTAGCCCAGCACCAACAAGTTTTAGAGTGCGGCTGCGGCGGAGTCTGACCCCCTCGAACGCGCTAACTCCTCTGCTGGAAGATCGCTGCTTGAAGCAAGGCCACAAAGAGCGGCGCTGTGTGCTGCTTGGGTGCGTCCGATACCTACTAATCCGACGCGCGCGTGTCTGGCTGCCTCCCGCGGCTTGATCACTCAAGTACAGGGCAATAGTACCTGTTGCGGCTGGATGGCGGCCAGCGATGAACGCTAGCGAAGACCTAAACTACAGTAAGTGCTTCAACCGAGACCCAACGGCAACTTCAACGGGGTGGCGAGCGTGCTGCCGCCGGCTGTCTTCGGCGGGGCTCCCCGTGTTGCCTGGCTTCTCTAGAGCTCCGCCTCAGCCACTGCCGCCGGCATTGCGACGCGTGCTGCCGCAGCTTCTATCGCGAGCTACACGGCCGTTGCCAGGATGCCCTAAGCAAGCGTTCGCCGCCAGCAGCAGCAAGCTGCGAGCGCGCTGGTTGGTGGCGCGAACGGAGCTCGGTCGGTGACAGCAGACCAAATGCACTGACGAACTCGAGCGAAGCCTCGCGCTGCAAAGCATGCGCTGCTGGCAAAGACACGTCGCGGAATCGAGCCAGCCTATGCCTCCGGCGCTGCTTGAGTCGCCCGCGTCTTTGGCGCTCCGCTTCAACTTGCCGCACGTACACCCCGCCAAGATCGCTCGGCAGGCCCCTCCAATACCGATGCCGATCGCCTTTGCAGCGCGCTGGCCCCAATCGGCCTTGCATGCTCACGCTTGCCAGCGCTTCGGCCTGAAAATCTGGCGATCGGGTGTGGCATCCGGCAACTACAGCGCCCGATCGTATGCCGGCAAAGATGCCGGGGCATCGGTTATAGAGACACTTCGTCTCACTGCTGCGCTGCTTGGCGCGGCGAATAACTGCTGCTTTCCAGCGCGGCAGGCCAGCGCGATTTTGCGAGCGCTGGTAGCGACTTGCGATGCAGGCTGCCTGCAGCTACGAGCTGGAGCCTAACCCGACATCACGTCTTACAAGAGAGGGCAGCAAACCGCATAGCAGCGCTCGGCAGCGGCGGCGCCAAGAGGACTTGCTGACGCATTTTCAAGGGCGGTGGCTCGACGTCCTGCAGAAGTAAAACTGCGCTTAAAAATGAGCTTGCCGGCCGAGTGAGCAGCACGCGAAATGCCACTGCGTCCGAGCTGCTGGTTGGACCAAGCCGCGCGTGGCTCCTGTTGCTCGTCCAACGGCTTATTGGCGTCTTGACCGTGGATATCTATTGCAGTCTTGCGGGCTATGACTCAACGGCTGCCTCCAGTCGCTGACAAGCAAAACGTAGTGCCAATATTATGATATGTTAAGACATCGGATCGCAACAGATATCCACCAATTGACCAAAATCGGAACGTCCACTTTCCCTCTTAAAACAGATCCCCACCATTTCCGAAAAAAAAGTTTTTCGGAAATGGTCACGCAGTTCTTACCTGGAAGCCACGTTTTGCCTTCGGGGTAGCACTGTCTAACTGGGCCAGTCAAAAACGAGTCTCAGACTGCAAGTCCTCATGCTCGCGCTGCGTCAACACCTCCGCGGCGCGCGTGCCGCTCAAGCAGCACGCGCAGGCTCCAGCCTCACACAGCAGCAGCTTCATTATGTCGCGCAGCCCGCCGCTCGCTTGTTCCACTCGCTGGGGCTCAGCGGCGCGTTGTCCGACCGATTGACGCAATTGGGACTCACGACCCCCACTTCGGCCCAATGCAAGGCCATTCCGCCCATTCTGGCGGGCGAGGACGTCGTGGTGGCCGCCGAGACGGGCGGCGGCAAGACGCTCTCCTTCCTATTGCCCGTGGTGGAGCAGCTCCGTCGCAACCCGCTGCCGCCCAGCGAGATGCGCCTGCCGACCGCGCTCGTGCTCACCACGTCGCAGGAACTCGTGCGGCAGCTGGCCGCCGTGCTGCACCAGGTCGACCCGGAGCTCGCGCGGCTTGCCGTGAGCTTGTCGTCCTCGAGACAGACACTAGGGCAGCACGGCAGCCGCGCGTGCCCGCTGGTGTTCGCCACGCCCGGCGCACTGCTGCGCGCCACCAAGCCCCGAGACTTCGCCTTCACGCAGATGGTGGTCGTCGACGAGGCGGACATGCTGCTGAGCGGCGGCTTCGAGAAGGAGACCAAGCAGATCCTCGCGACGATCCGCAATCAGCCGCTGCTGCGGGCCGAGCTCAATAGCTGCACAGACAGCGACTACAAGGACCGAGACTTCGACGAAGACGACTTCTCCGCGGACCGCACCCAGACCGTCTTCAGTGCAATATCCTCTCTACGTTTTCTTTGTCATGTTGCATGTGCTGTTTTAGCGTGTATTGGTAGTGACCCGGTGGTGTTCTCCTTAACCCCGTGTGAGATGGCTTCGTGTGTGTTTTCTTTTTGTGGTCCTTTACGCGACGATCCCTGACTACGGCAAGCGTTCTGTGCGCCACTACATCGACTACAAGTTCCCGTCCACGGTCTTCGCCATCACTGACGTAAGGAAGTGTTTAGTGTAGTACTGAGGTTGGTGTGTATATTTTTCGGTGCTGACTTTTCTTTCATTTAACCTCGTAGGGTTTCCACCGTACACTGCCGAAGTTGACGTTGCATGCCCATAACTTGCAAGAATTTATGGCGACCGGCGACTTCATGGACGAGCAGCACGCGCGTTGCGAGCTGCTGCACCAGATCTTGACGTCTAACGACGAGGCTGGGGTATCGGCAGGTGAGAAGACGCTGGTCTTCACCAATTCCATCGCGAGCGCCGACGCGCTGTTCGATTTCTTGCAGAGCGAGAAGGGCATGGCCAACTGCGCTTTGTTCCACAAGGAGGTGGACCGACCGCAGCGCCAGCAGCTCCTCAAGCGACTCGACAGCGAAGCCGACGCCGACAAGGACCTCGTCGTCATCTGCACGGACATCGCCGCGCGAGGCCTGGACACCACCAAGGTGTCCCATGTGGTCCAGTTCGAGTTCGCCAGCGACGTCGTGAGCTACCTGCACCGTATCGGCCGCACGGGGCGTGCAGGCACAACCGGAACCGTGTCCAGCATCGAGTCCTCGGAGAACAGCCTCGTGCTGGACAAAATCCGCGAGGCCGGGTCGTCCACGCTGCAGAACGCCTTCAGTCGGAAGCGCAGCCTCCGCAAGAAGTTCAAGAAGGCGCTGCGCCCCAGCAACAGCGACTACTAGGCTAATAGAGTATGGATATGTATCTGCCATTCCGTGACTGCGTCCCCTCGCTGTGAAGCGAAACCCCTGTCTTGTCGCCTCTTGGCACCGACTGCTCCAAGATCACTTCACCCCTGCAACTACAGGGCCGCTAGATCCATCGCTATGGCCGACACCAGACAGCTCAAGCTGCGCCGTGTCATCGGGTACAATGGTACGTAGCCCCTTGCTCCGTTGCTTCGCTGCGTACTAATAATTGTGGTGGCAGGCACGTACCCGGACACGCTCATCTACACGACGGACGGCAAGTACCTCATCTACTCGCTCGGACTGGCGGTTGTGGTCAAGGACATCAAGCGCAACACGCAGTGCTTCCTTCGCGGCCACACGGATGTGATCACGTGTCTGGCGATCTCAAATGACGGCTCCAAGCTCGCGTCCGGACAGCAGAGCAAGAGTCGAGGCAACAAGGCCCCCGTAATCGTCTGGGACCTCGCTGAGGCCACCACGCGCCTCTCAGCGTCGGCGGATGGTGGTGACGGCGACCGTGGCGACAATTTCGTGGCCTTCCGTCTCGTGCTGCACATGGGCAAAGTGCAGGCGCTGGCCTTCTCCGCTAAGGACAGCTTCCTGTTCACGGTGGGCGGTCAGGACGACAACGCACTTGTGTGCTGGAACATGGAGAATGGTGAGCCAATCTGCGGCACGCCGTCCGGGGACGACTCGACGCTCGTAGTCGCTGCGTTTAACCGTGAGGCGAATGATGAACTGTTGGTCACGGGTGGCAACTACATGATCACCGTTTGGCGCGTAGAGATCAAGAACCGCAAGTTCCACGCGCTGCGTGCCAACCTGGGGAATCTCAAGCGCATTGTGACGTGCATTGGCGTGTCGCCGGACGACAAAGTGGCGTACTGCGGCACCAAAACCGGCGACTTGCTCGAGATCCTGCTCGACTGCGATCTCACCAACCCCAATTGTCTGTTCCCACCCGTCGGAACGCACAAGCCGCGATACAGCCGCACCACCAAGGAGCGATTCAGCCAGGGAGTTGTCACTCTGCTCGTGCACGACAATGAGGAGAACCGCCGCTTTGTCCTGATCGGTGCAGGGGACGGAAACCTTGCAGTGCTGAAGCTCGGACCCGCGAGCGTGGCCTCGGACGGATCCAAGACGCAACCTATTGCTACGGCTTGTATGGAGAAGCTCATGGGCGGTATCACGGCGCTGAGTGAAGGAAAACACGGCGACTTTTATGCTGGAACGAACCACTCCAACATGTATCAGTTCCAGCTCGCTGAGGACCCGAGCTCCGGTGGCAACGGGTCGCGCTCGAACAACCGTCCCGGTAGTGCAGCCCCCAGTGGCACGGGACTGCGCGTGGTGCTTCGCTCTACCTGCCACTACGGCAGCATCAACGACGTCGTGTTCCCCAGCTCGGCCACGCGCAGTCCGACGGACAACTCGCACTTGTTCCTCACGTGCGCCAAGACGGACATTCGCATCTGGAACGCTCGGCGTTGTCAGGAAATTCTGCGCGTACAGGTGCCCAACCTCGTTTGCAACTGCGTAGAGCTCACACGTGACGGAGGACTCGTGGTGAGCGGCTGGGACGACGGCAAAGTGCGCGCATTTTACCCGGAGAGTGGCAAGCTCAAGTTCGTCATCCAAGACGCGCACAATGAGGCGGTGACGGCCATCGCGGTGTGTCCTCCAGCGTCCTTCTCCTCGTCCGCATCTTCTTCGTCGTCCTCCTCAGCGGCTGAATGGAGACTAATTACCGGTGGCAAGGATGGACGTGTGCGCGTGTGGCGCATTACTCCGTCTCGACAGACCATGGAGGCGTCTCTCAAGGAGCACCGCGGCCCCGTGAACGCAATTCAAGTGGTGCAAGACTGCACCGCGTGTGTGAGCGCGTCTTCGGATGGGTCCTGCATCGTGTGGAACCTCGAGACCTTCGTACGCACCCAGGCCATGTTCGCGTCCACCGTCTTCCGCCGCGTGCTCTACCACCCGGACGAGAGTCAACTGCTCACGTGCGGCTCCGACCGAAGGATCACCTACTTCGACGCCTACGACGGCGAGGCCATTCGCTTCTTGGAAGAGGCCGCGGAGCTCGAGATGCTGGCCATGGACATTGAGCACAGCGGCACGCTGTTCGCCACCGGCGGACGCGACGGAATGCTCAAGCTGTGGCATTACGACAACGGCGAGACGGTGGCCATCGGCCGCGGCCACAGCGAAGCCATCAATGCAGTCAAGATCTCGCCGGACCGCAAGGAGATCGTCACCGTCGGCTCCGAAGGCGCCATTATGATCTGGGAAATGGGCGACTTGCTGGAGCAAGCACGCGGTTAACCTGCTGGTACTCGTTGTTCTCTTTCTTCTAGCTAGGGCTTGATAATAAAGACAGCTAGCTACCTATTGCCATATCATTTGATTCTTAGCGTCGGTGACACTGTATTTTATGTCGATGGGAATGAAGGACGTGCTGTAAGATCGAATGCAAGTCTGAAATGCTTACAGCACATTGTGCTGCCTGGTATATGGCCAGTCTGTAGTCATCGTCGAATAGGGATTACTCGTCGTGCATTGGATCGGTGTGCTGTATTCCGACTTGCCATTGCGCATCAACGGATAATAGGCAACCTTACCACAACGTGGGGTGCGCAACGACTCGTTGAACGAGTGCTGAGTCAGCACTGCTGACGGTGCAAGTCGACCAACGGCAACAAGTCCTAAATCGATTAGCCAGCGCCTATCCAAGCAAGGCCAACGTTTGTCATTCATCCCAGTCATCTCTTGCTCAACACTTCCGCGCAGAGCCAGAGCCTGCAGTCAGTCAAACAAGATGGCACGAGCTGCCGTCGCAATGCGATTCGCACTCAAGGACCGCTTAGCAAATGCCATCGGCAGCACTGGACCGAACGAGCTGGAACAGCGCCGGCATTGTGCATGTAGCACCAGTACTGTCTTGGGCTACTGCAACATGCAATGGATTGCAGGGGCTCGACCAGCGATGCTCGTGTGTTTCCGCCGGGCGCCGGGCAGCAACCAGCAGGCAGGAAGCGCTGCCCCTGTTCCATCGGGGGCGAAGTTCTTTCAACGGGCCAGCCAGCTCCAGTTTCCAGGCTTTGCAGCCGGTGCATCGATCGAGTCGAGAAAATCTCAGCCCGATCGCAGCGGGCGCTTGCAGCGTCCGGACTCGAGGGTAGACACGCGTTCTCCAGACGTGCGTGTCTTTGGCGGCTCGAGAAAAAGCTGGATCCTCGAACGGTGCCGAAGCCAAAGTCTCAGCAGCGATCAAACGACTGCCAGGCCAGGCCTTCCTGCACTGCTTGGGGGCGTTTAACTCGCGTTTGCGGGAGATCCATATCCAAGACAACGGCCAACGCTGTAGCCAAGCTCACCTCCTCCGAGGCTTGATAGCTTCAGGCCTGGTTCGCTGTGTGCTAGCCTGCAGCCTGCCTGATCAGGGCCTCCTGTGCGGTGTGTGAACATGTATTGCGCTATCCGAGCTTCTCTGTGCCGGAGGTCGCATACCAACCGCAGCAGACCGACCTCGCGACGCCCCGAAGTGGAGGCTCGAGCGCAGTGCGCGAACGCGGCAGCGATTCGTATCCGAGAGTCTCGACCGGCAAGAACCGTTCTTGCCACGAGCGACCCGCGGCCGGCCCAGCTTCGGCAGACCATGCAAATCCTCGGCAGCGGTGCCGGTATGCCCGCAATCTCATTACCAAGCCGCCGCACTCCCCAATTTTTTAGGCAAAAAATCGGGAAACCGTTTCCGGAAAAATCGGCTCGCGACTGAAACCCCCGCACTTCAACTGGAAGTTGCCTTTTTGAGCCTGAAGTGCTGCGGGCTTGGATCCAAGCAGCGGCGATGGGGACGAATGCGTCCCCAGCACGCGGCAGCGGCGCGCGCGGAGGAAACTCTATTGGCCCTGATTCGGCCCATAGGCTGAGTTCTCCTGGTGAGCCCAACGGTAACGCTGTCGGGAGCTGCCGCCGAAGGCCATGGTCGCTTTCGGAGGCGTCTTTGCCGCTGCATCAGGCCAACAATAGGGACTCGCTCAACTATGGGGGCGCTGCAGGCGTGGCAAGCATGGCAGGATAGCCGCCGCTCGCTGCAGGAAATGCGGCTCCGGTCCACCACGCGCAGCATATAACCTACGAGCAGCACGGCAACAGGTAGGACTGGGTCGCGGCCAGATGCTGCCGTCATTGCTGCTGCAACGTGAGCCAATATGGCCTTACGCCGTCTGCATGCCGGAGGCAATAGCCGGCCACGTAAACGCCCGGAGCTGCGTTGGCTCTTGCCCTTGCTGTCTCAGGCCGATTGCAGTTTGTGGGACCGCGCGTCTCGACGCTGGGCGCATTTAACACGCCATCCCCCTCCATGAGCCAGTTCGGGCGCCTTCGCCGCGCTAGACACGCACGCGGAAGCTCGCTCTGGGCTCGGTGTAGTCGAAGTCGCCGGCCAATGGGCGGGTAGCGCCAGAAACGATGCAAAGCTCGGCGCAGCGACGCACGCGGCACGAATAGCTCAAGCGACTTCGAGCTCCTTTGACACGGGCGGCAGCTTGCAGTGGGGGCAGACGCTGGCTGGCATCTTGGTTGTTGCATTCCCCAATTTCTCGCCACCACAACACACACACTCACACTCACCAAGAGAGACCGAGTCATGAGCATCACCGCCGTGAACGCTCCGACGCACGCGGACGTGCGCTACTTCGACAACTCGTGGCTGCAGATCGGCCAGGACCTGCGCACGCAGCGCTGGAAGAACGTGGTCACCATCGACCGCATGCTGCTCCACCACCGCCCGCACGAGGTGCTCACGCACGTGGAGCAGAACACCAACTGGAGCGCCAAGACCTTCACGCTCGCGCTCAAGGTGGAGCGCATCCTCTTCGAGGCCGCGGCCTCGCGCGAGAGCTACCTGGACGAGAAGACGCTGCGCGCGCGCGTGGCGCAGGTCTCGCGCCGACTCATCGAGCTGCGCAAGCGCAAGAACATGGCCAAGTTCGGCCTGCGGTTGCCTCGCCACGTCCCCGTGGCGAAGCGCGCGCGGCAGTGAGCTCAGGACTCAACCAAGGACCAAACCACCGCCTCTAGGGCATTGTACAAGTATAAGTTAGGTATCGACTAGTGTATTCTTCTGCTGCACGACAGCTAAAATAAATGAACGATTCATAAAATACATGCAGTACTATTGCTTCGTGCTCCGCGGGCAGAGCGATGCATGTATACCTACATGTACACGCATCAAGCCGATCTTGACCTTGGGTCTCATTCGCGCCGCCGGTGATTGCTGACGTGGTGGCCACGGGTCGAGTAACCAAGCTGCATTACGTCTTCCGCCCAACTCGCGCATGTGTGCTCCCATGCAGTGCCTGCAGCTCTGCTTTACCAACAGCGGCCGCATCGGCGGCAGATCAAGGCGTTTTTGCTGGACAACCCGGCTGCTTGGGGCGCCGCCCTGAAACGGTTTAACTCCCGGAGCTTGCGTCGCGCTCGAATATGCCATACCGTACATATATGTATTGGCAATTCCGGAGCTCACGGAGGTGCTGACTGCGGGCCGACTAGGGCTATCCAAGCCGAGATGGTCATGTTGAGTCAAGGCGGACTCGATCGGTAAAAGCATGTTGGTCCTGTTCGGTGGGGTTTGATAGGAGGGTGGATGGGACGGAATAGCGCAATTCGCAGCAGATAGGCTGTAATAGAATGGTGAGAGTGGTAATTTCCTAGAGTTATCCTGGCGTTTTACGTTGCCGCATCGTGATTTACTTCAATTCGCACCCTACCCCTAGCTTATCCCTGCTTGAAGCCGCCGCGGAGATTGCCAATTTGGCAATGCCAAAACACAACTTGTCGCGCCGAGCCGAACAAGGCCGATTTCCTTGCGAGGACCATGTCCATGGCACCAGACCACTTTTTTAGCTAGCCGCGATCGCGATTTATCTGCCCAGAGAGGAAGAAATAGCGCGGCAACTTCAACACGTAGGGATCTGCAATCCCAGTCTGCAGTCGCTCATCTCGCAATGAGGCGGCCTCAAAAATGGCAGGAAGGCTGCCGTGCACTGGAATAGAGTGATGCGGTGCAGCCTCGTCTCTGGTTGGTACTGTAGTCGGACTCCGACGCGGCTCACGAGTGCGTTGCCAAAAGTTCGACCACCGCCCTGAGCGACGATTTGTCAAGAGAAGAGCCGGGAATTAGCACATGACCGTGTTTAACGCGACTTTTTGCGGACCAATCGCAGGGCCCCGCAGTAAGGATATGAGACCCGCGCCGCACGGACATGCACGTGTAATGGAAATGCGCTTGTTTGGGCTTTCCAAGCAGGCAGCCAGAGCCACAAGAGAGGAGAATCCCTCCCCGGCTCCGCGTGTACTCTGGGTTTGGCCGCGTCGAGCGAGAAGCTCCGAGCGCCGCGGTTGTCAACTCCCCGGACCTGCTGCCGCCGGCATTCCGCGCTTTGCTCCGTCTGCCGCATCCGCACCGAAGTCTCACTCCAAGCAGCAATGACTACCGGGCCGTTCTCATTCCCCGGTGTCCGCACGGCCGACGACGACGCCGCCGCCCAGAAGGCGAAGCAGGACTCGGGCGCCTTTTTCTTCGGCGTGGCGCCCACCGACCCCGCTGGCCCGTTCCAGGGAGCGTTCGGGGTGCCGGCGGGCTTCGGCCCCAACGCATACTCCGCGAGCAGCAGCTACAGCGCCAACTGGCGCGAGAACGACGGCGCCGTGCAGGGCCTGCGCACGCGCAACGTCGTGCTGATCGAGCAGATGCTGAGCAACCACGCGCCACACGACGTGCTCACGCAGGTGCCCGAGAACGTGGACTGGCACTCCAAGACCTTCCAGCTGGCCGTCAAGATCGAGCGCCTCATGTTCAACACGGTCGCCTCGCGCGAGGACTACCTGAACGAGAGCACGCTGCGACTGCGCGTGCAGAACTTGTCGCGCAACCTCATCCAGCTGCGCAAGCGCAAGAACATGCTCTCGGACAACTTCGCCGCGCTGTCCATGAGCTAAACCGGACTCGGCGGACGCCAGGCAGGCAGTCGATCGCGACGGGATTACGTTTCAGTGGCGGGTGCCCGAGAGGTCGCAACCAGCGGACCCTGCGACGATGTCGTCGCCAAGTGCACACCGCTGCCGTCTCATAACGCGGAGAAGCGTGAAGGTATTTATCGAGGCAAGCTTGCCCCGGATGCCCAGGCATCGAGGGGGAGCAAGGACACTCGACCTGTAGTTATGTACTATTTTAATGTAAATTTTGCCTTTCGTACAATTTGACTTGTTTGGCGTATGACGATTTATGCGATTTTCGCAGCAAAAGTCTTAGAGGTTTTGTTTCCGTTGGTGTGCTTTGCAACCGCAGACAATGAATTCAGGTCAATGCGCTGCACTCGAAGCAGTGCACTCCGCTGAGGTTGGCCTTGCCTCAGAAACTGATCCCTCGACCGTCGTCGTCGCGAAGTTGCGAAGTACGGAGATCCCCGGCCGCTTTAACGGAGACGGAGGGCACGCACGCACAGGGTGGCGGTGGTGTTCGCCTGCTTTACCGGCGATTGCGGGCTAATGTGTCCCGCCAAGAAAACCATCGTTGGGGCGTTGAACTGGCTGGCTGGCTGGGCTTGGCTTGTCTTGGCTTGAACCAGAGCGCAAGCCGCAGGGGGCGCGGAGACACGCGCGATGGAAGCTTGCCCGAGACGGAACCTCGTGCAGTTCTTTGCTGCCGACAACGAATTCTGCGGCTGCCGCCAGCTTGAATTTACTGCTTGTTTTGGCGGTCGAGGCGGCAAAATGTCAGAGTATCAATTACGGGATTTTTCCGGCCGATTTCGTCATTTTGTCGCAACCAGCCGAGATTCCGCAGCCGCGGTCCGGCCAGCAGGGTCATCGCACATGGTTACAAGTGCATGCTTACCTGCCAAGGGTAGACATAGGAAGTTATCTACTCTCGAAATAATAGTGGGTAATAGAAGCTTGTTGGATGTGAGATATATTTTCCGTTCGATGTTGAGGGATCACCTCCGCCGAGACGTCTAAACGGAAGCTTTCGAGCTAGAGTTAACATACCAACCGCGGCGGCTAGCCTGGTAAAATGCCAATGCTGCCGTACTTTTATCTGTTGTCAGGTCTTGGTTATTCTATGGTGACTGGACTGAAGATGCGTTTGCAGGTGGATAGTGCAGCGCCAAACTGCGGCTAAAAGAGGGGCTTTGACGCAAAGTGTCTGCCCGCGCTGCGACCAGGAGGAGTTGGGGTAGGAAGTCGAATCCGCAGCAGCAACACAACGGGCGCCGATGTGTTCGAAGGCGTCGGGCGAGATTTGCACGAAACCCTCGGAAAAGTTGGCATATGACCGCCGCACCATCTGTGCCAGCTACATCGAGCGATGAAAGCCTTGGCGTAGTGGTGGTGGCGGTGTCAATATACCGAGGCCTGCACTCGTCGTTTGCTGGGATTCAATGCAAGCAATGTTTTGGAAAGTTTTTCCTGTAAAGTAGGAAAAGTGGAGCGATCGAAAGTTCCCGAAAGCGTATTGTGAATTTCGTGGTTGGACGCCCATCCCGCGCAAAGGGTTGTTGGTCTCCGCGAGCCAATCGCGGGCTCGGGGCTGCATGGATACGAAACCGGGCGAGAGGCGCCTTCGGCGTGTCTATGGCTCGAGACGGTCTCACTTGGGCCAAGTATGGTGGCGGCGTCAGCAGAACCTTGAGCCGAGTCGGCAAAAGTATTGCACCGAGTTGCAGTGCGGCCTGGCAAGCCGGACAATGGGCGCGCTGCCATCCGTGGCGCCAGGCGGTGCGCAACCCAAACAGTATCGAGCTGTAGGGGTGACCTCCCACCTGCGACTCGGCGAAATATAGCGGTTGGGGGCCCGACCGCTTTCGATCCAGGCACTGCGCTTCACTTCTTTTCCTCCCGGCTCGGAAGAAACATCGCCAAAACTCGGTTGGGAGATACAGTCGACGCCCAGCAGTCCTCGCTCGCCTGTGCCACAGGCGGCCCGCGCGTTGTAGTCGTCCCAAGAGAGAAGAGAGAGAGAGAGAGCTAAAGCAATCCCAAACAGGCCACAGGCTTCCGACGTTGCCGGCACCGTCACTTTCAGTTTCGGTGGTCGCTCGAAACCCCGCGCACAGGAGCGCCCACACGCACAGGCACAACACACAGAGCTGATGCCCAACATCCCCATGAACGGGCCTCGATATCCTGCAGCCGTGCGGGACTTTGACGGATCGGGTGTACCAGGCGCCTGCGTTCCCGGCGGGGCGCGCAACAACGCGGCCAGGATGGTGACTCCAGCAGCAGTGTCGGCAGCTCTGTCGGGTGGGCTGCCGCTCGGGATGGTCGGGGTCATGCCCACCAGTGTCGGCGGTAGCTGCGCCGCCGCCCCCGTCATGTCCAGCACCGGCGTGGCCGGGGCGCCTCAGGTTCAGGAACCCAATTGGCGGCAGGCGGGGGACGAGATGCGCCGGCTGCGGTCGCGTCACGTGATCCTGATCGAGAGCATGCTGCGCAACCACCAGCCCCACGACGTGCTCACTCAGGTACCCGAGAACTACGACTGGCACTCCAAGACCTTCCAGCTCGCCATCAAGATCGAGCGCCTCATGTTCACCACCGCCTCGTCACGCGAGAACTACCTGAACGAGAGCACGCTGCGCGCGCGCGTGCAGCTCCTGTCGCGCCACTTGGTGCGGCTCCGGAAGCGCAAGAACGCCATGGCCGCGGCGCACGAGACCCGCCTGTAGAGCGTAGCTTAAGCGGGCAGCGTATACAGCATTAGAGACGCGACCTCCACGCCTGACTGCTGGCTGTCTGCCTCCAGTTGACTTGACAGATCCACGGAGACAAGGGCGTTCGCGGCGAGCTCAGATGAGGACGCGATTGAGAAGGCAGCTTAGACCTGCACGTAGTATTTAAGTAAGGTAGTAGTATAAGATGCGTTGCCAACACTGGTTGCCTGCCACCTGCCCCCGTTTCCGTCAAATAAAGAGTGTCCGGCAGGTTGTCTGCCTGCCTGCCTGCTTGCCTGCATAGCTGCTGACTCATGCCTGAGTGTCGAATAGCCGCCGGCCCGGCGGAATCGAGCTGCGTGGCGTTCACGCGCATACGCGAAGACTCGTGCACAGCTAAGCAAGACCACCGGCAAAATACTTAATTTTTAAGATGCCATTGGTATAATACGAGCCGCGGTCTGTGAGTGGACATGTAGTAACTACCGGAGTTGCCTCGACGTCGAGCGGTTTCAGCGTCCAGACAGTCGTTTTTGTCGTGCGCGCACGCCCTGTGTAGCCCTCCCTGCCTGCATGGCTGTCTCCAAGGATTGTACTGCAGTGATTCATTGCATGAGCAAGCGCTCTGGCAGCAGCGCGTGGCAACTTGCCATGCGCCCCCATCATGGCACGCTTCGAGCGATCCGCACATTCGGATGGAAATTCAGAAACCTTAACGTGAATTTCGCACATCAAACTTCACATTTCCGCAACACCCCGCCTCATACGATGGCAACGCCAGGCCGAACCAAGCAGCTTCAGCTGGAGTCGCGTTCAGCAGATTGCCACCATGCCCACCGCCGTAGTCAAGCGGCAATGGGGCAGTCAGCTACAGCATCTCGCGTCGCTGCTGTAAAGCACATTTGACTCTCAACGGTGCGTGGGATCGGCAAATGGAAGCGTGGAGGAGAGGAGCTGTGCCTCAACATCCTCCGAGTGAGTGATCCGGTAAAAATAGTGGTGACGCATTTAGCTCTTCACTATAAGATTGGAGAGCTGAGCTATATGGAGGAGGTTGGGTCTGATGCTGGTGAGGACGACAAAAGCGAGCGGCGCAGTAGCACTCCGTCGGGGCGATAGCTACCGACTGGGGTCAATATGACCCACGAGCCTGCGAATGTCTTCGGCGGGGTACGTGTGGGTGGACGTCTCGACGACTATGCCATGCGCGACTAACCGTGCCGGTCTGCAGGCATCTAGCGCCTCCGGCCGCGCCATGTGGAAGCGGCAGGTTGCCAACCAGCAGTCCAGGGAGAGATCTGGCAGTGGCGGTGACGCCGCGATGGCGCGTATATCTCTGCCCTCAGGCGAACAGATCCACGACATGTAAGCGAACAGCGTGAAAGCATTGAAGGAGGCTGGCTGAGCTCAGTTGATGTTGCTGTTTGTCCTGCAGAAGCAAGTTGTATCAGAAGCACTGCCTCAAGGACGAACAGCGCACAGCGCACCGTATCAGTCAGGAGAAAGCGCGGTCCGCACGCGAAGTTCGATCGACGGGGAGCGAGCGCCAGCCTTTGGACCCTGAACACCTCCTAGCTCGAAAGCTCACGGGGGTGCCCGACGTTGTTTACAACACGGACTGCGGATCCAAAAAGGTATGTCGCTTGTACCTTTTGAGTTCTGCTGGCCCCTCCTAACCAGTGAGCAAATTGTAGACCCTTCACAGACACGTAGAGGACGGATCTAACACGTGCCGAGGTGCGTTCAGCTCCACCAAAGATCGATTCGCCAGCACTGCAGCGTATCGTTCGTCTACTTTCGCTAGTGTGGTGAAGGAGCCCTACGCCGACCCACAAGCCGTGGGCCCTGGCACTTATCGAGCTCCTCGGCGTGCGATTAACGTGAAGAAACAGCAAGTTCCGACACCAGCCTATGTAAGCAAGGCTGCGCGGTTTGAGGAAGCCAACGCGCAGGTCACTGCGGTGCTTGCGCTTGCCAGCCCTACGTCGCCAAGCGACCGCGAGTATTTTGATATGAGCCCGCGCGGTGCCGGGGGAGGTGGCCGCTCGTCACCTGATAAAGTTCGCGGTCCCGTGCTCTCCACTACCCCTCGCTTCAAATCGGACGTGTTCCCAGGTACGCTCGGCAATGTGCTTCTATTAGATATCGTCCATAAATCCTTACGAGAGAAGTGCTGTACCTTTTTCAGAGCGATATGTGTCCTCAAAGCAGCACCGCGTGCTCGCTGATGCCCCCGATCGGTTCTACGACGTCAGCCCTTCATGCAAGGTTGGTCGCCGCTATTGTATTTTTCACAATTTGTGTTACAGAGCTAACCGCGAGTTTTGGTTGTTGAAAAATGCAGTTCTCAGTGAGCGCAGCCGTCGCGAGCTCAAGCTTCAAATGCTCCGCGATGCAGTCACGAGCGAGCCGCTTATCATCCGTACGTGTCCTCTTTCAGTATTGCAGGGCACAACTGTGTTTAACTTAACTCGGTCATCTTGCACTTGCCTATAATGTAGGAGGCTGCAATGGTCCACAACACGCCAAACTTCCCTATCCTAACAAGTGCTACACAGGAAACTGTCGGCCCGGGAGCTTACAGCCCCACTTCCAGACCCACGCCACCTGAAGACGTAAACTTCATTATGATGCCCCACCATGTACGCTGCATTATTATGTGTCTTGGACATTACGATCTGGGGAACACAATTCACCTTTTGTCGTTGATCCACGCAGATGGATCGCTTCGGTCTGCCAAGCGCCAAGGTGGGCTTCATCGAAGCTCGCTTCCGCCGCTTTGCCGTGGACCCACAGCCGTCAACGCCACACCGCCCACCGCCAAAATCCCCTGCGCACTGATCGAATGCAGCCAAAAGTATATGCAAACTTCAACGTTGCATTTTTGTTTTGCTTTTTGACGAAAACACAAAAACGTATCAAAAAACATTTTGTACGATTTGATTTGTACACTATTTTATTTAAAAGGATATCAGTTATAAACCTTCTTGCCAACACTCACAGTACTGTCTATCCTTAGTTAAAACAAGTTTGTGTACTAGTTGCTCAATAGAGTGCGCTACTCTCTTAAACATTCCCTACCAATCCCTTGTGATTTGTATGAAGCCGCCTTAAAAAGAGAGCAGCCACGGTACATCACAGTTGCTTGTTGAGGGGGGCCTCGCTCCCCGCCCAGTCGCTGACGCCAACCCAATCGCGAAGAGAGACCATGGCGGCGAACAAGCTCTGGAAGACGGCGCCCACCAAGGTGTTCAAGACCATCAAGCCCATCGTGCACTGGGGCTTCGTGCCGCTGGTCGTGTACATCGCGCTCAAGCAGGAGCCGGGCCTCACGTACGTTGTCTCTCAGCATGACGGAACCTCTCGATAAGAATGTGTCAATAGTGCTAACATTAAATAATTCTGTGGCTGTCGCAGTCTGATGCAGATTATCAACCCGTTCGCGGCGCCCGCCGAGCCCCCGATGTAGAGCGACGTCAGTGCAGCGAGGCGCCTCAAAGGACCGAAGTTCCAGCGGAGTTTTAGAGCGAGAGAGCTGTCCAAGACTCGCTAGAAGGAGGAGAAATTGAGTGCGACTCACTGGCCGAAGATGAATTTTAGGTTGGGCAGATGCCAGCCAGACGCAGTTGAGTTGACTGGCTGGCTGGCTTTCTGTCTCTTTTTGTTCTCTTAACTCTCTCTCTTTCTTCTCTCTTTTTTAGCATCAATTGGTGTCTTTCCTCTCTGCTTATTGTCTGTTGTGTCAGGTTGATAGTGGTCGAGGAGTCATGGGAGGCATGAAAGGCTTAGCACTTCCAGATCCGGCACGTGTTGTCCTTGGAGCCTGTGGGAGGAGAAGAGAACGCAAGACAAGGTTGGGGGTGAGTGTTCTGGTGAAACAATGAAGGGTGGATGGAGCTGTGTGTCTGTCTGTACCTGTGATGATTGTGTCGCCTTCGTAGTTGAAGGCGCAGCTGAAGATCTCGTCCGTGTGGCCCTCGAGCATCTGCAGGCAGTCGCCGGTCTCGACCTCCCAGAGTCGCGCTACCTTGTCGCTACTGGCTGTGAGCACCTTGGAGCCTTGCGGGTTGAAGCAGACCTTGGAGATCTCGGCCTCGTGGCCGATCAAGATGGCCTGGCAGGCCCCCGTCATGGTGTTGTAGATGCGAGACGTGCCGTCCGCGGACGCTGTCACGAGCTTGGAGCCTGTGGCGTTGAAGCTCACGTCCAGGATCTCGTCGTTGTGGCCGCGCAGAGTCTGCACGTTTTGGCCCGAGGCGACGTCCCAGATCTTGCACGTGCGGTCGATGGAGCCGCTGATGCACAGCTCGCCCGTGTAGTTGAACTGCGTGCTCGAGATCTCGCCGTGGTGACCGGCGAGCGTGTGGATGCAGCGGCCGCTTCGGACGTCCCATACTTTGACCGTGTGATCGAACGAGCCCGTGATGATGCGCTCGCCCTGCGTGTCGAAGTTGAGACTCACGATCTCGGCCGTGTGGCCGAACAGCGTGTGCAGCTCCTGGCCGGTCTCGACGTCCCAGAGCTTCGCTGTGTTGTCCATCGAGCCCGTGCCGATGACGGTTCCCTGAGGATTGAACGCCAAGCACACGATCTCCGTCGAGTGGCCGCGGAACGTGTGGTAAAGCTGCCCAGTCTCGGCGCTCCAGAGTTTGCACGTCTTGTCAAAGGACCCCGTGATGATCTTGTCGCTGTAAAATTCACACAAGATCGCTGCGTTAGCTTCGATGGGAGGTACTGGACAAGTAAGTGAGTACTTACCCGTAGGGATTATTGAAGGCGATGGCGTAGACGACATTCTTGTGTCCTTCCAGTGTCAGCAATTCGTCTCCCGTCTGGGTATCCCAGACTTTGCACGTCCGATCATAGCTGCCAGTAATGAACCTGAAGGCGCAACAAAGGTCAAGCTCAATTCTCAACTCCATTTACTCACGAAAAGAAGGGGATTGTGTGCATACTTGTCCCCCGACTTGTTGAAGGCGCAGTTGGTCAGCGGCAGGATGTGGGCCCGCAAGATCTTGAACAGGTAAAAGTCGTTGCTGTCGTTGACCTCGAGCTTCTCAATGAGTTCTAGCCACACAAAAGCGGTCAGTTGGTAAATACACTTCAAATGAAGCTGTTTTCGACCGCTCACTCACTGTAAATGAGACGGCGAAGCTGCGGCTTCCGGGACTCGGAGATCAGCGGCTCCTCGAACACGATCTGGTTCACCAGCACCTCGATATCCGACCTGGCCCACCACATTAGTATACTGTCAGTCTGGAGGCTGATCATGCAAAGATACTTTGCTGCTGCGTACTCGGCCGTGAGGTGCAGCAGGTCGATCTCCTTCATCTCGCGGGTGCCGTCGCGCAGCTCATACTCGAGGATGATGCCCGGCGGGTAATAGCGCAGCAGGAATCGCTTGAGCTTCATGGCGGCGACTGGAGCGGAGGTCGATTATAACTTAGGATCCGCGTGCGATCCTTCACGGATGCCGGTTAGTGCACTGCGACCTTTGAAGGCGCAGTGAGTGGTGTTGCGAACACAAATGATCGGGCACTCAACAGAGAACCCTCAAAGGCGAAATGGTTTGAACCGATTGAGTTTATGCATCACGGCGCTAAATGAGCTACCCCGACGCCCTGCTTGCAGTAAGTATTGGAAACAAACCATCGTATTAGTTCAAATTGCAGCAGTCCAAACCCAAAACTCTTGGTGTTAACCTCACCTGAAGTATAGTCTGCTGCTGCAGGAGCGCGCTTACCGCTTCCGTCGCTTGAACTTGGCTGGCCAGGAGCTTCTTCAGAGCGCGGTTCTCCTCTTCGGCTCGCAGTCTTGCGCTGTAATTCGCTTCGGCCAACTCTCGCCACGTTGTGTTGGGGGCTATCGCGATACCATGGGCGCGTGTCTTGTCTTGAGGAAGCTGATCGAATGGACGTTCGCACTGACCCTTCAGCGTCCGCGTCTGCTGTTCCAGCTCGAGTACGCGCTTGCGGAGATAGAGGATCTCTGCCTTCTTGCACTGCTGCAGCCTCGTCGATGAGCTCAAGTTGCGCCTCTTTCTCTTCTTACGCTTGATAGTCGCGTGCTGTAGCATATCCACATTCGTAGGCGACACGCCGCCGTTTCGATTGATGTGGGGCAGCGGGTTACACCCTGCGTCACTCTCACTGAACTCTAATGAGTCGATGAATGCGAGCACCTCCCCCAAAGTGGCGAATTGGTCCTTGTCGCTAAGCAAGAAGCTCATCACTTTGGACAGAGTCTATCAAATCGGGAAATGAAGAGAAGCTGGCTGTCCGACCGACGCAACCTTGGTGTCATTTGATCAGATAATCAACAGGCCTTCGTTGTTCGTCGAAGCAACCGCATGTAATCAAGCCGAGTCGTGGGGATTTGCTTCATGTTGAACACGGCGCTTCCGTTGGGTTGCACTTACTTGAAGACACTTACTTAAGGATTAAAATACACTCTCACGGTATCAATTGATTTCCGGCGTGTCCCCAGACTATTCAGTTGCCGCGATTCTATCATTTACTAAGGATGTTCGTCCTATCTTACATATTCTATCCCCGAGCGAGGTTTACTTGATCCTGTCCTACACCTTGTCCAGCACCTGCCACAAACCAAGTAAACAACAAGTCAGCCACGCAGAGACCACAGAAATAAGCTGGTTCCATTGTAACTCGGCTTCTGCGACATCACATGACTCGGTGAAGTATGGCGTGTGGAACACCTTCGGATTGCTTGACCGAAGCCACACGAGTAGTTATCGGAGGAAATTCTGGTGCTCAACTCGCTCAACGCACGGCATCCAACATGCACGACATCCTTCTCAAAGTACAAACGAGTATATGTGCAATAAAATCTACGGGCATTTGCAACGATTCATCAAATACCACGTAATAGTCTATGAACGTGCCGACGCGGGAGCAGCTAACGAGCTCCCATACACAAGCAGGCCACCCATATGCATGTGTAGCTCCTTGTGCCAGCAAGCACTTTAAGCTAAACTAAGATCGACAACTTGAAGAAGTATCATAGTTAGGGCTCAGCAGTTTGCTTCAAGGGCGTGTCATTACTTCTCCCGCCTACGACTACCCAGAACCAAAAAGGCAGCGGTGCGTGTTGACGCGTTGAGTTCCTCAATTCGTCAACGCGACAGAAGAAGGCGGAGATTTTGTACTTGCAGAATCGCAGGAGATGGGGGACTATATCGAAGGCAACATGAGTTTAAGCGAATCCGCGACTAAAGCTCACCCAGTCCCGAGAAATAAACCGCACCTTCAGGAAACTCCTCGTGGAACAAACGCAGCTAAGGGACTCACTGAAAAAGACCGTGGAGAATCAGCGTATCTTCCAACCTGCGAGTTTGGTACCATTTTCAACGAATTTTCATTTTGCTGATTCACTTCGTTTCTTTTTGTTTTTTTTTATCCAGGAGATGCAGTTTGTGTGCGGTCTGTCGCCAATAGTTCGCGGATATGTTGTTGCAATCGGCAACGAAGGAGTGATCTAGAACACAAGATGTCGATTTTGTATCTGAAGTGAATTTTGATATTCCAGTCATCGCCATTGCCATCACTCTATAGCTCAATTCAAGTTAGTGCACAAGACACTGGTTGAGATTGTCACGACCGCACCCGTTTTAAGCTCCTTTCAACCAATTCGTTGGCTCGTCATTCTTTGGGTTCCAAGGATAAAGTCCGTTTGAGCTCGCTGCGCTTTATCAATTTGTAAACACTGAATCCACTCGAAAGGTGTTGCGCGTTGTGATGAAATTCATGAACGTGGATCGTGAATAACAGACGCTATTTCTAATGGTTTTTTGTTAGATGACGTTTTGAATTCTTCTGTGCGGTAACTCACGTCGCAGGTCAGCCTAATTCTTGGCAAAATGTAGCGATTCCGCCGTCATGCTTTCAGTATTGGTAGAAACCATCGTGTTGGTTCAAATCGCTGCAGTCAAAGTCAAAACTCCTGGTACTAAACTCACCTGAAGTGCAGCTTGCTGCTGGAGAAGCGCACTCACCACCCCGCTCGATTGAAGCTGGTTGGCCAGGAGCTTTTTAGCGCGCGGTTCTCTTCTTCAGCGCGCTGTCTCGCGCTGTAATTCGCTTCGACCAACTCTCGCCACGTTGTGTTGGGGGCTATCGCAATGCAATCGGCGCTGGGCTTGTCTTGAGGAAGCTGGTTGAATGGACGTTCGCGCTGACCCTTTAGCGCCTGCGTTTGTTGTTCCAGCTCCAGCACGCGCTTGCGAAGATAGAGGATTTCAGCCTTCTTGCACTGCTGCAGCCTTGTCGATGAGCTCAAGTTGTGCCCCTTTCTCTTCTTCGTTTTGGTAGTCTTGAGCTGTATCACCCCGACAACTTTAGGCGAGACGCCGCCGCTGTCTCGAGTGCTGTGAGGCAGCGGGTTAGTGTCGAATGCCAAGTCGCTCTCATCGAACCCTAACGAGTCGATAAACGCGAGCACCTCCCCCAAAGTGGCGAATTGGTCCTTGTCGCTTAGCAAGAAGCTCATCACTCTGTGTAGAATTTCCCAAATCCGGAACTGGAGGGGGGCGACTCCGGCATAACTTGTGCCACTTGATCAGTTCAACAGCACTCTTGTTAATCGAGACAATGAGCGTAAACATGTAACATGCATAATCATACCGAACCCTGGAATTATTGGGCTGTGTTGTTGACCAATACATGTACAGAGGGTGGCGCCTTAGAGAGACACCTGATATATTCATCATAGACGGGGATTTGAGTATTGGGGGTTGGGTATAGAGAATTAGTATGCAACCCTATGAATTGATATTAGTTATTAGAGGTGATCAGTTATATGCCGTCCCTCTAAGGCGCCACCTTCTGTACTGTGCTCTCTGTCCAGTTGTCGCGATTCGAAACATCCACTTTCCAGGAAGGTAGGAAAGTTTCACTTGATCGTGTCCAACACCCTGTCCAGGCTGCACCGTCCCGAACAAGTACACGACAAGGTTAGACATCGGAGGCATGCGAAACTTCAGCTATTGCAACTTATTGATTGGTTTCCGCGACATCATAATTGCCGTCCGCTGTGGTCGCTCATTGTGTGGCACCTTCAGATTACTTGGCCAGGAAACCTAACGCATTTGTTGCTTTGACGTGCCACGGAATTGGATCGACGGTTGAACAAGCAGTACTGCATGTACACGTTGGGTTGCTTAGTGTACAGTCTGGTTACCCGAGGAAATCCAGGTGCCAAGCGCTCGCCCTACCTGTCAGCGAGCGAAGCAAAAGGTGACAAGAACAAATTAAGTACTACTAAGTAGTACCTGGCGCCTAACTTTGCTGTCTCAGAAACGAGAGAGCATGTTTAATCCATGGATCTCAATAACCAAGTAGAATTACCACCAAATATCCGATAGTTCGTTGAAATTGATCAACTTTGATTAAAAAAAAGGTAGGAGTCGAGCTTATAACGCACTGCTCGTCTCGGCCATAGATTCTTACACGCCAGCGTAACCGAAGAGCGTCAGACTGGCAACCATGATGAACATGCCAGCGAACATGCCGATGGACACGATGTGCGTCTTCTCCTTGGCAAACTTGTAGGACGTCGGGATGAGCTCCTTGACGCAGATGCAGACCATGATGCCACAGACGATACCGAACAGAATGCCCTCCGACATGGGGTCCATACCGTCACCGACGGCCAGCCAAGCGATGAGTCCGCCAATGGGCTCGGCACCCGCGGAGATGGCGCACCACATAATTCCGCGCCAACGGGAGCCCGTGGCGAAGTAGATGGGGGCAGCCACAGCAATGCCCTCGGGGATGTTGTGCAGACCGATGCCGACAGCGAGCGAGAAGCCGACAGAGGAGTTCTGGATGGCTGCCACGTAGGTGGCGATACCCTCAGGCAAGTTGTGGATTCCGATGGCCAGAGCGCTGAGCACACCCATGCGCTGTAGTGCGCGCTTGGCGTTCTCGTCCATCTTGACGTACTGGGTAGTAGGATCCACGCACGTGGAAGGACCAGCCTCCAGATACGGTGTCGAGGTCTTGTTGGCCGCCATCTTGCTGCTCTCGAAGTGACGGATGGACTCGCGGACGTCTTCGAGGTTCTCGATCTCCGTCATCTCGTGCTCGGGCGAAATCTTGTGCACAATGACGTCGATGACGTAGATCAGCGCGATGCCGACGCCGAAGCATGCCGTCGCACCGAGCCAGCCGTGGCCCGTAGCGGTTTCCTCGGACATGTTGTCGGTGCGAAGGCCTTCCGTGAGCAGGTGGACGGACTCTCCGAAGATCTCGACGAGCGAGATGAACATCATGACACCGGACGAGATGCTGAGAGCAACCGCCAGACTGACGGGGTTGGCCAGGTACACGAGGCGCTGGCTGAAGACGACCATGCCACCGAGAATGGTGGCGGCTCCGGCAGCGATATTGAGCGCGAAGGCGACGGCGACAGCGTGACCCGTTTGAATCATCGCTTCGGAACGATGGGGACTGGGACTGGGCAGTAGGAGGAAACTTTGGGAATGACAATCTCTTCAGTCGTACTGGAACCTCCACCCGAAGGACTCAGGAAGACAGTTAAGCGCATCAACAATACGCGGCGAAGTATGACCATGGCACACAACAAAAGTGAATGGATGGCTAGACGCTACTCAGCTGGTCAATGAGGATTTCACCCACTGTATGTTGAAGGTGGAGGTGCCATGGCGATCTTCCTGAAGATTAACTTTGACTATTCTGACTAAAATACGCCCATCAAGCACTAGAAATCCACGCGCGACCCCGCTCGCCGATCCGGGGGCGGCTGCCGCATCTCGACCAAAGTGATTTCATTGGAGCAAGGCGCGACGCCAAGCGGGCAGGGAGGGCAGTCTCCATTTGCCAAGGAGCGAGGTATTGTGCTTTGCGCCGGCGACTAATGTAGTCGGAATTGTGCGCGCGCCGCCGTCGGAACTGCACGATCTGGTCGGGAACCGTCTCGATGTCAAGCTCGAGTTTGTTGTCGATGACACACAGGGATCACAAACCTCGTTCCTGCTTGGTGCGATGAAGAGAACGCCACTGGGCTTCACAAAGCGCTTCAGCTGCAGGATGCAGAACTGCGCCAGTTTTGTTGCCAACGCGACGGTGTTGACCCTCGAGGGATTTCCTTTGGACTATTGTGCAACAACAAGAAGAAGCTTCATGTATTGACTTTTAGTTTGTGGACTTGTCGTTTCGCTTGGACTACTGTACAAATGTACCCCAATCCAAAATTGTACATGTAGTGCAGCGACTACAAAAGTGAAGTGCTTGCACTACATGACAACCAGTGGCTGGTCTCACCTCGGTATGTGCATGTACCGGGACGTTCTGTCAAAGTTGTCCACCAACCAACGACGTTCACTGACCGATAGCTGCTACATGTACTGTACATCAATACAGTTCACGATCAGCTCCCAAGCCGGTTCATGCGTCCGTGGTGGTGGTGTCTGCAGGCTGCAGGCGGTGCAGACGACAGCGCCCGCGTTGCGGACACCACGACCACCGCATGAAGATGAGTTGGGCACCTTCAGAAGTTCGGTTCCAAGGCATTTTTCTGTTTGGACGACTGCGGTCGCGGGCACGCCACCGCCAATTTCTAGTCGGCGCGTGCGGATGCAGCCTCGAGAGCCATTGCCCTTTGGAGATCTCACTCGCGCCCTCAAGGCACGCTGCTTCGCTCCAATGACAGCGCTCAAGATACTTTTGAGATCGGCAAACAGTAGACATTTCGACGCCGCTAGCCGGACTAATGAAGTTTTATGTGCACTTTCGCCCCACAATCGTGACAAACCCTAGTCCTGTCAACCTTACCTTACACACCTCCAACCTCCCACAGGTTAAGGTAAGGTTAATCTCACCTTCCTAACCTCCCTAACTTCCCCTTTACAAAACTCAGTATAATGGAAAAAGCCGGGACCAAACTCCCAGCCAACTCGAGAGCCAACTCGGGCTCGGAGCTGGTAGTGGGCGTACAGTACCTTGGGCGTGGCTGCAGCTTCCAGCCTGCACGAACGCAGCATATTGCAGGACAGATTTCTAAGCCTCACCGTTTGATCTACCAATAATGTGAACTTCTACAGTGTAGTAGTAAAACAATATTGTACCTTTCCATCCATTTACTTCAGAAGTACAAACATGTATCGATGACTACAGCGATCTGTCCAAGTTGCGGAGGATGCGAGTGCCGCTATTAACGTCGATCGTAGCTCTTTAAGACGGTGGTGGGTCACACCTGAACCTGTGCCTCTGCACCTCTGTACCCGCGTTCATATAAAACGAGAACGTCTAGCCTTCGGCTTAACGAAGCCTTGTCAGCGTGGCAGGAGGCTAGATGTTCTCGTAGGCAACAGTGGACAGACGCCAGTTTGCTGAAGAAACACTATCGACATGTGCGAGGCGCTATTATTCAGCGCGTCAGTGGGGAACGGTGCTCGTTGATCGTCCAGGTCGACCACTTCAGACTCCAATCGAGCCAGCTTGAGGTACCGTAGTGTCGTTAAGGAGGTTAAAGCGAAAGTTTAGAAAGTCCAGTGAGTTTGGAGGTGGGATAAGGTTAAGGAGGTCAAGGTAAGGTTATTACAGCTGAGGTTGACAGGACTAACAAACACCACTTTGGAATCTGATCCTGTATGCACTTCAGTAATACACGTCTGCAGGCTTCAACACCGACACAGCGGTCAAAGTGAGTGGTTAGAGCAACCATAAGTATGGTTGCTTTTAGCCATTCTGAGACATGCATGGTTGCTTTTAGGGATTTCAAAAATTACGAGCGTAATTTAAAAGTCTAAATTACCATTAAGCCCTTAGGTACGCAAATCACGCTAAAGTGCGCTTCTAATTAGGTACGATGCCATTAAGTGCGCCACCTCGGAATCGCGCTGCTGAACGGAGGCCACGTGGGGCACGCACCTCTCGCGAATCAGTCAAGCACCAAACGGCGAGGGGGGACCGATGGCTCCTGCGGGGGGAGCCATTATAAACGGTAATCAGTATTCTCCATGTTGGTGGCAACGAGAGTATCTACGTGCCTCACATTTTGTTTGGATTATGTCGGTATGTATTGTTTAGGCCGAAAGCTGCGTAACGTAAACGAGGAGCTAAACTACATGTACGCCGCTCTCGGGATTGAAAAAGACGACGACGAAGACGAAGACTTTGTTCTGGATGAGGAGGATGAGGAAGACAACGGCGACGAAGAGGCGGAGGATTGCTACCAAGAGGAGGAAGACGAAGAAGAGGTCGATGATGACGAGGAGAGCGATAGCGATGAAGAGGAGGGTGACGACGATGAAGAGGAGGCGAGTGACGATGAACAGGAGGCCGACGACGACGGAGAATCCAGCACAGAAGACGAAGCAGAAGCGGGTAAGACTCGTTTGGATTATTATTGATACTTATTGAGTTGAACTGATAATGTATTGTGTATTTTTTTAGTTTGTTTAGAACGCAGGACACGCAAACAGAGCCCCAAGCCGAGAAAGAAAGCCATAGCACGCAAGAAAACACCAGGTATTCTCGTTAAAGTTGCTTTAAGCAAAAAGGTTGCGCTATCATTAATATTGACATTCACTTTGGAATCGATAGATACCGCTCTGGCCAAATGCAAGCTTTCTGCTGGGGATGAAGCCCAATCTTTCGCGAAAACGCGTAAGGCGGAGCTGCAGCTTCACGAGTCTGTCGACGCTGATTCGGCCCCACGTTTATCCAAGCGGAACAAGCAGTACATACCGCGGAAGCGATCAAGCAAGCACCTCGACGAGTTGCGGGAGATCAACGAGGAGCGCGAAGAAACTATCAACCCCGTTCCGCCCTTTACCCCAGCGATTATCAAGAGTTGGAGCAAGTTCAACGCACACTTGAAAATATACAAGCAGAAGCACCACCTCAAGTTTCGAGTACGAAGCTCGGAGACACGAAATCAGTACAACAGGTATGTGTGACCTCTGTTTGATGAGAAATTTAAGTTATTAACGAAACCCCCTTTCATATGCACCAATCATCGGGACCAAATCCCTTCACGTTTTAATTGGAGTCACAAGGTCCTCCGCTGTACACACGGTGTTTCGCAAGCGTCGCGCTCCAAGGGACATCGCAATAGAAAAGGCAACTATTGCAGGTGTCCTGCACGCATGACACCAACCGTTCAGCGGATGGAAAATGGCAAATTTAGAATTGTCATAAGAAACGAGGTATCTGCCTTTTCGTGTATTTGTTTGCTTTGTTAGTATTTCTTACATGTCGCTGTTGATAATCAGAACTTTACCCACACGCACCCGACCACCCGAACGCAAGCATCGTTGTACCTGACAACAAAGACACTTCCGTTGGACGAGCAAGATCTCGAAGATGTTAAGACTTTAACGGATGCTAGTGTTTCTTCCAAGCACATCACGAACTTCCTGAATGAGGGAATCGGTGCGTAGTTTTATATATGATATGCTGAAGTGATACTTACGTTACTGTTCGCGCTTTGTGTGTTTGCTAGGCTGCAAAATAACACCTCAACAGACCCGTAATCTGATCCGCAGTATTATGGGGCACGACGCAGCGGAGGCCCGTTTGAAAGACATGCTGCAAGCTATCCGCCAGTTAGACGGTAGTGACGTCCTTGTTATTCAAGACCAAATGGACGTGACATGCGGTATCGTGATGCAAACAAAGGTGCAGAAGTTGATGTTCGAGCGCTGGGGCGACACTCTTACGATGGATTTCACTCACGGCACGAACAGTTTGGGCTATCATATGAGTTGTTCGGTATAGCGACTTTATCTTTGTTACGGCAACCTTGCGTAGTTATAGCAACCATATCGATGATATAGCAACCTTATTAACAAAGTGATTTTCTACTGTTGTGTGTTGGATATTTCAGGGAGTCTGGTCGTCACAACCGCTACTGGTAGAGGGTTCCCAGTTGTAGACTTCATATGCCTCAACCAACGAGCTCCGATGATGACAACAATCCTGGAGTATTTCCAAGAGAAGAACCCAAGTTGGCGGATGATATCCTCCATCGTGATCGACAAAGATTTCGTTGAGTGGAGGGTGCTGAAAACACTATTCCCTGCTGCGAAAGTTTTACTTTGTCAATTCCATGCCATTTCGTACTGGAAGAAGGTGATGCAGCGGGCCCCATACAAGCTGAAGGTGTCTGAACGCGACGAGTTACTCAACCTGATGATAAAAACGCTGTACAGGTACCCAACAGGTTCTATTTATGATTCTTGTGGTAACGCTAACTTTGGAAAACAAACCATATGCAGCTCCACAGAGACAGGTTACGATTCTAGTTACGGTGCATTGAAGCAATACTGCGAAGACAACAAGAAACAAGCTTTATTCTCGTACTTTGAAAAGAACTGGAATTCGTGTCGAGACATGTGGGCGAACTTTGCTCGCAGCAAATTTTTCACGGCTGGGAATACTACAACGAACAGGATCGAGTCAAACTGGCATCAAGTGAAAATACTGTTGGGGCACAAGACACGAATTGACAAGACTATTGCGGGCTTGGTGCAGCATCAAATCATGATAACTCAGCAGATCGGGTTCGTCATCGCGCAGCACCATTCGACTTCGCGCGTTCCTAAAACCATACCGAAGTTTCTCCGGACGGTAGCAACTCGACTGTACCCTGACATCTTCGAGAAAGTAAGAAAAGAGTGGGAACGATTTGTGAACTTCATGGCTGATGCGACTTGTGAGCGTACAGCGTCGAGTCCTTCACAATGGAAAATTTATTGCGGGAATCAAACCTTTCGCTGTCACGATGTGGAGTGGACGTGTACTTGTCTATTTTATAGCAGTCACCATTTACCATGTCGTCATCTTATGCACTTAGCACACGAGGGGCATGGCTTCAAACTGCTTCCAGCTATGGCAATTCATGATCGGTGGAGTACGTACCAGACCTTGGAAGTGAAAAACGAATTGACGGCTGCAGCGGAAATGTTACAGCCAATTGTGCAGATGTCCAAGTTATGGTTGCCGAAAGTAAAGTTGCCGAACGACACTGGGGCTGAACCAGAACAACCACTTTATGCTGCGGGGGGTAACGCTTCGCCAACCAAAGCTAGGAAGCAAGTTGCGTACGTACGGCTACGGCGAGGTGAACGGGCAAACCAGGTTGTATTGTCTTCAGGTGAAAAATACGCATACGCAAAAGCGATGCTGGAACCGCTATTGGAACACCTGTCAGATTTGTCTAGTGCAGACTTCTACCAAGCGCTAAGTGCCTGGAAGGAAACGATCGACATAGGGCTCAACCGTGTCAACCCTGCCCCCCAACCGAGTTCTACAGAATCTGCTGAAGATAGCAAGCAAGAAGAAGATGTATCTGAACCTGTCTCAGACTCCATTCTGGACCCCGTGGAGGCAATGGGGACTATGACGCTCATGGACGTAATTATCCTTCGCCTACGCTACACGGCAAAAACAAGCAAGCTTCGGGTGCATGTTTACATGTACGAGCCGCTCATTGATGATGACTATCACCATGAAATGGAAATCGTGTGGACTGGAATTCCGAAAGACAAAGAAAATGAAGGAAAGGAGGGGCTTCGTGGTTATGTGGAGCGGTGGCACAAGGCTTCTGACCCCCGTGGCCATCTTTTCTTCGATCCGATTGAGTGGATCTGTGCCCCTCAACAACCTGATTTTGCTAGCTGTGGTGTAATGGTAGTAGCCCAAGCCCACAGCTATCTTACGGGGAACTTGCAGATGCAACTTTCTAGAATTTCCAAGAACGACGTCAATGTGATGCGATCGAAAATGTTGTGGGTCATCATGTGTTACTTCCAAGAACGTCATCTCTCTGAACGCGACGTCGCTAAAGCTGGCCAGATTCATCAGCAGCTACAGAACCAGCTCTGAGAAACACCACAGTCTGTATTTACCTTTAAATACAGAGTCTATGCTGCATTAGTCTTTCATTTTTCGCACCGCCAGCTCCAGTAGAACATCGAGGGAAACAGCGTCGTCCTCTGCGGTGAGACCACCTTGGTCGACCCCTTCATCGCCCAAGACGGCTCCTAACGCATAGCTGTTCTCTTCGCGATCTTCCACGAGGGCTTGGATTTGTAGCTGCGCTGCCAGAAGCTTTTCCAGATGCTCGGTAAGCTCATCCAGCTTCTTCTTGAGGAGTGCAATCTCGGCGATTCTCGCGCGCACCAGCTCATGTGCCAGCGATTTCTTCTCCATTTTTGCTGTCGCTCAAAATCTGCTTAGTGTTGAAAATGTGGGACACATATTGTCATGTGTTTCACGTATTGCTGTGTCGAGAACATCAGTTAGACGCCACCACGACGTGTCTAAATTTAGAGATATATGTAGCAAGACCATGACGAGGGCGACGTGTCCCTGTCATTTACGCGTCATTTAAAATAAATTACCGGGTGCCAGCTGGTTTTAGGGTTGCTTTAGGCCTTGTGGTTGATTTAATTTCTGTCGTGTTGTCGTCATATGGTTGCTGTAACGCCATTCGTCAAAGTATGTACATGCTCATGGAGGTGGACTATGCATGGGGTTCCTCCTTCCCAGATGCAATAGGCGATCAGACCTGCCTGTCAGATTTGCTCCAAGGTCGGATATCCTCGGGCCACGAACGCCACCAACCACCGCAAACTTGCGAAGACTCACTAGGATGTCCCCCTCCTGCATCGACTAGAGCCACTCGGATTCGTCGTCCCTCCATCTCACAATTCAATTCACCTCCTCGGTCGCATGTGGCACTCCAGTCTCCTCCTCGTCCTCCTGGCCTGCGTGTGCGCGGCGCAGAGCCCCGCGCCCTCGTCGAACAGCTCTCTGCTCGCCTTCTCCTCGAGTGGCAGCACCAACGACGTGTACAACGTCTGCCCCGTTGTCGTCGAGTTCACGGAGGAGCAGGAGAACCTTTCGGACGATGAGCTCAAGGCCAACGCCGCCGACGCCGCCATGTCGGCCTACCTGCTGAGCCACCCGAACAACACGCTGTGGGACTACTTCAAGATCGAGCGCAGGCAGAAGAAGGAGATGAACAAGAACCTGCCGCTCAAGCAGCGCATCAAGAACGCGATCACGGGCTTCGTCGACTACACGGCCGACACGGTCATCGCCATGGCGCAGATGCTGGCCGACGCCATCGAGTGGATCATCAACACCATCCGCAACCCGCTCGTGGGCGTCAAGCAGGTGGCCACCTTCTTCAAGGAGTTCGGCACCAACATCAAGGCGCTGTGGGGGCTCATGAAGGAGGACCCCAAGGAGACGGCCGAGAACATGGGCGGCGGTCTGCTGCTGCACATTACCCACCACCCGTCCGAGTTCACGGCGGAGACTGTTCTGATGATCGGTGGCGGCTTCGCAGTCATCGGTGGCCTCATGGCCGGCGTTGAGGCCATCTTCGGTACCATGAGCAACGTCATCTCGAACGTCCTCCTTTCGGTTTTGATGTTCATCCACGCTATTGACGACCCGATCTACATCGTCACGCCCCTGGTCACGTCCATCGTGAACACTGCCGGCGAGCTGGCCAACGGTGGCAACTCGACCACCAACAGCACTGTGGTGACCGTGGACCAGATCCAGGCTTTGGACACGTGCCAGATCCCGCCCGAGTTCCGCCCGGTCTTCTCTTCGCGCGACCTGTGCCTGAGCTCGCCCGAGCAGGTGCGCCAGCTCATCTTCGGCACGTTCAAGCGCACGGCCAAGATGAGCTCGCTCGAGCGTATCGCTGCCTACAACCACTTCCACGACTTCGTGTGCTGCTACCTCGAGAACCAGGAGTTCGAGGTGAACGCCCCCAAGACGGACGCCACGGCCTTCGAGTCGGAGCTCGTGTCCACGCCCGTCAAGATGACCAACTGCTCGCAGCTGCTCGCCAACTACACCGCCGCGAACGTCTGGAAGTCGTCCACTATCAGCAGCAGCAGCACCGACGGAACGACGAGCCTCAGCAGCGAATCCAACACTGGTGCCCAGACGACGAACGGCAAGGTCGGCGTCCAGACTACAGGCAGCAAGGCTGCGCTCCGCAGGGGATAAACCTCATCGTTATCCTTTTTACCACTGAGTGTAGAGCGGTGGTCTAGTAAACAGCAAGCTCGGAGCGTCGATATAAGTCGTGTAGGTTGTTGTTAACATTCATAACATGAACACTACTTTTAACAAATTAAAACGAAGTGTGAAGACCCTCTAAGCCAATGTTGTGGGCATGCCTGCTGCCAAGCGCTCGGTTTCGTCGACTATCCAGTTCTGAACGTACAGCGAGTGCTGACGGAATCGAGCGCACAAGTCGGTGAGAACCAGGTCGTGCGCGTAGCTCCTGTCTTCTGTATAGGTAGAACCTCCCTCCACTCGGTCCACCGATAGCCGCACGCACATGTGAACGACAGACGAGCGAACCGGGTCGGTCGGCGAAGGCGTCACCACAATCCACGTATGATTGGAGAACTGCAGACCCTTCGTCCCAATGAGCATCGTGTCAGCCCCAACGAATACGATCCGAGAGGGCTCGTCGAATCTGCACATGAACTGCATCCCGCTCAGCTTGAACTCTTGAGCGTAGTTCCTCACTGAAATGACATACTTTTTCTCCATCGTGTTGGCGCGGTTTCCAGGATTCTGACTCAAATTCACCAAGTCAGTCGGGCGGTTAACGCTTCAAAACGCAGAACTACTTACAGTTTGGTACCATTTGTCCGGATACTGACGATTGTTGTGCAGTTCCTTCCACACCAACTCGCTTACGGTGTCCATGGAGCAAGGAACGGGTGTAGTGGTGACAATCTCAACCAGTGTCTTGTGCTGCTGGCTGTCGACGCTGACGTGAGTTGAGTGGTAGAGTGACGGCAATGGCGGTGGCTGGAATATCGAGATTGAATCCAGATACAAACTCGACGTCTTGTGCTCTAGATCACTCCTGATCGCACTTTCGTTGCCGATTGCAACAAAATCACCGCGAACCACTGGTGACAGACCACACACGAACTGCATCTCCTGAATGAAAAACAGAAGAAACGAAGTGAATCAGCAAAATGTCTGTCAAATTTGGTAAAAATGGTACCAAACTCACCTGGAAAATACGCTTGTTGTACACGGTCATTTTCAGCGATTCAATTAGCTGTGCTTGGTTCGAGAGGAGTTTTCTTAGGATGCGGTTCATTTCTTGGGACTGGATCCTTGCACGATACTGAGCTTTGGTCGATTCGCTTAAACTTGACGCCCCTTTCAGTTGCGTGATATATTCCTCCATTTCCTGCGATCGCTTCCGCAGAAACAGTATCTCCGCCTTCTTCTGTTGCTGCAGTCGCGTTGAGGAGCTCAGGGTGCACCTCTTCCTTTTCCCTTTTCCTCGCCGCTTCTTCGGGGGTCTCTTGATGACTTCATGGAGCATTTCGGTAAGGTCGTCTCGATTCGGCGAGGGATCACTAGCACTCTGAAATGGCGCGCTGTGTGTTGTTGGTGCACTACAGGAATCGGAGTTTGTGCTTGGGCTGTCAATGCTGATCTGTGCTCCCTCTTCTTCCCCCCCCCCCACTCCAATGAATCGATGAAAGAGAGAGTCTCCTCTAGCGACGCAATAGAGCCTTGATCAGCCCCGAAGAGGTTCATTGTCCCTCTTTTTCCTCTCAGTTTCGCAGGGCCTTTAAGAAGTGGAAATGAGGTAACTATGAGTGTACGAATGGCATTGGACGCGTTGGACACTGACACGGCACAGGACTGTAAATTACCAATTGGCGGTTATCACCGTAAGCAACAAACTTCATAATCACGCACAGTTTCGAAATTGTGCTACTGTCCGAGTTGCAGGGACCGGTTCCAAGGCGCGGTCTTCCGCGCTAGAGACACATTTTTTTAACTACTGTGGGCATTGGCACCACTCTACCCAGAGTTTAAATCCCCTAAGCCCATCTATTCATGTTACATGCACTACTGTACATGTATACCACAAGTTACTGATGGGTGTTGGAAGTTGGTTCATGAACGCTCAAACCATTTTGAGGATCGATAGATCATATAGGGAATACTCTTCGGTGATGCTTGCCCTTTAGGGAGATAGCCTTCGCTCCATGAAAAGCTGTATGTTTTGATAGGTTCCGGTTGTAACACAACTTTCATGCCCCGACGACCAACGAGCGAAGACAATAACAGCGGGTTCGCCTTGAAGCGAAAATGCCTCACCTTAGATCCAGTCCACGTACAAGTATATAATCGTCTTAGCTTTCAAAAGAATTACAGCGACAACACGAGCCAAGGCTCACCCGTACTCCAGCAAATGCCATAGTGACAATTATATTCTTTGCCCAATCAGTTGCCCCGTCGACCGCGATTCTTCTGCAGGCGTGGAGTTATTGAGTTGATCTTACACCCACCACGGACAAACTCCCTCTTTGCTGCAAGGAGCTTAAAACTCCTACTCCAACTGCACTGCCTGCAGCACCTCATTTTAGGGCCAGGCCAACTCGAACGTCACCTCGACCAGACCTCGAGTCCGATTAGCTTCGGTTTCCTTAGGTAACAGCGTGTGTAGTGCTAGAGTTTCGAAAGTCTCGACGTCTGAGTCAGGTGGGGGTCATTTTCTCGCACGCGCAAATGGCCAAAGCTCCGAAGATGGTGACGAGAAGAGCATGGCGCTCAGGAGGCGCCGGGGCTTCGATGGCGCTCTCCTCTTCGAACCTCGACGTTGCCAGTGGCAACTTGCCACAAGTGCGAACTCTTCCAGCTCGTCTTCACACACCTCACCTTGCAGTTGAGCTGGAGCCGAGCTTCCCCAAGTCAGTTTTGACGTGAGCGTTCGCTGTACGCGGTGTTTTTGTAATACACTGGGACGTCATGTGGCAGCAGGGCTTGTTCTTGGTCTGCGCGTGGTGGTTCTGGTCCGCGTGAACATGTGTGGAGGGAGGGAGACCGGATCTCAAAGCGGGACCAGAGGGCAGCGAGCGCTCTCAGTCCACGACCTCACATCGAATCAGGAACTGACCCGTGACCTGAATGATGCCGTCCCCCCGTAAGCTCGTCACGTTCGCGGACGACATTGGCGACGAAAGCGAAGTGCCATGCTCTCGTGTCGGCGTCAGAGGCGGCGCCACTTACTGCATCATGGGACCCGTGTGCGGCAGCGTGGCCGATGGGTCGTCAACACCAGCGTGGGGCACGTGCCCGACCAAGGGAACTGCCGCGATCGCGAACTGCCTCGAGTCGTCCCTGAATTACGCGTCACGTTGCGTGGCACCGGTCGATGCGCACTGCGTGCTCGCCTCCGCCAGTCATTGGGAGTGCGTTTTCCCATCCACACACAACGACAGCAGCGCGACGCCGTCCAACGCCGCTGCTGCTGCTGCTGCTTCACTTTCCACAGCGTCGTCCAACAACCACCAGGTGGCTTTGTCGGCCACGACCCCGAAAACCACATCGAACGAGTCGCAGATCGAGAAGTTGGTCCAGTCTCCAAGCGCAGCGCTCAACATCATCGTCGGCGCGACGTGCTGCGTGATCGCCATCGCGGGGCTCGTGCTGGCCAAGAAGAGGCATAACAAAGCGCGCAGGAGTAACAGCGGGCTCTCCGCATCCGACAACTCGGGTATAATGAGGCTGTAATGTGATTTTTTTAGTATTTTGCCGACCACAGTATTACAAAGTTGCCGTTGAGCGTTGACACCACGTGCAACTCGTTACTGCTGCCGTGCTTACATCGCAAACAAGTCGGCACTGCATGGAGCTGCCAACGCGTTGGCACTCGCCAAAGTGCGCGACGCAACGGCGCCCGTACCCATTTGACGTTGCGATCTTCGCACGCGTCAAAATTCTTGTGGTGTCGTGCGATTGCAGCGCTCGCCGCTCGGGTCGCGAGGGCGGACTCGGCGGAAGTCGCCTCATGGCGCGTTGGTCGTGACGCAGCATCATTGGCCCCAGTTGGTCGTTTCACCCAACGATTGGGTAGCTGCCTCCACAGTACTGGAGACCTAGCGCCATGTATAATCGCGCCCCCCGTCCTCCGGCCCAGCAAGCAAAGGCGAGCTGCACAGTGTCACATACTGGGCGACCGTCTCTTGGCCGTTCATCCTCGAGCTTGAGGATGCAATCATGCTGCCAGCAGCAGCTCCCTATGCGTTATTCAGACTTTAGCGTCGTGCCGCGCACCCGGGCCACCATATCGCTTGCCGCTCTACGCCGCCGCCTGCCTCGCCCTTCGTGCCGTCTACGAAGTCGCCACTTCTCAGCCAACATGCCTCCGCACCGCCAGCACTCGGCCGACTTCCAGCTTCAATTCGACCTGCTCGACGACGGCGAGAACAGAGCCCCCAGTGTCGCTCAGCAACTGCCGCCCGTGGCCGAAGGATGCTCCAGACTGTACCTATGTCGACACGGCCAGACAGGTGAGCACCTAGCTACAGTATTGAAAAGGACCATTGTGCATCGGACGTTAACCCGTTAATGTGTTAATCCTTCTGCAGACTACAACATGCAGCGCAAGCTTCAAGGTCGCGGCGTTAACATGCCGCTGAACGCCGAGGGTCTGGAGCAGGCCAAGAGCCTGGCCAAGGCCATGAAGGACGTGCCGCTCACGGCAATCTACAGCAGCGCGCTCAAGCGCGCCTTCCAGACCGCGGACACCGTGGCGCAGCTCCACCCGAAGATCGAGGTGCAGTCGTTCGGCGAGGTGGAGGAGATGAACTTTGGGCAGCTGGAAGGCCACCCCATGGAGATGCACGAGGACCAGATCAACACCATGTTCAAGAGGTGGGAGCAGGGCGAGTTCAACGCCGCGTGGCCCGGAGGCGAGAGTCCGCTGGACGTTGTGGCGCGCGGCGTCTCCAAGATCACGGAGGTGGTGAGCAACACGCCGCCCAAGGAGCAGGTGCTGATGGTCACGCACGGCCGCTTCAACAAGATCGTGCTGGCTCAGATGCTGCACGGCGAGCTGAACCGCATGACCGAGATCCACCAGGACAACACGTGCGTCAATGTCATCGACTTCGACCACGCGACGCAGACGTACCACGCCATGGCGCTCAACAACATCAACCACTTGCCCGGCAAGCCGTCGGTGTAATATGCCGACGCGTAATTTACTAGGTGAACAATGATATTGCGCCGATCCAACGGAACACCGCGCGCGAAGACGGAGTCTTGTCCGTAGCGCAGCCTGACACTGTTTATATTATAAAGTAATCGTCCCTTTGCTATCGTAGTCTGCATTGTGCAAACGTGTTGAGCGTGTGCTTCAACTTACTTATCAAGTTGCGCTCCTCATGCTTGCCTTAAAAATATCGGGTAAACTGCTCCAGAGCTTCAAATGTGCCTGCATTTCAACTAACACACTATTTGCTCCAGTATCCGCTGGCTCGGCTTACCGCACCAGCTGCCCAGTTGCTTCCGCATGCCGACACTTCGGGCCAAGCAAAGCGGGAGACACGAGTCAGCTGTACGTACGTGTATGTACCTAGACGGCAGCTCGTGTTGACTTCAACCTCTGCCACAACACTGGTAATCGGCTCCGTTCACGACCCACTTCGAAATCTACGCTCAAGCTCTCACCCCAGTTGCAAGTTTCAAGCACCCTTTGATGCGTGTCGCCAGCGTTGTGGTGTGTGCTTCACTTGCACTAACTTCAGCCAGCTCGATCGTCAAAGCCGATGCTGGTACATTCGATGTGGTGGTGGTTGGTAGCGGCCCTGGGGGCATCGTAGCTGCCGAGTACTTGTCGCGGGACCCAAACGTGTCTGTACTGATCCTGGAAGCCGGGCCCAAGTCCATGGCAGCTACAGGCGGCACCGATGCACCCGACTACGCCAAGGGGAGTGGCCTGACCAAGTTTGACATTCCCGGCCAGTACGACCTCATCATGTACAACCCGGACAACGAGCAGTACCGCGTCGAGTGGATCTCGGACGCCTACATGTGGCTCGGCAAGACCGTGGGCGGGTGTTCGTCCATCAACTCGGCGACTTACTTCCGTCCGCCTGATGTGTACACGAACCAGTCGCAGTGGCCATTCCCAGCGTCTCAGATGAACGCCAAGATGGACGAGAACGAGAAGATGCACGGCCACACGGACGTTCCTTCTCCTGATGGGAAATGGTACACTCAAGAAGGCTACTCCCTCGTCTCCAAGGCGCTGCAGTCACTGGGTTACTCGGAACGAAAGCTCAACGACCCTGACGCTCGAAACAACAAGCACAAGACCTTCGGTCACCCTCCCTTCACGATTAGGAATGGACAGCGTGATTCCCCAGCTGCCGCATTTTGGGGACCGATGAACAGTCGAAGCAACGTTGTGCTGCTAACCGAAGCCAAAGTCGACTACTTGGTGCGTGACAAGAATGGGAAAGCTACTGGAGTGGTCTACAACGGAGAGTACGAGGTGCGCGTAAGCGCGCGTGGTGCGGTCTTGATGGCGGCTGGTGCTCTTGGAACGCCCAAGGTGTTAATCCAGAGCGGAGTCGGTCCAAACTCTCAGCTTGACCTGCTTGAAATGGTCGGTGGCTTCAATGGCATTGCTCAGGGCGCTGGGCGAGTGTCAAACCCCAACGTTGGGCGCAACTTGTTCGACGCGAACCTCATGTACGTGTCGTTCTCGCACCCAGAGATGAAATCCTTCATCTTCGACAACACGCCTCCAGAGGCCATTGACCAGTACATGAACCAAAGTCACACCGGACCTTGGGCCGGTGCAGGCCCGACACTTATCAGCTACGAGAGCTACGACGTTCAAGGCCGTACGTACGATTTCCAGTCAAATGTCCTCACGCACGGCTTTGGTGAACTTGGCCAGAAAGAGAACGCCTTCACGATTGCAATGTACGTGACAAACCCTGAATCTCGAGCGCACCCTGGGTTCGACGGCAACGGAGACTGGCGCGCTTTCAACGAGGGGGACGCTTACTTCGGCACACCTCGCGACCTTGCAGCGATGCAGTCGTACGTCCAGAAAATGGTCCACGTCCTCGAAGACCAGGGAGCGACTTTCATCTCCGACACCGGATCGGATCCGGCCGCCATTGCCGACTTTGTTGCGTCCACCGACAGCTACATCTCCTACTTCTTCGGCGGCACCTGCTACGCGTCAAGTGATGCCAGCGACATGGAACGCTGCGCGGATGAAAAGCTGCGTGTCGTGGGTCTCAAGAACGTGTTTGTCGCCGACGCCAGTGCCATGAAGGAGAGCACAGTGAATCCGTACGGGTTCGTCATGTACATTGGCCGTGAGGCTGCTGACCAGGCGCAGAGCTACATTGCGTCAAATGAAGGCAGTATCGACGACACTTGCTCGACTCTGGAAAAGGATTTGGACTTCCAGGGTGAGGACATTGGCAAGTCGTACAGCTCCTCTGCGGACGGATGCCGCTCAATCTGCTTCAGCATGAATGGCTGCGTTGCGTTTACGTGGACCAACGACAACAGCGGGACGTGCTGGCTCAAGAGCGGCAAAGGAACGATCACAACCAAGAGTGGTGCGGTGTCGGGAGCGCTCAAGTCCGCTTCAAGCTGCCCTGCGCTGGAAGACGACGTAGCGGAGCCTCACGGTGTCTCGATGGCTGTCAAGTCTTCTGATAAGTGCTGTGCCGTTTGCAAGGCCACTGGAGGATGCAAGGCCTTCACGTGGAAGGAGCAGAAGGGAGGCACGTGCTGGCTCAAGGGCGGCAAGGAGAACAAGAACAAGGAGTAAGACATGGGCGTAGTCGAGTGTAAACAAACGATGCCAATCCAATAGTACTTGTTAAGAAAGTTTCGAGGTGGTGAACGCTGGGAGACAGCCTGTTGGTTGCTTTCTGTCTCGATACAACCCTGACTTAAGACTGTCCTCAGCCACTCACCACCTCGAAACACGAGCCGTTCTCCCTAGCTAAACGGAGAGCAGCCCGTCCATCAGCAGCTACCTATTTACCGGACCATGACGATGTCGTCAATCTTGAGGATCATGCGCACGCACTCGGTGGCCAGCGTAATCTCGCTCGTGTTGACCAGCAGCGGCTGCAGCACGTTGAGCTCATACATATCACTAATGGTGCCCTTGCGCACGTTGATGCCCATGCTCGTGTGGCCCTGCGCGTGCTTGGCGCGCAGCTCCGTGACGATGCCGATCGGGTGCAGCCCGGCGTTCTCTGCGAGTGTGTACGGCACCACCTCCATGGCGTCGGCGAAAGACTGCAGGCAGTAGCTGGCCGTGCCCTCCAGCGTGTGGCCGTAGGCAGCCAGCTTCTGGGCCACCTGGATCTCGGGCGCGCCGCCGCCGCAGATCAGAAAGCGCTTCTTGACCAGCGAGCGCACGACGCACAGGGCGTCGTGCAGCGAGCGGTCGGCCTCCTCCAGCACCAGCTTGTTGGATCCGCGCACCAGGATGGACACGGTCTTGCCCGGGTTGACGATCTCCGTGATCTTGACGACCTTGTGGCCGCCCACCGTCTCCTCCTGCACCAGGCCGGCCGTACCGAGCTTCTCCGGAGTCAGGTACTCAATGTTAGCCACGGGCAGGCAGCCCAGCGTCGTGGCGATGTGCTCGATGTCGTTGCGCTCGATGTCCGTGATGACGCGGATGCCCATCTTGGCCAGGAAGTGGAGCGACAGGTCGTTGGTGGCGTCGCGCAGGATGCTCTTCTGGATCAGCAGCACGTTGGCGCCCGACTTCTTGACCTTCTTGCACAGGTTCAGGATGTACTTGCGCTCCTCGCGCAGGATGCGGTCCATGGCGGCGTAGTCGTTGATGACCACGTTGCTCTCCATGTCGGCCTTGGGCGCCGACAGGCAGAACTGGATGAGCGCGATCTTGGCGTTCTCGAACGTCGTGGGGGCCGTGCCGCTCGCCGTCTTGTCGAAGCCCTTGCTGAACACGAGGCCGTCCACGAGCTCCGAGTCGTCAATGGTGCCGCCCAGCTGCTTGACCACGCGCACCGTGTTCAGGTCCACGTTGGTGGCCGTAGCGATGTCAATGACCTTGAGCACAGCGTCCACAGCGATAGGCGACAGGCGGTCCGCGTACTCAGAGATAACCTTGGACGACAGCGACGTGTTGACGCAGTTAATGAGTTCCTCGCGGTTGGTCAGCTCCACGGGCTTGGCCATCTCCGTGAGGATCTCCTCGGCCTTAACAGCCGCAAGGCCGAACGCCTCCGAGATGTTGGTGGGGTGGATGCCCTTCATCAGGAGGTCCTCACAGGCGCTCAGCAGCGCGCCGGCAATGACGCAGACGCTGGTGGTGCCGTCGCCGGCCTCGATGTCCTGCGACTTGGACAGGTCCACGAGCATCTTGGCCGTGGGGTGGTACACCTGCATCTGGCTCAGGATCGTGGCGCCGTCGTTCGAGATGATCACCTCGCCGTTGCCCTGCTGGATCATCTTGTCCATGCCGCGCGGGCCCAGGCTCGTGCGGATGGCGTTCGCGATGGCTGCGCAGATACAATACAATAAAATAAAATAATTGTTTAGTTTGAATATAAAACGTTGAATTGACGCGTGGCTGTCTGGAATGGCATTTGCAAGCGCGCACCTTTGGCGGCGATGATGTTGGACATGCGCACGTCCTTCTCCTTCTGCTTGCCGCGCAGGGTCTCGCCCGTGGGGCGCGCGATCGTCGCGGGGGCGGCCATTCTAGCGTCGAGGGGTGCTGCGATTAGCTCGGGTCGGCGGAATCTTTGGCTGGAAAGCGCGCCCTCCCAATAGCATAACGCGCTGGCATTGGCTGAAAATGGGCGATATTGGATATGCACCTTTTCGACCAATGAGAGGTGTTGGGGCTCCAAGCACCACGATCCAAGGCTTGGAGCGGGATTACCTTTGCTTCTACGATCGCCGTCTGTAGACGCAAAGTGATGGCAGGCAGACGTAGGGCGAAAGGCATGGGAACTGCGGCTTGTGGCTCTGGATCGATTCGGGCTATATCTCCGCCACCTTCACAAATCGCCTGTATTCCTCTAGGAATACATACCTTCTGGAAAACATACCAGCAATTATTCGTAGAACGGTACAACGGAATTGACTGAATACCTGTCATAACGTATATTCGAAGGACAGTCCTTGTAGTTGGTAAGCAGCAGCTGGCGGGACTTATCCTCGACACACGACTCCAAGTGACCACATTTTTCGCCTGGGGCATTGACCACCCTGGTCAATGGCGAGGCCATCCGATGTCCTTTACCGAATATATCACGAGCATAGTTTGCATCGAAGCTGTCTTGCCCATTCTGCATTTGCCTCCCGAAGGACCAAGCCTCGAGCTTTCAGTTCCTACCGTCATACGCGCGTACAACCTTTTTTCCCGTTGAAATGAGGAGCTCCTGGATGATGATCGTGTCCGCCATTGCATTGGCGATGGCCTCGCCCATTGGAGCAGACTATGTGCGCCCCGGCAGCGACATCAACAACGCCAACACTGGAGTGCAGCCGGTCAACGTCATCGGAGACGTCAACGCCAACGCTGGAGTGCAACCGGGCAACGGCATTGCAGGCGGCAACTTCGTGAACGAAGAGCGCTCGGCGGTGACGACGGCCGCTCCCCCCGCACCGGCAACGAACTTCCAGAACACGGCATTCTCGGCCACGGACGAGAACCGCATCGTCGGGGATGTCTCCACCGGCGGCAGCTACAGAGGCACCACGATGTCTGCGGTGACGAGGGCGGGGGATTCCGCTTCGAAAAAAGACGACAGCACCAACACCAACACTGCGTCGTCGGGTACGTCGACGCCGGGGCTCCTCGCCGCCGCTGCTGCCGCCTGTGTCGTGGCAGTTGCCGCCGTCGCCGTCGTCAAGAAGAGGGCTGAGAACAAACTGTCGACCCCGCGCACTCCCGAGGACGATACGATTTACTACCAGGTCGAACCGGTCGTGAAGCCTGGACATTACCAAGTGAACCGCCAATTGACTCCGCCCTTGCAGGTGCTGTAGGTTTCGTGACGGTGCAGTGGATGTTTCCATGTGAGTAGCGTTTGATGTAGCGTTTGGTCGAGATAGCGATTGAAAGAGGACTAAATATTAACCAAGCCTGGACGATAGGAAGTCCGGGCAGTTTTTGATCGCTACAGTTCACGCTACTGTATCGTCGAAGTCGCTCCAACAGTAAGCGTAACCTTAAAGTTAGACATCGCTGTCGTTGAGGTAATCTCAGCGCGCGTTCTGATTGGCTGTTTTTTCGATAATCGCGTCAAGGTGATTCAGTGAATTCAGTACGAAACCGACAGAACCGGAGACGTAATGGCGGACGAGATGGACGCTGACGCCTTCGAGGCGACACTTAGCTTTATAGAGGAATGCGCAGTCGGCACCTTCGCGTCTGTGGGGCTACCAGAGCTCACACCAAGCATTGCGAGCTTCACATCCTCCTGTGGGCAGCTACCGACGGACACAATACCTTCGGAGCTCTTGGCCTCTCCATTCCACGACCAACCCCAGTTCATGCCCCAACTGAGACTTTGCCATCGCCGATGGCTTTCACGGCGTCTACAGAACCTCAGCGTGTCCAGCCTGATACTATAACACGAAAGCCCACGAGACCCAGGAAGGCCCAAGCCAATCCGAATCGAGTTCGGAACGAACTTCGGTTCGAGTTGGCCTATTTGCGAGAGAAGGCGGCGCAATTGGAGCAGGAGTTAGCTTCTATGCAGAACAAGTCTCGAATCAATGGAGCTTCTACTATCGTTCATCAAGAGACGACGCCGTCCCCAACGGTGGTGATTGTCCCTCATGGAGGGTCATATCAGGAGCGTGACGCCTGGAAAGGAATCGCGGGTCGGCAGAGGAAGCGGCGCGAGGATGCAGAGCGTGAGAACACGCGCTTGAAGCTCATTGTGGAGCGACAGAGGAAGACCGCGGTCGACTTGGCCAATTTATTGCGGAAACGAGTGCGTCTTCCCTCCGTATTGCTGCTGGGCAGCAATACGTCCATACTAATGTGAGTTGTATTTTGTCAGATGTTGCAGGCCGCCGAGTGCTCGTATGTCAAGAAGCCAAATGCAGGAGACAACCAACTCTGTCTCGTGTTGGATTTCCACGGCGACATTGGCGCCTTTCGCGACTTGTTTGGTCACCTTGAAGCGGCTTACGCTGAGATAGATGCAGTGCTGGAAGCTAACGGCCTGGCGACTATGGAGATACCTACCAACGATGTCCACATTCGAGGAGGCGTGGATGGGAAATACTTGGAGTTCTTTTCGAACAAGGTCATGCCGTTCGGGATGCGCGATACAGCAGAGGCTGGATGGGACCACTTCAAGGGCGTCGAGAAGCACTGCGGAAATGGCGGGATCTACGAAAAATGGCCAAGGTGAGCATCGATATTGCTATTCATTCTACAGTAGATCCAACGTTTGGTGTTTCTAACGTTGCTTACTTGCTATTATGTGCTTGGTAACGCATCAGAGTCTTGATCAACCCTATACAATTATCGAAGAATTCACCAAGGAGTTATACTCGAACAACTCTCGTGCAGATATGAAAGCGAAGCAAATCGTTCGGCGTTATGTGGAGGCAGAGCGCGACATTATCGTGTTTGTGTCAAGTGTAGCTCCCACTGAGATCAAGCACAGGGCGATCCCTGGACTGACATACCACCTGAGAGGCTACGTGGTCACGAAAAAATCCCCTTTGTCTGTTCCTGACCATGACCTGTCGATGCTGCAGTTCTGTTCGCGTATTTCGATCGACAAAGTGCCTGGCATGGAGTATGATCCGGATCACACTCGAGCTGCCATCCGATTTCTGGTTGGGAATACTGTCGGCAACATTCGTTGCTATCAGGAGAGAATTGAGAATGCCCTCGTTGACCGCGCGCTATCGCGACAGTGATCTAGGATGATTGCCGTAGAAAAAAAAACTCGTCAAATTCTGCTGCAAGTTTTATCTAGTCAACGGAGATGGTACAGCGTCGTCGTTTTTTTCAACGTACATGTACACTACCAGCTTGCGGTACGCCACGAAGGGCGGCGACCGACCGCACAGATTTGGTTGAAGTACTATTGGGATGGCGCTTTAGCATTGAATGGTTAGTGAATGAATTGATTGCTGTAGATCTTGATTGTTTGCGTTGGGTTAATTTAACTACGAAGGGCACACTTCAGTAGTATGAAGCGTGGGGCAGAAAACAACTTCAGCGACAGTTTGTATCTGCGTGGCCATCCCCTTCTGTTGAAAATAAGGGTTTCTTTAAGCTCGCGTTCTCACGAGTAAAGGTGATCTTGAGGTTCGTGCTGCGACTGGCAAAGAGGGCAACGCTCTTGAGCTTTGCATATCTCGTATCTGCTGTTACCCAATGTCGGCCTAGCTCCTTCTTGCATCACTGCCGTTCACTGGGATGTTATATCACTGATGGGCACGCTCGCGTCGTGATGCAAGGTGTGACTCTATTTGTCGTTGTGTAAAATTTAGTAGGCACTGACTGAACCTAAGCATTCTGCTATATATCACTCGCTGCCTGGAGAACTCATCTGTCGTCGTAAGGCTTGATCTACAAGAGCGTTCTCGATACGCTCTTGGTAGCACCGGAGGTTCCCCGCCGTGTTGCCGATCAAAAACCTGCTCAGCGCTCGCACGTGAACAGGGTCGTATGTCACGCCAGGCTCTTTATCGATTGAGATGCGAGAGCAGAACTGCAGCATAGACAGCTCGTGCTCTGGCGTAGACGCTGGGGATTTTTTGGTGACCACGTAGCCGCGCAGGTGGTACGTCAGGCCGGCGATGGCCTTGTGCTTGATCTCAATAGGATTAACTCGACACACGAAAATGACCACATCTCGGTCCGGCTCAACATACCGTCGAACGATCTGCTTCATCTGCATGTCTGCTCGAGAGCTGTTCGAGTACACTTCTTTTGTGAAGTCTTCGATGATTGTGTAGGGCTGGTCGAGGTTCTGGTGCATTTCAAGTATAAATCGTCAGGTCATCGACGTATCTTACCACCGCGTGGTCAGTCACTGCAAACTTACCATGGCCGCCTTCTCATACAGCTCGCCGTTCCCGCAGTGCTTCTCGACTCCTTTGAAATGGTCCCAAGCAGCCGCGGTTGTGTCTTCAAGTCCAAACGGCAGCACTTTGTTGGCAAAGAACTCGAGATATTTGCCTCCAACTCCCTCACGGATGTGTACGTCCTCAGTGGGGATGTTCATCGTGGCAAGGCCAGTCTCTTCCAGCACAGAATCCAAGTCCTGGTACGCGTCCTCTAGAATCTGGAACAGCTCCTGATACTCGCCCATGTCGCCATGGAAGTCCAGCACGCGCGTGAACCTGTTCTCCTTGACGCTCGGGTCCTGCGCGTCCGCACACTCAGCCATCTACAAACAGCAACATCAACAACGTGAGTATCCTTCTGCATCATCACACTTTAACCACAACCAGCAACTCACTCGCTTGCGCAGCAGCTTGCTCAGGTCAATCGCGACCTTCCGTTGGTGCTCCACCGTCATCCTGAGCCGCGCGTTTTCTCTCTCCGAGTCTTCACGTCGGCGTCGCTGTCGATCGGCCACGCCCTTCCAGGCACACAGCACTTGAGACGACGGACGCGACCGACGCGCGGCTCCTCCGACCGTCGCCAGCGCCGTCGAGTGCTCTCCTTGGCACAGCAGATTGTTCTCCGGCTCCGACTCCGGCTGCAGCGCTTGCAGCTCTTGTTGCAGCTGCGTGACCTTCTCCCGGAGGAAGGCCAGCTCGAAGCGCAGCTCGTTGCGCGCCCGGTTCGGGTTGGCCTGGGGTTTCCTTTTTCTAGTCGATTTCTTGGGTTTGGCGGCTTGGGTGGCGGCCGGAGCGGCGTGGTGGGGTGTCATTGCGGTCAGGTTCATTGCGGACAGGTGCCCCGCAGCCGCGGAGTCGACGGTGGCGACGGACGAGGCGGGGGAGGACGCGGACGACGGCGAGACGCCAATGGGCAGCAGCTCCGGAGGGATCTCGTCCGCCAGCCGCAGCGAGAACGAGTTGGACACGTCCGAGCTCACGGACAGCGAGGGCAGCTCGTTGGACGACAGCGCGTCGCTCGCGTACTCCTCCACGAAGCTCAGCGTGGCCTCGAAGGCGCGCATGTCGTCGTCGGTGTCCCCCATAAGCTCCATTTCCAGTCGATTGGTCTTCTAGCGCTGAATTGTGGTTGTGGCTCCGCTCGGGACATAGCCAGAATATTGGCCAAGCAGAAGGCAGAGAGCGTTGGCGTAGAAAGGGGGGCTCCCACCTGTAGACGAAGTCGAGAGCGCTGAGTCATGGACAAATGCATTGCGTCCGTAAAGCTAGAGGCCTCCTATCGCTCACAGTCATTTTCTTGTTGTCGAGCGTCAAATATAATGGACGTTACGGCGTATTCTCTAGCTCCGATATCGCCAACGTGACAAGGATGATCTCTAAGCTGCGCGCTGGACTGAGAGGGTGCAACTGGGCGAAGCACTCCCGCTTGGAGTTAGATCTCTGATAAAGTCGATGGTGGAGTGGTTTGACCAGATTGGGCTACGTCTCTGCGCTTCTGTAGAGGTACAGTACAGCATTTGACAAGAGAGGACCGCGTTGCGATCTGGTGTCGAGCGATATGCTGCGCTTGCACATCCCCCTCGCAGGTTTATATCGATGATGCAGGGCCCATCGTGAAATTCTCAGTCGTGGTGAGAAGGTTGTCCAAGATTCGGTCGATCGGGAATTGAACACAAGAGCTACGGACAGGCCGAGAGAGAGAGAGAGAGAGAGAGAGTTTCTGAAAGCCTCTGATCGTATTAACAAGTAGGACTGCCCGAGGACACTGAATGGTGCCTGCTGTGCTCTGCGCTTTTCTGTTCAGGAAATGATAAAGACACAGGCTCAGCATTGTTGGCATTCCCATTGCTTGGCTCGGCGTATTTTGCCTCCCACTTTCAGCACTCTGATTATGAGTCACGGCGATTGCCAAGTCGGTGATTGTGTACTCTCAATGATGATGTAGTAAAGCGTAACGTCTTGTATCGGCGTGAGAATCATCGAGCCATCCAAGCACTAGAAAAGGGGAGACTACATCTTAACACTGACCTCGATGGGCTCGTCCCTTTTCATCGTGATCTCGGCGTTTCCAGTTCGCAAACACTTTGGACTGATGATCGTACAATCTAAACGCAACGGGCCGTGGGTGTTCTTACAGGACGAGGAGGCCGCTTGCTGAACGTGCCCCTGGGCTTCGCGGGTGGATGCCTTCTCGATATCTCGTACCTCCTTTAACTTCATCGCTACAGCGTCGTCCCCCCCCCACGGCCCGAGAATACGAAAGGAGAATCAAACGGGTCTATCTTGGCATTTCCGAGAGTACGCTCTGATCATTTATTTTCAACTCCTCAGCTGGACTTCTTACAGTAAAAACCTTGCCACGAACATTTATTTCACCATAAGCTTACTGCTGCAACTGTCGCCTGCCTTAGAGCTCCATCTACCAAAGCATTCTCAATCCGCTCTTGGTAGCATCGGATATTACCCACCGTGTTGCCAATCAAAAACCTGGTAAGAGCACGAATGTGGTTGGCGTTGTATGACACACCCGGCTCCTTGTCAAAGGAGATACGCGAGCAGAACTGCAGCAGCGAGAGATCCTGCCCAGTGCCCGCGATTGGAGAGCGTTTGGTGACGACGTAGCCGCGAAGGTGGTAGGTCAAACCGGCGATTGCCTTGTTCTTGATCTCAATAGGGGAGACTTTGGACACGAACACGATGATGTCGCGGTCTACCTCCACATAGCGTCGAACGATCTGCTTCAGCTGCATGTCTGCCTTAAAGTTGTTGGAGAACATTTCCTTGGTGAAGTCTTCAAGGACCGTGTAGGTCTGGTCGAGATTCTATTGCGAGTAGGACATTAAATCCGCATTAATATTTACAGCATCAAATAAAGTGCAAAGCACTTGCGAAACTTACCTTGGTTGCCTTTTCATACAACCCACCGTTGCTCCAGTGTTTGTCCACCCCCTTGAAGTGGTCCCACGCAGCCTCAGAAGTCGCAGCTTGGCCGAATGGCATTGCCTTGTTCGCGAAGAATTCAAGGTATTTGCCACCAACCCCTTCACGAATATGCACATCGTGGGTGGGGAGATCCATGGTCGCCAGGCCGTTCGCCAGAAGCACGTCGTCGACTTCATGGTAGGCGTCTTCAAGGTGCTGGAACAGTTCCTGGAACTCCCCAATGTCTCCGTGGAAGTCAATCACACGAGCCAAACGACGCTCCGAGGCGTACGGATCGCTCACGTGCGTGCACTCATTCATCTACATCGACAAAAACGCCACAGTACAGCTAAACGCATCGACCAAATGACCATATTCTGCCCTCCCTCCGAATATTTACTCGTTTCCGCAGTAATTCGCTCAAATCGATGGCCACCTTCCTCTGGCGCTCGACAATGAGCCTCAGTCGAGCGTTCTCTCGCTCCGCATCTTCCCTCCTCTGTCTCTGTCGCCCAGCTACCCCCTTCCAGGCAGACAACACGTGAGGCGAACTCGAAACCTGCAAGCTCGACACCTCCCCAGCCTGTCCATTGCTCAGCAACTTCACTCTCGGCTGCAGCTGCAGCGAGCTCAGCTCCTGCTCCAGCTGCGACACCTTCTCGCGGAGGTAAGTCAGCTCGAAGCGGAGCTCGTTCCGAACGCGGTTCGGATTGGCCTGAGGTTTCCTGGGTCTGTTCGGCTTGCGCTGCTTGGGCGGCTGGGACTCCGCTGCCGTCGACGTTCCGATGCTGAACGTTGGTCCAGTTGGCCCCGCGAGCTGCTCCGCCATGGCCAGAGGCATGGCGGTCGAGGCCTGCGCGCTAGAGGCGTCGGGGGCCACGAGCTCCGATGGCAGCACGTCCGACAGTCGGAACGCCACGGAACTCGAGGCGTCCGAGTTGTCCACGAGCGGCGGGAGCGCCGGCGGCTGCAGCGAGTCGGTGGAGAATTCCTCCAGGAAGTTGAGCGTCGCCTCGAAGGCGCGCATGTCCTCCTCGTCCTCCAGGAAGGCCATAGCTGGGAATGCGCGGGTCCAAATACCTACCTACCTGCCCGTTGTAATTATGTCGTGTAGAGAGTACAGTACGTGAACCCTGTGGAAATCACTCACTTGAGTTCAGTATGGGACGTGTACAGTGCGTTTTTAGTCGACGTGTGACTTCTTCTTTACAAAGGTTACTGAAGTTTGAAGTTAGTGCATCCTGTAATGTGAGTTATAGCTCTTGTCTTCTTCTTCTGAGTGCCTGGTCGACGAGGGCATTCTCGATTCGGTCTAGGTAGCAGCGGAGGTTGCCAGCGATGTTGCCGATCCAGAACCGCGCGACAGAGCGGAGGTACCGAGCGTCGAACTTGACGCCCGGCTCACACTCGATCGAGAAGCGGGTGCAGAGCTGAAGCAGGGACAGATCTTGCCCGACTGAGGCATCTGGAAGTCGCCTTGTCAGTGCGTACTCTTGAGCGTGGTAGACCAGTCCGCTGACGGCCTTGTGCTTGATCTCGATGGGCGTCATGCTCGACACGAACACGATCATGTCCCGGTCTGCTTCCACGCAGCGCCGGACGATCTGCTTCGCCTGCACATCCGCTCGCAAGTTTTTCGAGTAAAATTCCTTCGTAAAGTACTCAATAATGGTGAAAGGATGGTCCAGGTTCTGTGGAGCAGCCAGTGTGCATGCAGTCAGTCAGTCAGTTTGATGTGTTGTATGTCCCGTGAGCACTGGAGTTTAGTGAAGCTTACCTTCATGGACTTCCCGTACAGTCCACCGTTGCCCAGGTGCTTCTCGATGCCCTTGAAGTGGTCCCACGCAGCCTCGCCCACGTCCTGTAGACTAAAAGGTAGCAGTTTGCTCGCAAAAATCTCAACTTGCTTGTCATCGACTTCGCGTATCTGAACAACATCCGTCGGGAATTGAACGTTTGCGAGTCCGTTCGTTACAAACACGCGGTCTTGCTCCTGATATGCAGCCTCAAGACGTTGAATTAGGTCCTGAAAGTCTCCGATGTCTCCATGGAAATCCACTACTTGAATAGAGGGCTGCTTTGCGTCAACGCCGCGGCAGTATTTGGCATTCTAAAACGCAAAGGAACACTTAGCATTGAGTATGCAGCGCCCGCACTCCCGTTCCTTACCTGGTCAATGAATCGCTTCTGCAACGCCTCGCACAGGGTAACCACCATCTTTTGCTTGCGCTCCACCAACACTTTCAGGCGCGCGTTCTCGTGCTCGGCTTGCTCACGATGGCGGCTCTGACGACCCGCCATTCCCTCCCATACTTGAGGCATTCGAGTCAACGGACTCGGCGAAGAAGACACCGACACGCCTGCCTCTACCGCTGGTGAACTCAGCTGAAGTGCGCGCAGTTTCGACTCGAGCTCGCTCACTTTGTCACGCAGGTAGACCAACTCAAACTGAGCTTCGTCGCGTACTCGATTTGGATTCGTCTTCTTCTGACGCGAATCGCCTCTGTGCGACAGCAAATGCCGGTCAAAGCCTGCAGTTCTGGCATTCACCCGCAGCCTCTTCATGTTCTGGAACGGGATCATCGTCGATGTCTCGAGGCAGTCGATAGCAAACGATGGTCCGCCATTTGAGACGGAACGTCTTGACTCTCCACCGGCGCTACGCGCTGGTGAACTGAGCCGTCGGTTAACGATCTTGACTCTGCTGGTTAACGATCTTGACTCTGCTGTAGTTGAGGCATTGATGGTGGCTGAATTGTCGAGCAGGCATTCATCCACGAAGCCCAGCGCCGCCTCGAGCACGCGAGCGTCGTCCAGGTCTTCTAGCGGGTGTTTTGTGATTTGTGACAGCTGGCCCGCATCATCATGGGACCAATTCAGAACACACGGCAACTTCAAACAGGAGCCACAAGAACTCGAACGTGGCCGCTCGACCCCAAACAGTGAGCAACTCAGATGGCCGGTAATGAACTGAGGGATGATTGCTTTGTCAACGGCCCGTTGAACGGGAGCTTCAACTCGATTGACTGTGTATCGGTGCAAGGCAAAATGTTTGCACCAAACTTGCCTTCACTTCTCGACTTGAGCGCACTGTCCATCGACAGTGGACAACCGGCGTAAGTTGCAGCAGCTGTGCAACCATAATAATTCTCCTGTGCTGCTTGCCAAGCAGTGCCTGGTGCGTTGTTCACGGGCATTGCAAGTACGTGTCTGTCTGTAGCTGCCGTATTCCAGCTGCAGTCGAAAATTGCGATTTTGATCGGCACCGGTCTCTGCAAGTCACAAATCACAAATTGCGGGCGTAGCGATGGCGTTCCTGCCAGACGTGGACGATGAGCGGGCATTCGAGGCGGCGCTGAGCTTCGTGGACGACTATTCCCTCGACGCGCTGTCCCCGACCTCAACGCCAGCAACATTTCCTCTATCCTCTGGGTCACTGTGGCCGTCGCCGGAGCTTCCTCGAGTCAAGCATGAGCCAAACCCGGCGGCGGTGTTAAACGGAGGGCCGACGTTCACCATCAACTGTAGAGAATCGTCTGCAATGGTGCCCTTCAGTATGAAGACGCTACGGAACGGGAACCACTCTTCGGGGCTCCAACTGAGTCTTCCCACAACGGATGAGCCTCCAGCAAGACCGAAGTCCTCCAAAGCCAAGAAGGTCCCGACCAACCCGAATCGAGTTCGTGACGAGGCCCAATACGAGTTGGCCTACCTCCGAGAGAAAGTTGCAGAGCTGGAGCTGCAGTTGAGGAAGTTGCAGCTCAATGCACCGCCGTCGTCGAGTGGAGATCTGTCAGCTGCCTTATCCGTTCCGAGGTCATTGGTCCAAGCTCCGCGCGTTTGGAAAGACATGGCGATGCGTCAGCGACGGCGGCGGGATGATGCTCAAAAAGAAAATGTACGCTTGCGGCTGATTGTTGAGCGGAAGCGGAAGATGGCCACGGGGCTGAGCGCGCTGCTGCGCAAGCGACTTACTCAACAGGTACAAGTTATTTGGTAATGGGTGAAGAAACTGTGTCCATGATTCTCACATGTAGCTGACCTTTGTAATAGGGAGCCGAATGCTCGCGTGGCAAAGGCCAACTTTGCACTGAGCGACGTACAACTTGTGTACTCGACTTCCAAGGCGACATTGGTGACTTCCACGACCTTTTCCAGCATCTCCAGTGTGCGTATCACGAAGTGGACGCCGTGTTTGCAGCTAGTGGACTAGCAAGTATGGAGATCCCGACGAATGACGTCCACGTTCGAGAAGGTGTCGATGGCAAGTACATCGAGATATTTGCCAACAAACTACTGCCATTCAGTCTCCGAGATACGGGTGAGGCTGCATGGAACCACTTCAAGGGAGTGGAAAAGCACTTCGACAACGGCGGATTGTATGAGAAAGCAGCCAAGGTGAGTGGGCCAAGCCAATTCTAGACAGGAGGTGTGTGGATGCCTGTCTAACGTGTGGTATTGTTGATACGCTATAGAATCTCGACCAGCCGTACACTATTATCGAGGACTTTACGAAAGAAATGTTCTCCAACAACTCGCGAGCAGATGTAAAAGCAAAGCAGATCGTGCAGCGCATTGTCGACCCTGATCGTGACATGATCCTCTTCGTGTCAAGCGTGACGCCCGTCGAGATCAAGCACAAACCACTTGATGGACTGGTGTACCACGCACGAGAGTACGCTCTAACCAAGCGGTTTTCAGACTCCACTCCAGAGCACGAGCTCTCGCTGTTACAACTGTACGTGCGAATCTCATTCGACTATGATCCTGGTGTTGTATACGACTCGCGCCATGTCCGGTCGGTCGTCCAGTTCGTAATTGGTAACGTTGGAGGGAGTCTCCGCGGCTACCAAGAACGCATCGAAAACGCGTTGATCGACCAAGCTCTAAGGCAGCACTAGCAACAACGAAGCACAATTAACAATCCGTTCGTATGCCTGTACTTCTGTTATACTGAGCTTAATCTTGAGGAAACTACGCCGTTCGGCAGCAAATCCGCCAGTTTGCTTTCTTTACGCCACCATTGTTCTCCAAAGGAAGAATATTAAAAGCAAGATACACCACACATAGAGAACAGCTCAGTACGTTCTTACAATTTGGAACAGATTATTGCTACGTAGACGCTTGCCATCTAACGACTTCGGAACTCCACTCGTTCGTGGAGAACACTTCTTCAAACCATCAACACTTATACTGTACTCAAGACAGCTAACATGAACATCAAACGTCACGGCGGCATCAGAGCCCAAAACTATCGCGGGTACTTCTTGTCGTTGTCACTGCTGAGTTCGATCCTCCACAGCTCGACAAACAGCCCCATCTTGTTCGTCCTTCCTCCTTACACAGCAGACACAGCAGGCGTGTGGATCGCGTCCGAGTAGTCGATTTCGGCTTCTTCCGCCGTGTTCTTGCGCTTGCGAATGATCACAGCAGCAGCCACCGCGCCGAGCACAACAAGCAAGCAGCCAACACCCGCCGCGATCGGCACAGTAAGACCGCTGCTGGAGTCACCAGTGGAGCTCTTAGTGGCCTCATACTCGGAGCGCGTTGTAGCGTAGGCAACACCAACAGCTCCTGTGGTCGAGTACGCCTGGCCGACTATGCCAGTGGATTCGCGCTCTGACTGAGTCGCGTCCTCGCTGCCGGACGACGTCGTGGGAGCTGGCGTGGGCGCCAAATCCGCGCTAACAGTCGGCGCTGCCGTGGGGAACGTGGGAGCTGGAGTCGGGTCGCTGAAGTTGGTCGGAGCGGGGGTCGGTACGTCCGCGAACGTTGTGGGCGCGGGGGTTGCGCCAACGACATCGGCGTGGCCGCTGTGCGATGTCGAGCTCTGCGCTACATTCTCGGGGTTGCCGGCCTGGGCGGCTCCAGCGACGGCAAGGAAGGTCACGAGGAAGGCGGTGAGCTTCATGGTGTGTTGGTGTTTGGAGTGAATTGGTTGGTCGGGTCGAGGTAAAATGCAAAGTGAGAGGCGTCGGAAGTGATGGAGCATCCGAGAGCAGGACATGTGGGGATCTACACGTACTGTAGCGTAGAGGTCTCGTCGAGGCGTGCGCACCTCAAAGTGGTGGCCGAATCTTTCATGTTGACCAGGTCGGATAAGAACCTCTACTGTTGGCAGGAGTATCACAAGAGTGGCTACACATGTAAATGCCAGACGATCGATGGCTGTCAGGTGGCGGGTGCTCGCTTGTCGCCTGGAGCCATTGCCCGCTATCTACCGGTAGTCGCGCGTAGAGATCCGGGCGTCATACGCGAGCTCCAGCCGCAGCCTCCACCCGGCTTGACGCCAACTCTCACTCGTTCGTGTTGATCCCCGGCCTCTGCGGACGAAATAATGCTCGGGACAACCGCACGATGGTAAAGGTTCAACACGAGCAGACGACGGGTACTTGCACCCAAGCAGACTGAAATGGGTGACGTTGCCCGGTGACGTCGCTCATGGTGTGCACCACACTAAGTTGTACAATGTCGCAAACCGTGTTCCCCACGAGATTTTTCTGCACGCTCTAGACATGGGTTCACCCGTTCCAGCCAATCATCGCCGTTAGATCCCTGCTTTTTAGCCAACGACACGCCGCCAATCCGCCTCAACGTCCTCCCCCACACACTTTCAACATCCCCAAGCGACTCATAGGTTAGGATAAATGGTGGAGGTGACGGTGCTGGACTACGGCGCCGGCAACGTGCGCAGCCTGAAGAACGCCATCCGCGCGACCGGCCACTCGGTGAAGGATGTGACCTCGGCCGAGGACATCCGCAACGCCGGGGTGCTCATCTTCCCGGGCGTGGGCAACTTCCGCGCCGCCATGGAGTTCCTGAACGCCAGCGGCTACGTGGACGAGCTCAAGGCGTACATCGCGGCGGACCGGCGCTTCATGGGCATCTGCCTGGGCATGCAGACGCTGTTCGAGGGATCGGAGGAGTGCCCCGAGCTCAAGGGCCTGGGCGTGATCAAGGGCAAGGTGGCGCGCTTCCCGTCCGAGCAGGTGACGGTGCCGCACATGGGCTGGAACGGCATCACGGCCTGGAAGAAGTCGTCGCTGTTCGCGTCCCTGCCCGTGAGCACGGAGGAGGCCAAGGTCTACTTCGTGCACTCGTTTCGCGTCATCAAGACGGACAAGAACGCGGGCTGGGTGCTCACCACCACCAACTACGGAGACCTCGAGTTCGTCAGCGCCGTGCAGAAGGGCAACGTCATGGCCACGCAGTTCCACCCGGAGAAGAGTGGGGTGGTGGGTATTGCCATCCTCAAGGGCTTCCTGGAGAACACGGCGTTGGCGGACCACGACACCCCCATCGCCTCGGCGGCCACGGCTCCCCGTACGACGCTGTCGAAGCGTGTCATCGCGTACGTCGGGAGATTTTGGATTGGGTTATTGTGGAGCTAAAGTGTTGTATTGACTGGGTTATTGAATGCAGATGCCTGGACGTGCGTGCCAATGACCAAGGAGACCTGGTGGTGACCAAGGGAGACCAGTACGACGTCCGTGAGGACAATGCCGAGGGCGACGTGCGCAACATGGGCAAACCCGTGGATCTGTGCAAGCGCTACTTCGACGAGGGCGCAGACGAGGTGGCCTTCCTCAACATCACCAGCTTCCGCGAGCAGCCGATGGGCGACCTGCCGATGGTTCGAGTGCTTGAGGCCAGCTCGGAGTGCGTCTTCGTGCCCCTTACGATTGGCGGCGGTATCCGCGAGTACGTGGACGACCAGCTGAAGACCCACTCGGCTCTGGATGTGGCGGCGCTGTACTTCCGCTCGGGTGCTGACAAGGTGTCCATTGGTAGCGATGCCGTGTACACAGCGGAGAAGTACTACGCTAACGGCGGCAAGGGTGACGGCACCAGCTCCATTGAGACCATCTCCGCGGTGTACGGCAACCAAGCTGTCGTGGTGTCCATGGACCCGAAGCGAGTGTACGTGGCGTCGTTCTATGATGAGAACGCCAAGGGCCACAACGTCGTGAAGCTGTCCAAGCCTGGCCCGAACGGCGAGGAGTACTGCTGGTACCAGATGACGGTGCGTGGTGGACGCGAGGCCCGTGACATTGACGTGGTGCAGCTGGCCCAGGCGGTTGAGGCTCTTGGTGCTGGTGAACTGCTGCTCAACTGCGTGGATATGGACGGCCAGAAGGCTGGCTACGACCTGGATCTGATCGCGCTCGTGAAGAAGTCTGTGCGTATCCCCGTGGTCGCGTCCAGCGGTGCTGGCAAGCCGGAGCACTTCACGGAGGTCTTCGAGAAGACGAACTGCGACGCTGCCCTCGCGGCTGGCATCTTCCACCGCAAGGAGGTGGCCATCCAAGAAGTCAAGGCGCAGCTGCACACCGACAACATCAGTGTGCGTCTCTGAGTACTTCAAACACAGCAGCAAGCGCAGATAAGTACAGGAACCGAGACCAGTGACTACAAGGTACTGGCTTCGAGATCCTCACAGGGCTGGGTCCATAGTATTCCCATCCTTCTGCACTTCGCAGCTCCGTCCCCACACATCGTGCAGTTCCTTACCGTACTCGCAGTAAACAGAAAAATAGAGCAACACTACCTTAACTTGTGTATCAACGTCATTCTTCGCTTGAGGGAAAGCGAAACAGATCACCATCATCGTTTCCAGTTGTGTGTCGGAAGAGGCTCAAAGGCGCACTCTCACCTCGTGCTCCGGGGTCTTTCGATCCAGGTTTTCGAACCGAAACTCGTGCTGCAATCCTAATTTCCTCTTCAGCTGGGTTCTCTTCCTTGACATTGTCTGAACTCGCGTTGTTGTCGGTGATCGGCAACTGAGTACTTGTCCGTAAGAACCTTTGGAACGGCCCCTGCTGTCTGAGCTCGCCATGGTATTGATGGCGACCTGCTACTTCGTACTGCACCGGTGGATTGGCCTGGTCGAGTTCCAGCAGGGAAGATACCAGTTGGTGTACTACACGCCCGGACGCGCGCGCTCGAAGTGTGAGGTCGATTCGCAACCTTTGTCGCGAGAAGCATTTGCTGCTTGTGCTTTCGACTCGCTAACACGGAGTCGCTCGAGCCGCTTGATGACGATGATGACGGCCGGGACGGCAATGGCACGAACACCTGGGAGCTCTTCTCTCTCTCCAGTAGATCCTGGTAGTCCAGCATGATGTCGCGTGTGCCATTCTACAGGGTAACCGAGTTAGAGATAAAGTATGGTTCACATAGTGTTTGGTGTCACGAACCTGGCTCCGCTCAATCTCCTGCAAGATCGCCACGTTCTCCTCGTGTAAGTTAGTCGCCAGTGTTGCCAGCGGCCCTTTAACATTGTCGAGATCTCCTTGTGTTTCTTTCAGCAGACCTGCCAACTTCCGCAGACAAGCATCCAGTTGCGCTAGACGCTCCTTGTGGTGCAGCAATACTTCATTGGCTTTGTTCATCCGCTGGCTCAGTTGCTGCGTGTATTGGCGAGTTACTGCGTTCACCTCGTTGAGCTCGTTGCGCAGCTTGTCGTTGTTTGTCTTCATTTTAGCGTCCAACGTATCCAACAGCCCTTTGTGTGCAAATTGCTCGAGCTCGCTCAATGTATTCGCTAGGTGCTGGCTGTGTGCCTCCTGCTGCTTGACACAGTTAGCGAGCCGAGCTAGTCTGGCGTCTTGGGTACTCTTGTCAGCATGCGTCTGTGCCTGCAGCCCACCCAGCGTTTGCGTCAAAGATTGGATGTTCGCCACCGCTAGGCTGGTTTGTTCGTCCAACGCTCGGAGCTGAGCTGTCGTAGCCTGCTCGGCGCTTTCGAGCTGTACGATGGAATTTCTGGCCGCTGTCTGCTTACGCGTGAGGTCTAACATGTTCACATTCAGCTCCGCCACTTGTCGCTGGCGCTGTCGGTCACCATTCACGTAGTTGCCGAGCGAGTCAAGCTGATCCGTCATCTTAGCGACGCGCAGCGCTGCGGCTTCCAGCGAGGCCTTCTGCCCGGTGGTCTCCACGTTGAAGACGCGGTTGAAGTCGTCGATGCCGATCTTCGAGCTAACTTGCTGCTCCACTTGACCGGCAAACGTTGCGAATAAATCATGCACGTGCTGCTCCATGGCAGCTCGGAGCTTTTGCAGGTCCCATGAATTTGCTTCGAACACGGACACGTCCAGCTTGGAGCTTTGCAAGCTGAGCAGCGACGCGACGTCCGCTTTGTGGTCCAAGTGAGTAGCCATTTCCGCTCGCATGGTGTCCATCTGAGCGTCCACGTGAGCCAGCGATACCTTCGTAGACAGCGCGGCGTCCAACTGAGCGCGCGTGACGGCAGACGCCAGCAGATCCGCTGTGCGAGCCCGTTCTTCTTGATTCAGGCGGTTGGCAGCTCGTAGCTCGTGCACCAGCGCCTTGAGGCGGTCTACCTCCGCCCACAAGTAGCGACTATCTGCATGAACAATGCAGCAAAATACACATACCGATGAATACGAGTGCGTGCAGGAACTGCCTAGTCAAAGCCGTGTACCTGCGATGGCCATGTGCGGGGCCTCCATTTCCCCCACTTTCCCCACTTTCCAGACAGCAGAAGTATTAGTGTAGAATTTCTGACTACGGCGACAACTATTTACCATCGGCGTGCATGTATTATTAGCTATCCGCCGACTAGTACATGTATAGACTAGACTGTCTGTCTGAGTTGACTGGAGCTTTCTCTGTTTGCCGGATCGGTCACTTTTCACGATGACTTCAACCAGGTCAGAGAAAGGGATCTGTTGGTGGTGAGGTGATCAAGCGCGCTGCGAAGATATCCGCCGCAACGCGCTGCATTCTCCTAGCTACAGCAGCTAGAGATCCGTACAGCACTACATATCACGTCAACTCGTTTGGTCGGCTGGTTCTCTGTTTTCAAGGCAAGCATTTGCTGTCTCCTGGCCACGCACCCTACAACTTATCATTTATACTCTACAGCTCTACCAGTCTTCAAACGACCTTCGCGCAACAATTACAGGGTTTTATCCCCAAGATCGCCGAGGTTTTTCGGCGAGGGGGGAACAACAACAACAGCAAACGTCCGGAGCCGCACCGCATCGCGCGCTCTTCCTCCGCTTGCCTGCTTGCGTGGCGCCCCCAGCCCCTCGCTCAGCTCATCCGCGCCGCGTACGCGCCTCCTGCGTCTCCAAGCCGCGGCGGCCGCAGATTCCCTTCTTCCCCCCTCCGTCGCCGCGCGCGGCCGGCTACCGCGCCCATGGATTATGAATTGGTGCGTGCGTCACATCAATTCAAGTCAAGAATGAATCGCATGCACGTGGCAATTCAAGGTTCTAATATTATTTTTTTTCTTATTTATTTGTTGAATTGATGATTACTACGCGCAGGGCGACGAGGAGCTCATGGCCAAGGAGTCGGAGCTGGCCAACGGCCCGACATTCGAGGACCTGGCCATCGACGACAGCCTGAGCGACCTGCAGCGCGTGACCAAGTACGTGTGCAGCAACATCGCGCTGCAACGCGTGATCCACGTCAAGATGCTGCACGAGACGGCGCGCGGCGTGGGCTTCCAGGCCACGTGCGACCAGCTGCTGCCGCTGCTCGAGCCGCTCGTGTGCGACGTCGAGTACGTGGTGCGCCAGCACGTGGCGCTGCAGTTCCCGCCGCTGTGCCAGTTCCTGGTGGAGGCCGAGCCCGACGCCGGCTACCGCGTGCTGCTGGACAAGCTCATCCCGCTGGTCACCAAGCTCGTGTCCGACGACCAGCACGAGGTGCGCTCGGCCGCCAGCGAGAGCCTCGTGGACATGGCGGCGCTCGTCAAGCCCGAGGACCAGGGCCAGCACGTGCTCACCATCGTGCTACCGCTGGCCCACGACGACGACAACGAGCAGTTCCGGATCTCGGCCGTCACGCTCTACAACGGCCTGGCCGAGCACTTTGGCGCCGAGCTGTGCCAGCAGTTCTGCGTGCCCGAGTTGATTTCTTTGTCCGAAGATCCGGTGTTTCGGGTACGCAAGTCGACGGCGTTGAGTTTCCCCAATGTGTGCAAGACTGCAGGTGTGGAGCTGAGTCGGGAGCGGCTGATCCCGGCCTTCCAGCGGCTGGCGAAGGACGATATTTGGGGTGTGCGCAAGGCGTGCGCCGAGTGTCTGGTGAATGTTGCGTTGGCATTGGCGCCGGCTGACCGTGGCCCGCTACTGATACCGATGTTCGAGAGTTTTATTGGCGATTCGTCGCGGTGGGTGCGGATGGCCGCGTACCAGAGTTTGGGGCCGTTCTTGGCGGCCTTGGACAAGGAGCAGGTTACGGATGAACTGGTGGGTCATTTCACGAGCATGGCTACGACAGCAGCCTCGCAGCTGGGCGGCAGCGGCGAGGTAGATATTAAGTTTCACTGTGCGTTTAACTTTCCGGCGGTGGTGAGTATCCTGGGAGCGGAGGACTGGCTTAAACTATCGCCGACTTTCGAGCTGCTGCATAACGATACTTTTTGGAAGATCCGGCGGTCATTCGCGTATTCTTTGCACGAACTGGCGCGGATTCTGGGCCAAGGCATTACGGAGACACAGCTCGCCACAGCGTTCGACAGCTATCTCCACGATGTACAGGACGTGCGGCTGGGCGCGATGCTGCACTTTGCCGATTTTTTGGAGAATGTGTCCCCGTCGTTTCGTGAAAGTTATTTACCAGTACTGGCTGAGTTTGATTCCTTCGACAACACTACCAAGTGGCGATTCCGAGAAGTGCTGAGCGGTCAGCTAGCGCAGCTTTGCCGCACGTTTACACCGGAGGCGACGTTTTCCGTTATTAACCCTTTGGTGTTCAAGCTTGTCACCGATCCGGTTGCTGTGGTGCGAGAAGAAAGCTATCATGTACGTGCACTGGTTTATGCCCTTGCGTCTCTTTGTGCCGTCAGCTAATGGTCGTTTTGGCGTGTTGTTCGCGTCTGCAGGCATGCCCGCTGCTAGTAGCACGCCTCAGCTCAAACCCCGAGTGGCTTACTGCTATTGTCGAAAAATTTGTGACCCTCGCGAAATCTTCACATTATCAGGAACGGCAGTGCTTCGTTAAGATATGCGCATCGTTTCTGCCAACTCCGTCACAAGAGCAGTCTCAAGATGACGGCAAAGCACAACAGGACGCGACTCTGGCGGATGCAGCTCGTGACTTTTTCTCGTCGAACCTCGCAGCAGTGTTTTTCACGTTGGCGTTGGACCCAGTTTCGAACGTGCGCATTGTATTCTCGGAAATATTGGTCAAGTACCAGCAATTATGTCGAGAACACCCCGAATGCCCGGATGTATTGCGGAAGATTCTGACGACTGAGTTTGCTAGTGCCGACAATCTTGCTGCCGTTCTGTCCGAGCGGGTAAAAGAGCGACGCGAAGCGCAAGCGAAATTAGAAGCAGAGGCCAAGATCAACGCAGAAGCAGAGCAGGGAAGCGAAGTGGAGTCAGAGACTCCGGTGGTAAAACCTGAGGCGTCTGCAACTGCTGAACCGGAGGAGGTAACAGAGGCTGCAGCACCTGCCGTTCCTTCTCCAGCTCCATCGTCGGCAACCCCACCAGTAGATGCAGGAGACGCTCCTCAGCCTGTATCGTTGGTACAACCAGGAGAGAGCGCAGAGGCAGTTCCAGAGCAGGTATCGTCGACGGACGATTCATCGAGCTCGTCCTCTGCAGCCTCAGCGGAAGAGCCTCCGTCCGTTGAAACAAATGGAGAGACGTCAAGTCCTGCAGAAGCAACGGCATCCGAGGACCAACCGAAAGCGCCTGAGGACCCCGCTACGTAAATGGGAGCAGTCGTAAGCGGGGAAGAATCATGAATGGATAGATAAGTCTAAAACAGTTAGAAGCGGTGGGTAACTCAACAAACAAGACGCCGCGTGATGTATGCATGCGCGATGGAAGAATGAAAGCTGCACATCAAATTCTCCGAGAAGAAGATACACTCGACGGAACACCTATCTAGAAGAGTGCGTGGCACACTTCCCATGACGTTGGGCGCTTTTCTTGCAGCCAGGGGCGATGCACAGCTCGCCACTGCGTTGAGTTCGGCACAGTCGTCCGCTTTGACTGCTTTTGTTGCACTTGGGCACTCTGCATCGCGCTCTGCCGCCATGACGCTTGCACAGGCCCCTCGTCTGAGCTTCGTTGGTGCAGCCAAAGGCAATGCAGCGTCTGCCACCGCCGCATCTCCCGTGGGTTATTTGAAAGAGCTCGGGAGTAGCAACCGCCGGTGAAGTGGGGACATCGAGCGCAGGGTCTGGGCGGAGAAACGATGTCATCGACGAACAGGAGTCCATACAAGCGCCCAAGTCAACGACTTGCTGGGGTGGCAACAGCGGTGAAAGCCTGGAGCGACGCGAGAAGTCGAGCGATGGGTGCTCATAGCTCGTGATCTGCTCCAGTGGTGCGTCATTGCTCGGGATCACCAAATCCAACAAAGCGAGAAACTCGCTGTTGCTCGGGACAAAGGAGGCGTCGTCGCCGGGTATCCCCAACTTCAGGAATGCGAAAAACTCGCTGTTGGTCAGGAAGGCGTCGATGTCCAGGTCGACCGTTGGCACGCACGGGTCGAGCTCGACTTCTTGATAGATTTCCATCGCGAAGGGGCTGCGTGTGAGTTGTAGGGGTGAAATTGTGAAGTGAGCCCGCTGTGGCATGGACTCGCTGGGTTTCTCTTGATGAAGCGGAGCCTGCAGCTGTAGTCGAACTGATCACCGCTAGCCATGAACCAAGTTAGGGATGCCCGTATCGAAAATCTGCGAATGCAGAAAAGTGCATGGATCAAGCATTACTGAAAAGTGTCCTCCGTCTCTTCCTCTGCTGGAATATTTATCATCACGTTCCATGATACTAATGCTTTTCACCGCCAGAGAATTGTAGAATTTCAACATGCCATTGAAGTAGAATAGAAAGGAAACAAGAGTATTGATCGCGAATGTACTTCAGGCCATTAGAAAAACTGTAGATCGCCAACTACACCAGTATTAGTTTTGGTCTCATGGGCTACCGACTTTTTAAAGAACTCGCGGACAGCGCGACGAGCGTATTCTTGGTTAAATGGATTTTTGGCGTGCTTTTGCAGCTCGGCCGATACGCTGTCGAGGTTGTGACCCTGGTTCCGCCATTGCTGGAATTGCTGTCTCTGGAGTTCCTGGAGCGCTTTGTTGTACAGGGATTCTTTTAAGCCCTTCGCCATGCTACTTGGCAGTTCCCACTCATTCTTGGAATGGGTCTGCAATATCGAAAGCGCGGTCCTGCTCGGATTCTCGCCCTCTTTGGCCAGCTTCGTCACGTAGGAGAACCACAAGGTTGCCACTTGATCTTTGAAAAGGTTTTCCCCGCCATTTATTAGCCTCTTCAAGGCGTGCTCCCCCGACAACCCTTCGCTGAGCCAGTACTGCTGCTGCAATCGTGATAGTACCTCCTTCCAGCTCCGTCCCCAAGTCAGCATTGTAGCCAACGTAGAGGGTCCTTAGGGAAGCTAGCAGCATCTCGTCTGTACGTCCCTCGTCCAGCATCGTTTCGAAACGGACCCAAAAGTTCACAGGTAGCTGGTCGAAGAAATTGCTTTTTTCTCTGCCAAGCTTGAGCAGACGACGGACGTCATCAACCGTTTTTTTTCTGGTCGAACCAATCTGCGAGTTGTGCTTCCTCAAGCCTCTTCGCCAAACCCTTGGTTGTATCTTTCCGCGCTGCCCAGGCCATGCGAAACAGATCGGCATCGCCAAAGCCTTGCGTCTTAAGAGATGAAAGCATCAGTGCGTCTGCGTGTCCCTCGTCGAACTTGGCTGCGAAGGAGGCCCAGAGGTTCACCGCCGGGTTTTTGAGAAGCTTCTTCCCTTCCTCGTCGAGCTTGAGCAGGCGAAGGACGTCGTCAACATTGTTGCCTTGGATGATCCAATTCTTCACTTGGATGTTCTCCAGTTTGCTGGCGATTGCGACGGCCTTCGCATCCAATGACTTCTTCGCCGTAACTATCATCCCGGCCACAGCGTTAGCACCGTAGAGACCTGTCAGCTTATCAAGGATTTCTAGGTCTTTCGCAGTAGATGTCCCCCCTGGGTGCAGCATGCCAACTCGTTCTACCCATTTTTGAAATACCCTCTTGAAGAACGCTGACGAGTGCTTCTCGGTCTTTAGAATGGCAAAAAGGTCGTCTGCCGTCTCGGTCTGCTGGCGACTTGGCTTCGTTTCCCCCACAACTTCTTGGTACTCGCAACCAGCCAGTCTGTAGTGGACCCAATCGCTCTCTCCTCGTCGCGGTCGTCTCGATCCCCGTACTTCTTCACACCAGCTCTGAGGTGCCGGTTAACGTGACCGCCATCTTGACCACCTTGACCTCCAAAAAGAGTGCTGTGCTCGATCGCAACCACCTTCGAGCACGCCGCGTCCACTCCAACGCATACGCAAAGGAGGAGGACAGCCAACAGTATGATTGAACTCGTAGCTCGATTTATATTGGCACTCATCGGAATGAAAGTAAATTTTGAAGTGTGTCACGGGTGGCAGGTAGGTGAGGACGAGCTTCGGAAAGCCAGTCAGTCACCTTCGAAAAGCCAGTCACCAGGTACCAACACACACGGGGGGGGGGGGCAAAGCGAAAGATAATTTAGGGAAACATCATCAATCAGTCTCCATAATCGTCAAAAGCGGTATGCGTAGGTACTGTACTAAATTTGGACAACTCTGAGCCTGAATAAAGCTTTGGCACCGCCAGCTTTGTTTGTTTGCAACCAGTTGCTATGAAGCATGCTTATTACCTAAAACAGCCCAGCCCTCGCCTATCTCGTGTCCACTCGTATTAAGAAACAGGCGTGGTCTATTTTAGAGGTCGATTTTAGAGGACAAAGTATTTGCAAGCGGCAATAACGTTATTTTAATAAAATAATAACTTACTAGGATTATGAAGACCGATTGATGATGTTCGCCAACTATCTCTCGCTTTGCATGTGCAGGTACACTGTATACGCATCATGCGCATTTCCTGTAGCGAACAGTGGTGTAAATTCCGACTGGCTATCTGAAGCTGCAAGAATGGGGGCCTCACCAAGGTAAAATCTACTTTCACTCTTTCATTGATATGATGAGGGATGGCAAAATCTACCGAGGTGCAATTTCTAGCAAGCTGCTGGCCTTCCTCATTCTTTTCGCGTCGGTCAGCGCTTTGCCCGAGGATACGAGGCTCTCGAAGGTGCCTATAGCCGAGCACCATTTTCTCTTGGGAGGTCAAAGTGGCCAAGATGGTGGCCACGTCAACCGACACCTCAGAGCTGGTATGAAGAACCAAGGGAGTAAGCTCGCCAGCAGTGAGGAGAGGGGGCCTATTGACGAAGTTATCGCGGGTACCAAGAAGCTGTGGGGGAAAGTGAAGCCCAATCACCAGCAGGCAGCCGACGAGTTGTTTGCCAGTTTGAAAATCCAGAAACCAACGTCCGACGTGTTGAAGAATCCGCTCCTTCTGAACTGGATCGGAAAAGTCAACAAACTCCATCCGTTGACCTCTCAAGCGGATCAAGAGATTCTCGCGAAAATGACGGGTCTCTACGGTCTTGAGGCTCTTTCCGCGATGATAGTGGCGGCCAAGAGATCACCCGATGTGAAGGCAATCGCGCTCGCCACCAAACTTGAGACTGCCCAGCTCAACAACTGGATGACTCAAGGCAGAAATGTTGACGACGTCCTGCGACTGCACCTGCTCAAGCTCGACGACCAAGGGAGCGCGCTCTTCAACAACCCCGTTGTAAATATGTGGGCGTTTGCTGCCAAACTCGAGAAGAACCGGGCAGGGGAGGCGATGGTCCGGTCGCTGACGACTCACTACGACGAGGCCAGCTTGGCCAGGCTGTTACTCCCTGCGAAGAAGAAATCGCCAGAGCTGGACGCAATCGCCACTAGAATTGAGGACGCACAGCTGAAGAAATGGATGCTAAACGATGAAAAGCTCGACGATGTCTTTCGTCTGCTCAAGCTCGACGATGAAGGAGGCAAACTGTTCGAAAAACCCCTAGTGGAAGTGTGGGCAGCGTACGCAATGAGGCTGGACGAGAACCGCGCAGGGGAGATGATGATCCAGTTACTAGCCACACACTTCGACGACGCCAGCTTGGCCAAGATGTTACTTGACACCAACAAAGCAACCAGTTGGTGGAAATCCGACTATGTTCACATGTTTGACCAACTCAAGGAAGCCCAACGCGCGAATTGGGCCCAACGCAAAACGGTAGACGATGTCTTTCATCTGCTCAAGCTCGACGAGGAAGGAGCCAAAGTCTTCGACAACCCGCTGATACACACTTGGTCTTCGTACGCCTTCAAGCTGGATCGTGACCACGAGGGAGAGATGATGTTTCGGTCCCTGAGGACTCACTACGATGAAGTTACCCTGACTACTATGCTGGCTCAAGCGAAACCCTCAATCACTACGGGGCCAGTAATCTCGGAACTTGAGGCTGCGCAACGCAAACTGTGGACGGATAGCGGCAAAACGGTCGACGACGTCTTCCGCCTTCTCAAGCTCGGTGGCGAAGGGGACAAACTGTTCCAAGGCCCCGTGGTAAAACTTTGGGGTATGTACGCAATCAAGCGAGACAGCAAGCGCGCAGGTGAACTGATGCTTCAGTCCCTAATACCACACCATGATGAAATCGGGTTGGTCAAGATGCTACTTGAGGCGAAAAAATCATCCGATAATCTTCTCAGGCAAATCGCTGCTAGAATTGAGGACGCTCAGCTGGTAGATTGGGCAAGGAAGGGTACAACTGTCGACGACGCCTATCGCCTGCTCAAGCTCGACGATGAAGGAGCCAAACTCTTCGAAAACCCGATAGTGGATGTGTGGATTTCATACGCAACCAAGCTGGAATCCCGCGCTGCTGAGAAGGTGTTCCAGGCCCTAATATCTCGCTATGATGATGCCAGTTTGGCTACCATGTTAACTAGAGCGACAAGATCGCAGGCTCTGTGGAAATTCGCCAATCGAGTTAAGGACGTTCATTTCGCGAGCTGGGCTTTGAAGGGCAAAACTGTTGACGATGTCTATCGTCTGCTCAAACTCGATGAAGCCGAAGAAGGCATCAAACTCCTTGACAGCCGGGCTATGAAAGTTTGGGATTCGTACGCGACAATGCTGCACAAGGAGCGCGGAGGCGAAGTGATGCTAGCATCCCTGAAGGCACAATACGAAGGTGCCAGCCTGGGTCGGATGATTGCGTCGGCAAAGCAGTTCGGCATGTCGGAAGATGTGGCAACGAGGCTCGAAGCCGCACAGCTCACGAACTGGGTGGATCGCCGCAAAAGTCTTGACGGCGTCTTCTGTTTACTAAAGCTCGACGAAGAAGGAACGAAGCTCTTCAGTAACCCAGCGGTGGGCCTATGGGCTGCGTACGCAACTATGCTGGACAAGGGACGCGCGAACAAGACGATGCTAGCTTTCCTGAAGGCGCGGTATGACGACAAAGTCTTAGCGAATATGTTGATACAAGGTCGACACTACAGTTCGCTTGCCTCAAGATTGAGCTAGCGGGTGTAGTATAGTTGATCGAAGCCTCTCCAGGAATTGGAACCACAGCATAGGAACCATCGTGTCGGCCAAGGGAACAGGAACTCGTGATTTGCGAAGTATTACTCTAGCCCTTTTGATAAGTATTAGCTTCCGGACATTTTTTTGCGTAGATTTAATGGCGGCGTCGCAAAGAACACTACACTCAACATCACGCGGTGTTGGAGAAGAGAGAATGATTCCCGTTAGTGACGAGCCGTTTTTCATCCGTAGATTCAAATTGCTGTTTTGATTCTGGAGCGATTACGTGGAAATGGGAATGTGTAGTGTGAGTGCTAGTTGCACATTCAGTCACTAACTAGGCTATGTGCGCCGCTATAAATCGTACTTACCCCCTCTAAAAAGCAAACACAGCAAGTAAAAACAGACTAGCTGCCCATTGATCTTGAGTTCCTGATTCCCATCTCTGAAATCGCTGAGACTGCCGCTCCTTCATAGCAAGGCCTCGCTCAATTACATGTGCATCTTCTTCCACAGCCTTGAGGCTAGCGAATCGTAGGATCGTGCACTCGACAGCATTTCTGCCAAAGCTTCGTCAGTGAAGCGCGCCTTCAGCGAGGCTAGCATCAGCTCATCCGCGCGCCCCCGATCCAGCTTGCTTGCGTACGCCTCATCAAGCTTGAGCAGCCGAAAGACGCTTTCAACAGTATTCCCGCGATCCATCCAACTCGAGAGTTGAGTCGCCGTCGCAACGTGCTCCGTTCTGCGCCCGTTCCATCATACGACTCAGAGTGGCATCGTTGTAATGGTTCGCCTTTAGGGAAGCCAGCATCACTTCGTCTCCGCGCTCCTTGTGCAGCATTGTTGCGTACGAATCCCACGCTCTTATAGCCCGATTGGCGAATAGGTTGCTGCCCTCTTCATCGAGTTTGAGCAGACGATAGACATCGTTAACAGATTTGCGCTTGGCAGGCCAACTCGCGAGGTGGACATCCACAACTCGATTGGCGAATGTCCATCGAGCCTGTGACCCTGTCGATTTAATTAGCATCTTAGCGACGCTGACGTCATCGTAGCGAGATATTAGCGCTTGAAACACCAACTCTGCTGCGCGGCGCTCGTCCAGCTTGGTAGCGTACGTAATCTACACATCCGCCACTGGGCTTTTAAAGAGTTTAACTCCTTCATTGCCGAGATTGAGCAGGAGGTAGACGTCGTCGACAGTTTTCTCCTTCCGTGCCCAACTTGCCAGTTGTGCGCTCTCAACTTTCATGGAGATTTTCTTGAGAACATTATCGGATGATTTTTTCGTCTCAAGTAACATCTTGACCAAGCTGGCTTCATCGTGGCTTTTCATTAGCGACTGAAACATCAGATCGCCCGCGCTGTCTCCGCCTCGCTTGGTTGCGTACATACCCCAAAGGTTCTCCACGGGGCTTTGGAACAGTTTGTCTCCTTCGTCACCGAGCTTGAGCAGGCGAAACACGTCGTCAACCGTTTTGCCGCTATCCGTCCAACGTTTGCGTTGCGCAGTCTCCAGTTTCGAGACCACTGTCGCCGCAGTGAGAGGTTTTCGCTTGAGCAAGCAGAGTAGTCAGGGTAACTTCATCGTAGTGAGTTCTTAGCGACCGGAACATCAGCTCTCCTGCGTGGTTACGATCCAGCTTGAAGGCGTACAAAGACCAAGCGCTTATAACCGGGTTCTGGCTCCGTCCTCGTCGAGCTTGAGCAGACGAAGGACGTCGTCAACCGTTTTGCGTTTCGTCATCCAATCCATGATCTGGGCTTGCTTTAGTTCATTGACTCTGGTAATCGTGAAGGCTGTCAACGAATCTGGTGCTTTGTTCGCCTCGTAGAACATCCTGGTCAGGCTTACATCATCAAAGCGTGTCTTTAGTGACTGGAACCTGCGCGGTTCTCGTCCAGCCTCATGGCATACGCTGCCCACACTTCCATTAGGGGGCTATCCAGAAATTTGGTTCCTTCATCGTCCAGCTTGAGCAGACGAAAGACGCCATCCACACTTTTATCCTTCCCCCACGTCGCCAGGAGTGCGTCTTCAATTCTAGTGGCGAGCGTCTTGGTATCTGATGATGCTTTCGCTGCAAGTAGCATGTTGACCAAGCGGGCTTCATCGTATAGTGTCACTTTTTCTAGCGACTGAAGCATCATCTCGCCTGCGCGCTTCTCATCGAGTTTGATTGCGAACGAAGCCCACGCGTGGACCGCTGGACTATGGAAGAGTGCGTCCCCTTGGTCGCCCAACTTGAGCAGGTGCAGGACGTCGCAACATTTTTCTCTTGACCCATCCCTGCACATTCTCGAGTCTTGTGGCGATCGCGCTTGCCTTCAAGTCGGATGATATTTTCGCCGTGACTATCATCCCGGCCAAGGTCTCGACGCCATAGAGGTCCTTCATTTTTGCGAGAATTTCTTGGTCCGCGCTGCAAGGAGCTTGTCGACGGTTCCTACCCAGTTTTGGAACAGAGGGTTCTTGAAACAGTCTGAGGTATGTTTCTGGGTCTTCAAACTTGCGAACAGCTTGTCGGCCTTCTGTTGCTGATCCGGCTTCACTTTTCCCCATAACTTCTTGGTGCTCGCAACAAGTTGGTCAATAACCCCTCTTTCCTCACGGGCCCTGAGTCGCCGGTTGATGTGGCCATCATCCTGGACACTTGGACCTTCAAAGAGGAAATGGTGCCCTGCTGCAAGCACCTTCGCGTGTTTCGTACCAGTAGTATCCACCGGCAAAGCGCCGACCGATGCGAAAAGAATGAGGAAGGCCAGCAACACGCTAGAACTCGAACCTCGGTAGATCTTACTCATCGTACCAATGAAAGTAGAAGCCGACTTGGGTGGTTGGGATAACCAGTCGGAAGGTGCTGCCGCTTGCAATTCAACTGTGTCTACCAGTCCATCAACGCAATATTTTGGGGGGCAAAGCGAGAGATAGGGAACATCATCAATCGTGGACTACTCGCCATAGCCAATTTACCACATTTCCAGAATCGAATCGTGACGGTACAGTGCAAGTACAGCGCACCAGTGGGTAAGCATCTACGTTCGCTCTGTCTAACATGGCGAAGCAATGCCTCGCTCCTCCACAATGGCCAAGCATGCAGGCGCCGACAACTCGAGTTCAAGTTCAACGAGAGCACGAAACAGGTTCCCCGACTCCAATCCAAACCCAGCCAAATTCACACCAGCCCATGAGCCAACTCCCCCGCTAATAAAAAGTGACGCCTTATGACATTATTGCAATGAGACCCCGGAGAAACCCTCTGCTGCAGCCTCTCCCGGTCCTCCATTTACAGAATACTCCACCAGTACAGCTCCTCTCTACTGCTTTTCTGTCCACTTGTCCGCAGCCGCCGCAAAGTCCTTCACGGCATTGGCCGCCACCGAGTCCTTGGCCGCGTCCACCGACTGGCAGAACGCCGGCTGGAACGTCCCTTCAAAGATGTCGTGGCAGATCTCCTCCACGGCGCGGATGCCCTTGGCGGCCGTCTCGGCGCCGCGGCTGACCGAGAACTTCTCGAGCTTCTGGCTCACCAGCGGCACGAAGGCCGTGACCTTGGCCTCGGCCTCGTACAGCGTCTTGCTGGCGTCCTCCGGGTGCACCGAGTACACGCACGTCTCCTCCACGGTGGCCACGGAGCGCAGCGACAGGTTCGTGGACTTGAGCACGAGCCGCTGGCGCTGCGCGTCGCACGTCGTCTCCTCGAACACGTACGTGGAGTCGCCCAGCGCCGAGCGCACCCAGCCGGGCACGTTCCTCTGCGTCACCTTGGCCAGGCGCGTGGTCACGAGGCGGCCCTGCGCGTCCAGGCGCCGGTCCAGCACGTCCACGCGCTCCACGTGCGCCAGGCGCGAGTTCGGGTACTTGTTCCAGAAGGCGCGCGTGACGACGTCCCACTGGAAAGGGTACACGTGGCGAGTCTCGTTCGTCAGCACCATGGCGCTGTCTAGTAGTGTAGTAGCGTAGTAAGGCTACGCTGGGCTTCCTGCTCACCGTCCTGTGCTCCACTTGAGATTTCTGAGACTGCCGGCCGCACATTGCGTCGACGTGATGAGGACTGTGCGAGGGAATATCAGATGCCTGAGAGAATGTATATATGCCAGAAGGTGGGCTAGCTGGATTCTATTATGAGACGGTATTTCGGGATCGAATACCCTTCTAGAAGGGGCTGAGTGTGGAATCGCGTCCGGTGGTTTGGCCGAAGCGGCCCTTGTTGGTGTGTCGTACATATGAGACGCGGCGATGGCCATCCACTTCAACTCGGCTGCGTGTCCATTGCGTCCTTCGTATCCTCCCTGGGCCATGGATTTGCCTTAATAACAGCAGTCGACATTGGAGTTCATGGGTAATGTTGGGTCAGACTGGGAGGCTGGCGTCTTGTCGGACTGAAGTTAGCAACGGCACAGTGTTGAACTCGGCACCTCCGAGTTATCGAATAAGTTACTGGTTAGGTAGGTCTCAATCGCATGACGCTCAACTCTCAATCAGGTCGACAGGCCGACGGGGTGGCGCTCCACCTTGGCGCGGTCGATGAAGATCTCGACGAGTCGTCGCCGCGTGTCGTCCAGCTCGGCTGCCAGGAACTTGGGCACGATCGCGCTGTCCTCTTTGGCCGCGAAGTGGAAGGCCACGAGGCAGTCCACCGCGTTCTTGCGGACGCTCGAGCTCGCGTGGTCCAGGCGCCGCGTCAGAGCGCTCATAAGGCTGTTGGCCACGTCGGGCTGGCGCAGGAACGCGGCATTCTGAGCAGAGCTGCGCTCGCAGGTTTGCAGGCAGACCTTGACGAGGCGCAGCACCACTTGAAGTGCAGGCGCGTCCACGCGAGGAACCAGCGGCATCAGCGTCGACAGCGTTTGCTGGTGGTCGCTGGCGAAGCTCACGAGGTCGTGCAGAATCCGCTCCATCAAGTGGCGAGCCTGTTTGATAGATAACAGGGAAAAAAGACGTTAGATCTTGAAGCTGTCGGTCGTGACAAGCTTCATTCACTCACCACGTCCACCTGGTAACCGATCGCGTCAATCAGGCGCTGAAGAAGCAGCTCGAAAAACATTTGCGCTCGAGAAGGTTGAGCTTCGACCAGTTTCTGGAGAACCTTGAGCGCGTATACGTCCTTGTCAGTGGCAGCGTCGAGCAGCAGCAGGAGCAAGCGGCCAAAGCAACGATCCCAGGTCGCGGACGACTCTGTTTCGATGAAGTGTAAGGTCTGTTTGCAGAAATCACAGTTAGTTCAATGCCCACAACTTGACCGTTCAATGAAAAAAAATTACCTTGTAGAGAGTGTGCTTGATCTCCGCCTCGGACAAATTGTTCTGCTCGAGGAGCAGGAGAAGATCGTCGAGCTGCACGTCGTACTTGTTCGTCCTGGTTGCAGCCGACGAAAACACTGCTGTAGACTGCGCTGGCTGTCCTGACAGTGTAGCCTTCCCGGTGATCTCGTCGGGTTGTTTAGCTGGTACTGGTCTGCTCGGGCGGTCGTCAGTCCTCTGGCTCTCCACAGGTACTGGGGAAGCTATCTGCACAGCCGTGTTGATCCTCTTTTGGCTGCTTGGCCGAGCAGGACTTGAGGAACTCACGCTCGGTGACTCTGGTCGCTTTCGACACCGCTCCGGCTTCGGTGCTGGGAGCTCCATGTCCTGGTTGTCGTCGTCTCCGCCATCACGCGATCTTGCTGAGTGCGGGGCCGCTGAGGAAGACAGCGGCGGCCTAGGCGTGTTGCTGAAGTTCAGGACGATTTTCTTGGACTTCAGGACCTTAGAAACCACCAAACGCTTTGACGGGGGCAGAAGTCCCAGAGCGACCTCCATCTCAGGGCCATACAGCTGCGCGGCGATCGACACAAGCTCACCGCAAGCTGAAGAAATGGAAACGGGGACGTCCGTGTCCATGAGGAGAGCAAGCTTGAGCAAAAACGACCTCATGTGGCTGTTGTTGGCTCCATGCTTCAAGTACTCTCCAGCCCCAGGTAGCAGATCGCGCAGATAATGACACATGGCGGCCTTGACCTTCATGTTACTGCCGTCTCCAAGCATCGATATCACCAGAGCGGCCAGCGTCGAGCTATCGATCGCCGAAGCGATATACTCCAGATTCTCCTTGGCAATCACCCGAATGGATTCCTTCGTGTCAATATACTTTTGAAACAGCTTCGGTAGAACCGTCTTCAGGTGAGGAAGAAGGCGCTGGTTGTCGCTCGATAGCTTTAACAGTGGCAGGAAATACTTCAAAACTCCCTGTGAGACGCGATAGTGCGCGTCACTCAAGTGCTTGATAAATACCGTCAGAATTCGGCCGTCCACCTTGTAATCTCCACGTGCACCGTTGTCAATCTGATCCAGCCGTTTCAGGAGGATTTTACCAATGTACTCGGCAGCCTCCAGCCTGGTGGACCAGGACCTGCTTTCAATATTCCGTAGTGCTTCCTCAAGTTCATCGAGGACGGGCAATTGCGCTACCTTAGGTCGTTCTGAAGACTTTACTGGTGCAGTGCGTGCTGGCTTCGACTTCATGTCAACTGAGTCACCCCTTGACGAGTTGTTCGTTCTTGAACTCGACGCATTAGACGCAGTCGGCGAAGGGATTGATGCAACAGGAAATCTTTTTGGGCCACTGGGCTGTGCGTCGTCGATATCCATCGGAACTGGGGCTTGAGCTTCAGCTGCATGTTGAACTCGTTGCGCTTTAGAGGTCGGGTTCTTCGAGCTGGTGTGGAAGCTCGCAGTCGATGGCTCCTGTCTCGACGTGTAAAGACTTTCCACTGCCGTGCTGGGTGCCTGCGATGGCTTCGGCGGGGCATTCCAAACCCGCAGAGGGCCCGCTGGGGCACTTTTCTTCCTATCATTCGCCGACGTAGATTTCTCCTTGGGTACGGGAGTTTTAACTCTCCCGACACGCATCGGCCCCTGCGATAGCATTCGCGAAGGCTGCAGATTGTCTTGAGCTGCATCGTCTCCAACTGAACCCGAGTATCCTCCGAGAACCCGTCTTGGTAACTTTTCAGAAACCAAATCCCCAGAACTTGGCACGCGCTGCACACTCAGGTGTTCATCGCTAAATGTCACTGAGCTTGAAGCACCCGGAGCATCGCTGGACGGATGAATTGCGTTGGCCGTCCGAAGTGCTGACCTTACGACCTCGACAGCCTGGGAAGCTGGAGCATCCATCGAGCTAAACTCCGTCTGGCGTGCAGCTTTCGCCGCAAATTTCGAGGGATCATCCTTCAAGTTCTTTTGCGTCGTTCCATTTAAGCGAGCGAATACGCCATCAGCCTCGTCCTGTTCGTATTTATGATCAACACATTATTTTCTGTTAGCATGCTCATGCGTTTCTTACATGCCTGCAAGCATTTACCTGAAAGAGGTGGTGAAAAGCCCAATAACACTTTCTCGACTGAGCGCGCACATCGCCCAGCGCATCTTGCAAAAGAGCGGGCAAAATCGGCACAAACATATCCGAGTGTCTTAAACAGCACCACAACACAATACACGTCAATCAAGGATTCGAAATAGTACAGCACCAAGGAGGAGTGTACGTACTTGCTCAGGAAACTTGTACTCCATCGCTGCAGCGTCATCGTCAAGTAGCACACCGCATTGTATCGAAGCACCTGGTTTCGAGACTTGGCACACTCAATTAACCTGAATGTTGGAAGCAATAAAAGTAACGTTAGCCACTGTGCAGACACAGCAATAAAGACAGCCCAATAACTTACTTCGGAATCACGCGTGCATAACCATTGCTGGTGCTTTCAATCATGCTCCGAATCGTCGTGTCTGCCGAAGTCGAAATGACTTGGATAGTCACATATGTCGCCTTCAATAGATTGCCAAGACAAATCTCTGCGTGGGCATTGAACTCATCACGCAGACTATTGGCGAGTGTCTGGATCGTTTGGCATGCTTCTCGGGACACTGACGATCGTAGGTCGCTCACTTGCTGACAAAGACGCTCTCGAATAGGACGAAGACCCTGTGATAAGAATGGGAGCACTCCGCTATTTGACGCACTGCCGCATCGCTTCGCCAGCTTCTGGAGCATTTTCAGCCCGTCGACACGCTTATCCCAGTTGTTGTCGAGATTAAGCTTGTCAAAAATCACTCCCAGCTGCTTTTGAATTTCCTTCTCTGAAATGTCACCCCCGCCAGAGCCAAATGTACCTGCCGTGCTGAAATCCTGGACGACTTTACTACTTGTTGACGATGCTTGTGAAGGAGACCGGTCGCCATCACCTGACACATGAGCCACAGCTTTCGCTTCGTTAATTGTTCGGCTACGAACAGATGCCAGGTACCTAGCGATCGAAGATGACGACGACGAGACTTGCAAGTCGTACGACGACAAGATTGAGGAATACTTCTGGGGGGCAGCATTGTCCTGTGCAGCGTCGTCGTCAAAATCCTGGTTCTGCAGCAACATCCAGACACTTAGCTACCTATACAATACTCAATACAATCGCAAGTACTTCAGCGTACCGATCGATCATCGTACGACGGCGCCGTATGCGTAATGGAGTGGCTCTCTTTGCCACGGACAGGAATCCGCTCGAACCTATCTGTCAACGTCTTCACTTGCGCGGAACGGATATTCTTATACTCCAGATCACTCTGCAAAACATAAAAAACAATTTGTAAGCACCTACTGCATCACCAACTCCATCATCAGCTTCCATTCCAACCCACCAGCAACGAAGCCCCAATATACATGTAAAACTTCTCCAACGCAGTAATCGCCGCATCCCGCACATCTTTCGACGAGTCTCCCAGCAACTTCAGCACCTGCTTCCCACCAACACAACAACGCATCAGGACCATGCCAATCATATCAACACCCTTCCTCGTCACCCACTCACATCGTCCAACAGCTCGTCCTGCTTCTCCTTGAACAGCTCATGTCGCTCCAGGCACCTCCAAACCGCATGAAGACTCTGCAGCAATACAACCAGCGTCAGGACCTAAGCTCCACCCATTCCCCGCCCTCTTCTGGCCTGTACCTGCTCCCTGGTGCGCCAGTTCTTGTGGCCCATGCATCCCTTGAGCTTGTCCAGCACTGTATTAACGTCCAGGACGACGGAGATCTCCACCACCACGTCCACGGCCTTCTCGCGCACGGGCAGCTTGCTGTCTCCGAGCCGCTCTACGAGGCTGAGCCACAGCAGCTTGAAGTACGAGCGCAGCGTGCTCTCGGCCACGCGCGAGACCAGCAGCTGCAGGATCTCCAGCGCCCCCAGCGCGATCTTGGAGTTGTGGTCGCGCAGACAGGTCAGCACGTGCGGGATGAGCGTGGCCGAGGCCTCGGGGGCCGCGTCCTGCCTGCGTAGCTGCTCCAGGAGCCCCGTGACGCCGGCCAAGCGCTGCTTGATGGCTGCGGACGGCGATTGTGGCCGCATTTTGAGGAAATTTTAAGTGAAAATTAGTGCGTTAGAGAGAGGAGATGGCGCTCGAGGAGATGCAATGGGCTGGACGCACCCGAAGAGCCCAGCAGCGCCGCGGTGTCCTCCATCCTCTGCGCCGGTCGAGGCGTCTGGTTACCGCGCGTTAAGCTTTCTACGGTTTGAATTTTGACGCGCTGCGGTTGGTTGAAAAAGAAGCTACCGATTCGACGAATCAGAAGGAGGTTTCTATAATTTCGCGTTTTGACCAATGGGAGCGCAGTGGAAGCATCACAAGAAGGTGCAAGGTGTATCCGGGTTAGTCAGTTTTCCAGTTGAATCATGTCGGCGGGGCCGCGAGTGCGTCGCGCTGCGGCGGCCAACGAGACGGTCGTGGTGCGCATCTGGCGCTGGGTCAAGATCACGATTTGTACGTAGATGTTGCTGTGTATTGTACTGGCTGTGTATTGCGTTGTGACCTGTGTGTGTGTGTGTTATTGCTGCAGGGCACGTGTTCTACGGCCAGAACGAGTGGCAGCGTCTGTGCAGCCCCACGGGCGCTGGGGTGGACGAGGAGGAGCGCATCGTGCGCTTCCGCACGGAGCTGGCGCTGTCCAACAAGATGGTGCAGACCTGCAATGTGGTGTTCGACAACGAGCCGTTCCCGGTGCGGATTGCGTCACGCTGAGGCTTTGGTTGGATGCTGCTTCCGGTGTAGTGACGCATCGCTATTGTTGTTGGCTTGGACTGTAGATGGATGCAACGTTGCATGAAGTGGCGACGAGGGCAAAGCTGGATGAGAGGGATGTCACGTGAGTTGAATGTGTGAGAGGTTTGATGGGGATTGCTCGGAAGATCGGTTGATGTTGGGGATGTATGTGGTTGTGTTCGTTTCCAGGTTGATGGCCAATGTGCGCTCGTGTCTTCAGCGCTGCAATTTTGTCAACACGGTGTATTCGCGTGTGTACGCGCTGAAGAACGAAAGCTACAGCTCGTCCAAGCAGGAGCACGAGGAGATGCTGGAGCAGCTGTGGAAGAATCTCAAGCCTGATGTGCGCCGCGAAGGTGGACGCATCACGAAGGAGTGGGGCGAGATCGGCTTCCAAGGTGAGATCTTTATGCGCGATATGTTACATTGCATTGGAGAAGCTTACGCTTTACTTTTTGCGTATAGGTACCGATCCGATGTCGGACTTCCGAGGCATGGGCGTCTTCTCGCTGATTCAGCTCAACCACTTCACGAAAGACTACAAAGTTGAAGCTCAACGGTGGGCCTTGCCGCTGTGTTGGTGCGTTCGGAGAAGCTGTGCTTATATAATATTGTGCGATGTTTCTGTTGTCAGTGCGTTGGAAGAGTCGAACCACCCAACCCGCTGGTACCCGTTCGCCGTGACGGGCATCAACGTGACAGCCTTCATGATCGAGCTGATTGACGAGCGTCTGCTGGACATCAAGTTGTACCGCCATGGTGCTGGGGGTGAAAACAACAGCGTTAACGTCGGACTAAAGGAGCTCCACGATGTCTACGGTGCGTTTGAGCTGCTCGATCGAACCAATCCATTTTCTAACTTCTCTAACTTCCTTAACCTTCAATGCGCGCAGCCACAATTTTCACGCGCTTCAACAAGCTGTGGGTAGACACGAAACCGCGCGACGTGATGGCGTTCCCGACCATTTTCCAGTCGCTCAAGGACGATATCCGCCTCGAGTTGACCCGCAAGTCGTTCCGCTACTGATCCCGGAAATTCTGCGACGTGTGAGATTTAACCTAACACGTTACATATCTGTTACGAACCTTATTGCTCCCATCCAATCGCTTCGCTTGAAATTTCCATGCATAGCGTGCACTGCACCACTCGCCAGCACCTCGAGCAGAGACCTACGTACTGTAGTCATGGGCACCGGACGATCGGGATCGGGCAGGGCGCGCGCGCACGCCAAGAAGAAGCAGTACAAGCGCGGCCACGCCACCAAGAACCGCGCGCGCGACATCGACCAGATCCAGGATGACCTGCGCGTGGAGAAGCTCTCGGGCAAGAAGATGGCCTTCGAGGAGGACGAGGACCTGCCGGGGTGCGTCAGCCTGCCGTTGTATTGCTGCAACCTGTAGTACAGTGTACTGACAATATTTTGCACTGATTTCTTGTGGTTGTTGTGTAGTCTGGGTCATTTCTACTGCACGCCGTGCGGCCGCCACTTTATCGACGAGAAGACGCGCGACGTGCACCTCAAGACCAAGGTGCACAAGCGGAGGTAGGACGGCTTTTGGTTGCAGATGGTTGCTATTGGCATTGATTTTGACTGGTTTTTGCCTGTTGGTGAATGTAGAATGAAAGACGTCGCTCAGAAGCAGTACACACAGAACGAGGCCATGCAAGGCGCCGGAAAGGGTGTCGAGACGTACAAGCCTGCACACCCCAAGCCCAGCGGCGACGACATGGAGGACCTTTAGACGTTCAAGGCTGCTCGGGTACAGACGTGGATTCGACGCTGATTAATTTGCAGGCGAACGTGGATGGCGTCGGAGTTTTGGTCGCTTTGTTGTATACTTATCAAATCTACAATTGCTTTGATCACCTACGAAGGTAGAGCTGCCTCCTTGCATTGATAAAAGCAATGAGATGTTTGCTGATCCAGGTATGAAGGAACAGTGCCAACACAGAAGCATTCAAGCCTCGAGAAATCTCTAGCATATGCAGACCTTAGTGGTGAATCATCGCTGATGGTCACCTCGTCAAAAATAGGCTTATTGTCATGTCCAGCTGCGTTGCCATAAATTTATCGAGAACTCTTATCGAGATCTATTGAAAACTCTCCATTCTGTTAGAGCTTTGGACCCAGGTGTTGTTGCGCTGCAAATGACAGGCCGGTCAGATTCACGGCGCCAAATTTCCAGCCGAGAGAGCGACGGCTTCGATATCGATGTACGTGTTGCGCACCAATGAACGAGATTAAGCGAGCTGACTAAGGCAATGTACTTGTGCTGCTGCAGGGTTTTCGATCAAATGCGGTCAGTCCGTGGAATAACGTGACACCAGCAACGACACCGATGCAACCGCACCGCCCCAAGCAACAGTCAGCATTGGATGATCACAAGACTCAGCGTCCAGTCCCTCCGATCGTACCGCGCAAAATCTCGATCGGTCCTATTCGTCCCGTGAAAGTTCCGTGGCTCGTTCGTGAAGGCGATCACTTCCAGCGGGCCATTCCGATTGTACCAAAGTATCCATCCAAGCCTGAGCAAACGGGTGCAAGGCATACAGCGAAGGTGAGTTCGGTCTCCGAGGCAAGCGTGAAACCTCAAAGTCTAACTAACAATGTGCTGGAACAGATAGCAAAGTCGGGCTGGAGTCGAGCTGACAGACTCAACGCTAAACCTGTCCTTGACGCGTACCAAGATCTTGTCAAGCAGACTGAGACCATGGTATGTTGTATTCACTCCGATCACACTCAAAGCCAAAGCTAACCGTTGTCGGTATATTGCGAACAGAACCTCGAGTCTGCTGAAAACGCTGAAAAGCGGAAGATGGACGACGCTGCCTATCGAATGGGGTTAGCCAACATCTCCGATGAGATGGTTAGCTGGCAGAAGGAGCTCATCCGCTTCCACACTTTCAAGAACGAGGTGGATATCTTCCAGCAGCACCTAGTTCCTTTCATCTTCGACATCCGCTCTGAGCACGAGCGGCAGGTCAACTCGAGCGTCTACCGCCACTTCAACCGCATGAGGGCGATCCAAGACATGGGCATCCCCATCTACAGCCTGGGTGACTTCCTGTTCGAAGACACCGACCGGATCATCACAGCTCGCACCAAGAACACGCTATACCGACGCGTGCGACGTCGCAGTGCAGCTCATTTCATCGATACGGATCTCATTCCTCGCCCTGAACGGAGACGCTGCTCCGTTGTTCTCAGTCCGAGCTTTAAGTCAGAAGAGTAACAACCTCTTGATGCAGTTTTCCTGTCCTCCATGGTACGAGCACGGACACCTCGGGCGTTACTTGGTGGTAAATTTATTTATCACAAAAAAATGAAAAATCAAAGTCCGAAGTTACCAAGGGCTGCGTTGAGCGCACATGTTAGCGAACGCGTCGCATGCCACCCGACCGCGGCCTCGTCAAAGACCAACCGCAGCTACCTTCGCCGCGGTACTGGGGGCCTGGCATCATCCACCTCAAGGGGACTCAATGGGCGCTTCGTGGCTGCAGCCATATCATCCTCTTGCTTTCTCTTCTCTCATCCTCCTTCTTTCTCACTACAACTACAAAGTCCTCGGGTCGTCCGACGTCGTCGTCTGATCCACCATCTTCCATTCTCGTGAGCGGCCTTCAGGTCTCTTCGTGTGTCTCTCCGTCCTCCGTCATCCTTTTTTATTTGGGTATGTTCGCGCTTCCTCAGTCGCTCGCTCATCGTTCCATCAAGTTCTTCAGCAGTGTCCATCGTTCTCAATCGGGTTCGCGGTCTTCCGTGCAGTGTCATCGATCTCTCAACCAACACCACCTCACCAAAGACACACCAGGCGTGGAGCAGCGTTGTCGTGGATCACCGCCAAAAACTTGGCAGCAACAGCACAACATGCTCCGTGACAGATCGCTAAGCTCAGTAGCGCTGTCGGCTCATGGGCTTGGCCTCACCAAGAGCGTCACGGCTGGCACCGGTGGCCACGCGCGGGGCGGGGTAACCCGCGTCCATGGCCACTTGCCTGTCGTCGCGGTAGCCCGCCGAGCGGTACGACTGCTGCGCCTGCATCTGGGCGTCGCCCTCCTTGGCCTCGTCACGGACGTACACGCGGCCCTGCGACGCGATCTGGCGGCCGTCACGGGCAGCCTCCTGGCGCGGGTCAGCGCGAGCGCTGCGCTCGCCCTCGCCGCTGGTGCCACGCTCGCGGCGGCCGCTGCGGAGGTTGAGCACCGTCCAGTCGAACATGGCGTCGAACTGGAAGCCCTTGCGGAAGAAGAGCTCCTTAAAGAGACGCTTGAGGTAGGCGTAGTCGGGCTTGTCGTCGAAGCGCAGCGCGCGGCAGTACTCGAAGTAGGCACGGAACTCGGCCGGGTAGCCCTTGCAGAGCACCTCGATGGGGGTGTTCATCTTCTTCTCCATAATCTTCTCGTACTTCTGCTTCTTCGTGTTGGCCTTGAGTCCCTGCCACGGCAGGCTGCCGCGGATGAAGTACATGTACACGTAGCCGAGGGACTCGAGGTCGTCACGACGACTCTGCTCAATGCCCACGTGGGTGTTGATGGAGGCGTAACGCGCCGTGCCCGTGAGGTTCTTGTTCTCACGGTAGGGGATGTGCTGGTGCGTCTTGGGGTCGCGGTACTTCTTGGCGAGACCGAAGTCGATCACGTGCACGATCTGGGCGCGCTTGCCCAGGCCGATGAGGAAGTTGTCGGGCTTGACGTCGCGGTGGATGAAGTTCTTCGAGTGGCAGTACTCGAGGCGGCACAGCAGCTGGTCGGCGATCATCAGCACGGTCTTGAGCTGGAAGCGGCGGCCGCAGTAGTTGAACAGGTCCTCGAGCGAGGGGCCGAGCAGGTCGATGACCATCACGTTGTACTCGCCCTCGACGCCGAACCACCGCAGGCTCGGCACGCCCACTGCAATAGTACCACCACCACAACATATCAGTTAGTAACCTCAACTCAACCCAGGTTAATATGCAGCTAGAAAGCAGGGCTGCACGCACGTCCGCCGTTGAGGATCTTGTAGATCTTGGACTCGTAGAGCAGCTGCGGGTGCTTGCTCTTGACGGACTCGAGCTTGATGCCGACCTCCTCGCCCGACGTCATGTTGGTGCCCAGGTAGATGTCGCCAAACGATCCGCTGCCGATCTTGCGGCCCAGGCGGAACTTCTTGCCGACTCGCAGCTCCAGCGCGCTCTCACGGGGGTGGGACATCCTTCTGCCTAGAGTGGAAAGGGAGAAACAGGGGAAAAAGAGGCTGCAAGGGGCCGAAAGGGGGAACAGCAAGAGCGTCAGTATATGGGCCGCAGACACACGCACGTTTGGGCGGCTTCCCCTGCGGCTACGCGGATCGCGAGGCCACCGGCGTGGAGCGCAGACGCAGGGGGTCACGCAGAGCTGGCGCGGGGCGTCGGCGCGCCGCTGGGGCCGCGCCGAGAGCGGCAACGGCGGGGTACTTACTTGCTCGGAGGAGAGGCGCGCGCACTGGCTTATGCTGGCTGGGAAGAAAGAAACAGGGGGGCGCCGGCTCGCAGTGGAGGAGAGACAGCGCAAAACGCGCCGATTTAGGTCGGAAATAGCTAATTTACAGTGCGACGAACCTGCGATCGTCGATAGTATTCGGGAGAAGAGCAGAGGGTCACTATTGGTATAAAGAGTCGCATAGAGCAAGGAACAGATCCTGACGTTAGACAGTGACACGCCGATGGATATTGCTATAGACAGGGTTGCTGTGAACCTTGCTTCCGCCCTCGCTGGGTTGACGACTCGTAATTACGCGAAGCGACGATGCGTAAAAATAACCAGCGAGAAAGCCTACTGAATCCAAGTCACCTTCACTCAAAGCGACCACAATCGAACGCGCGCGCAAAACTCCTTGAACGAGTCGCTATTCCGTCGATCGAACGATAATTGCGTGCGACAGCTGATACAAATGCTGTTCGCGCAGCTGGCCGCATTTCCGCGTTTCGGCGCGCCTAATTCGCAGCGGCGACTTGGGCGTCGCCGCGTCGCCATGGTCGCCAGGCTCGCATGGAAACCGGGCAGCCGGTCGCTACGCCGACGGATTACCATGCCGGCGCTCCATCGCGAGCGGGTTCAACTCGCGGGCCCGCCGCCGGGAGGAGGAGGAGGAGCACGGTGCTGCCGCTCTCCAGCCCGGACGATTTATGCCTGGGGGCTGCGTGTCTCTCTCTCCAACTTTCCTCGGACTTAAACGAGTTCGGCAACCGTACTGCATCCCCCCTTCTAACTCCGATATATCACCAGATTATTACTATAGTACTAACGGGCTCTTCCGATGTAAGGATGTGTATTCCAATACATGTACAATACTCATCCGAATAGTATACCATTGAATAAGGATAAATATCGCATATAATATCGCCACACTTACAACATCCGAGTATAAAATCCTGCGACTAATACACAGGAACCAGCGATACTCGCGACGTTAGACAAAGATCTGATGGCATTATCGTGTACTAGAATGTGTGTTTAGTAACCTGTAATAAATACATCGACCATCGCACAAAACTAAGCGACTGAAATTTCGAGTGGTGGCTACCATGTATTATCTGATGATTTGCGAGGCACGTTCAGTTGCATCCTAGTTAGGGCCAATTTGTAGCTCTGTATGCTGCTATCTCTTGGATATACGATTGTCTTCTCCATTCTAAACTGTTGGTCGATGATGTATGGCTCAGTACTAAGGTAGAGTGGAGAAATCATGGGTTCCTTTGTCGCCCCATACAAAGTCCAAGTCGTATCATTTGGAAGGGGTTTTGGTTAATATAGGATTTTGTATGGGGCTTAGCCATAAGTTTTGTCACCTGGACAGAACCAGCGATTTGTATGTGAGCTACAGATACGACCCACAAACTGCAAAGAGCGGTACATCCAAGTTCCTACAGGAAATTATATAATATGAGGAGATAAGTGATTGAGGTGCGTTACTACCACTATTTCCTCAAACTTCATTTTTACTTTTAAGAGAGAGGGTGATACTCCTCAATAACATCGCACTTCTGCTGAATGGTTAGCCACACACCCTTGGTACGCTTCTGGAGGCTGGGCGTCCTGTGCTCAGTGCTGCCTTGAGTTTGTCTGTGGAAAAAGTGCGCCATGCTTTTGGCGGGATGATTCAAATGAAAATGGAATGTGTAGACCACACAGTGGCGGTACTTCAATGTGACGCGCTCCCTCCTGAGATGATGTCCCTTGATATCATGATTCCACAAGGGTATCAAGTTATACGGTTTGCAGTTTCTGGGTGGTATCTGTACCCGCAAAAGCGCGCGTGTTAGCAGCGTGCAGATCTTTATCAGCGTGTTCTGCAACTCTAGTCCAAACCACACCTTAAAACGATAAAAAATGACGAAGTTGCAGCAACTTTTGGTGGAGTCCATATCTTTTTGTCGTGGAGTGTATAACTTGGGGGTTGGAGCCATTAGTAGTACTATTTGAAAAGTAGCCGAACGAAACACGGATAGTAGTCTATTATTACTACTAATGTGCTCGACGGCAATACCTCATTCTGCTTCCAACCTCACGCAAGCGTGTCATGACGTGCATGAAGAGAGATTACCAGCAAAGTGCAATGTCGAACACTTCTTATGTTGCCGACAGGTGCATCACTTGTACAGCAACGAGCTGTGCGACAAAGCTACCCAAGGGTAACGCTGCCTTTGTGGTTGTCTTCGTCGCTTTGATTGTACTAAGCAACTCGGCATGCAGATTCCACAGCCACACGCGTGATTACAGGGACTTTAACGTAGGTGACTCCGACTTCCAGGAGCCCCCATTCAGCACGTCTGGGGACCATCCTAACTCCCGAGTAGGATATTCTTGCTCCGCTGCAATGCACTAGTTGTTGGACTGGCTGAGTGTCATGCCACAAGCAGTTTGGGGGTGTTTTTTTATTGTTTTTGGCTAGATCTTGCTTAATTTCATTGTTAGCCGTTTCACACCAGTAGCAGTGCACCGACTGCAATAATCACACAAAAAAGAGTGTGATGTGGTGCTCTCGAAGCAGACCAGACGAGATGGAAAGCGCATGAGGTATGGAGTAGCATTGAGGGAACATTTGAGGCCGCGTCAAACAAAAAGACGCTAAGCCACCATTTGAAGTTATCGAGATAATCGCGTTTGAAGTTGACCAATCAAATTTCGGACATAACCAGACATCCAAATTTTTAAAGGGAAAACCACTCGTAAAACGCGTAAAAGTACTCTTATTAGATTGTTTTTAACACGATCTTTCCGATAGTATACAATATGTCGAAATCGAAAAAAAATTGAGGTCAGATGTTACTCCACGAGTTCTCAATACTTTGGAGCTTAAAAGAAGCCTAAGACACGCCTCTTTCGATTGATGTGGTTAAATTGCGATTCGTACTTCGTAAGCACCTTTTCGTTTGACGCGGTCTCATTTATTCTGGGATAGCAGTATCCCCGGTAGGGAGTGATGTGGCCAGGTTAATTCGGCGTCCGCCCGGTAACTGGCTCCGGTAAACTGAAGCCGGTAGCTGAAGCCTGCGAACTGAAATAAACTGAGTATTTGCGTTGATGCTCGCGTTCTCCATCAATCTCGAATCTTGGCAACGGACACAGGTCAACAACTATAATACCCTATTTGAAAAAAAAAGACTATCGCAACTGCGGAGGCACCCTCCGACATGGTGCTTCGGCCCCGTATGTCATTGATAGTTTTAGTGCTGCTATTTAGGCTGGGGGGGGTATCATATAGACGCGTTACCGGGCAGATGCTGCAGCTGCGAAACAGGCGCAGTAGATGCCCGTAGTTACAATCAACTAATCGAGTTTCTTGACTCGAATTCTGTGCTGGAATATAACAAGGAGACCTGAATACGAGTCATTGTGCCCAAGTTTATCCACTATAAAACGTGCTTGCATGTATAACCTTCGATAATGTGGAGCTGATGCAGCTAGACAACGAGTAGGAGGGATTGCTCATCCAAGTGTCATTTTTTCCACTACAATGCGCCGAAACGTTTGATCATTTTACTTGTCCTACGGATGCACTAACTCGAAATCGAGTGTCGACGACACGCCAACTACTTGACTTCTTTATTTTAAGTGCACCGCCTCGCCGAATAAGACACAAATCCACTGTACCGCAGTCCCCTCACCCAACGTTTCTTAGCTATCCCAGCCTACCCAACGCTCTCGTGTGTGCCGTTGGTTCGCGGAGGTCGGCGAAAGCTTATTCGTTCTTGAACGCTGCTCGCAGGCGAGTGTGTTCTAAAACCGGTTCTTTCCTAAGAAATTCTCAAACGAGAACAAACAACGAGCCTACACGGTGGTAGCTCATACATCACGTATGGACACCAGCTCTGAGCTCGCATACAAGTTGAGTCAAGCGCAGGTATCATTCATTCATTGGGTGATAGTACTGTAGTTTCATACCAAAGTTCCCACTACTATAATACCCTGATCGATACGAATACAATTCGTTTTACGGGACATCCGTCCCGTATCCAACAACGGATCAGTCAGCTCAGAATCTGAGATCCGCCGATCTGAATTGGACACTTCCGTTCTTGACCAGCATGGCCCCCGCCGTTCGCAGCACCACAGCCAGCGGCTCGGCCGTCTACGAGTCCGAGCGCGCCGTGCACGAGTACCTGCAGTTCCACTACGGTAAGTTGGGCTGCGGCACCGATATTTCCTGGTGTGTCATGTGTCCTAATTATGCATTGTTTGTGCCAGGTGACCCCTCCGCTGTTGTGCCCTACAGCTTCGCGCCACTGGACGCGCTGCAGTTTCTGCCACGCACTGTGGAGCGCTGCGCCAAGATGACGCCGGATGGACAACACGGACGTGCACTGGACATCGGCTGCGCTGTGGGTCGCGCCACCTTCGAGCTCAGCAAGTTCTACGACGAGGTGCGCGGCGGAGCGAGGCGCTGTTCCCTGCTGCGGTTTAAACGCACTAACTCATTTGGTATGATGTTGCGCTGTTGTTGCGTATGCAGACCGTAGGCATTGACTTCTCGCAGCACTTTGTGGATGCGGCCGAGCAGATGAAGGAGCGCGGAGAGATGCAGTACGAGGCGCACATCCAGGGAGACATCCACGAGGTGCGTAGCGCGAAGCTGCCTGAGGGCGCCAAGCCCGCTGGCGTTGTCTTCCAGCAGGGAGATGCGTGCAACCTGTCGCCGTCGCTAGGTACGTGGTGGAACATATAACCTCGTGGAGAGGCTAGCGCGTGGTTGCTCACGAAAACTTGTGTGTGATAATTGCGATGTTGCAGGTAAATTCGACGCGGTGTTCGCCTCCAACTTGCTGTGTCGCCTGCCGGAACCGCAGAAGTTTTTGACGGAGATCGGCGGATGTATCAACTCCGGGGGCATCCTTGCTCTCGTGAGCCCGTACTCGTGGCTGGAGGAGTACACGGCCAAGGACAAGTGGATTGGCGGCGTTCGCGACGGCGAGGGAAAGCCTGTGGACAGCTTCAGCGTGATTGAAAAGTTGCTGTCGGCGGACTTTGAGCTTGTCGAGCGCCAGGACTACCCGTTCATGATCCGCGAGCACGAGCGCAAGTACCAGTGGGGTGTGTCTGACGGCACCTTCTGGAGGCGCAAGTAGGTTGATAGCTGGTGAGGAGGAAGTTGAAGCATAAACCTACGAGCTTGTTGCCATTTTGAACAGTGATATTTCAAAGAACCCGAGTCTAGATTACAAAGGCACTCGCACCGAGGGCGTGCAAGCGGAAGCAACCTGGGTGACTTTGACTAGCAGCTAATACTATCGGAAGACTATCGACTGACTGACCCACAGCCAGGTGGCTATATTTTAAAGGAGAGGCGAATGGGGGGACGGAAGCGACCGGGAAGAGCAGGATGGCGCGCACGGGAGCTGTATGACCAATCCGCGCAGAGGCGCGCGAGTTTGCGCGGCACACCTGCTACCTTTGGACTGGGGGTACCGCATCTCAGCGCGCCTAGAGATTGCTGCAACGATCGGTCGTACACTTGTCGCTCAACCAAGGCTGGGTGATCCTTCTCCCAAGCCTCGTCGGCTGTCCAGCTCCTGCTCCCGGCTCGCGCGCCGTCAAAATTATGGTGTTTCTGTGTGGTGTCGCTCCAGGGGTGCCTCCGCCTCTCTTACAACCAAGCAGCCGCTTGGAAAAGTATGTTACGCGTTCACCCCGAGCGCGACGGCGCTCCTCCTCTTCTGCCCGGAGGCCCGACTTGACTTTGTGCAGGCGATGCCATTGCCGTTGTTCCCTGTTGAGGAGCCTGCTGCAGCCGGCACCGCGCCGTTCTCGCCGTCTTCTACTGTCCGGCGCATGGGGGCCATCATTGGCTGTGACTGGTGGTGATGATGCAGCGGCAGCGGTTGGCTGCGCCGATGCTCCTGCGGCGGCGGCACCTTCGGGTAGCTCTCGGTCACGTACACGAGCTGCCCCTCGTGCTGCTGGTCGGGCGCGACGAAGTGGCGCAGCTGGTAGTACGGCGAGTGCGGCAGCGACGAGTTGCGCACGCGCGTGTACATGTAGTGGTTGGCCAGCTCGTTGTAGTAGCGCGCGTACGTCTCGCTGCTCACGTGGAGGCTAAAGTTGATGAGCAGCAGGTACTCGACCTCGAGCTCGTTCATCTCGGGACAGGGCACGCCGCCCACCTTGGCGTAGTAGGCGTTGTTGAAGTAGTGGTCGTCGAAGAACTTGGCGGCCAGCACGACGCTCGTGATGACCACGCGGTGCACGTTGAGCTCCGTGAGCACGAAGCCCTGCATCTGGTGCAGGCGGTCCATGTACACGAGCGCGAGCACGAAGCACTCGGGGCTGCAGCTCGCGTACTTGTGGATGCGCGTGAGGTAGTCGCGCACCGAGATGCCCGGCGCGCGGAAGGCCTCGAACTTGGTCTTGTGGTAGTAGCCCAGCGGCATGCGGTCGCTGGCGTGCACCATGGACTCGACGACGACCGCCAGCGTCTGCACGATGGCGCGGCCGCGCTCGTCGTTCGAGTCGGCCGTGTCGTCCAGCATCATGGCCATCGGAGCCCTGCGCGGTCGCTGCTGAGTCTGAGTCGGGGAGGGGCGAGTCGCTTCACACTGCACTGTTGCCTGCCTGCCTGCCTGCCGCTGTTCTCCGTCCGCCGGTTTGCACTGTGATGGCTGGCTGGCTGCTGCTCCTCAACGGGGCGGTACAGTATCCGAGGTGTGGGATGGTATTACCGGTCCTTCCCTCGAGTCGCCGGTGACTGGACACGCCTTTGTTCCTTCTTCTCTATGCGAAGCCGGGCGGCGACGGCGGGGCGAGTGGGCGGGTCGAGTCTGGCGCAGGAAGGCGTTCCTCCTCCTGCTCGAGGCCTTTTTTGGCTTATGCAATAGACATAGAGAGGGGGCAAACGATATGCCCCCGCGAGTTGGTTGGCAGCGAGCCCAAGGTCGGGCGCAGTACAGTGCACGTGGCCGAATAGGGAACATGGGAAGCATTATACCCTTCAAAACCGTATTACCGCAGTTTGTGATCGTAACTTGTTTACTGGTGAAGTCAGCTATTTCTACATTTGATATCTCGTAAGATAGCGGCTTAGAAACGAGGTTTTCTTTGCGCAGGGAACAGTGCTGTATTTCTCCCACAGCCCTGCTGCTTCTTTGCGGCAAATCCGGCACGAAGAACTTGGGACACCAGGCAGTGCGCGGAGCCGACTGCACGAACTCATTGAGCAGCGCCCCTTTAGGATCCAGCGCAAGGCCGCATCGGAACCATCTTTTTGAGGGAAAAAATTTGCCTCGCAGTCCCTAGTTTTTTTGAGAGGCGTCTACATATCCGAACTTCGCTTTTCTCGAATTCGCCGCCGCACTCGGATTGCAAACCGCTTCCGATTGCGTGAATACATGCGGCGAGACAGCATGCTGTTATGCGCGGCGAGCGTCCTCCACCACCAGTTTTGACCACCCGCCGAACAGACTCGCTTTCAGTATGCAAAATCGAGAACATTTTCGCAGGTCTCTCCTCCTCCCTAGCCCGTGTTCGATCGATCAAGGTCGCACTTAGAAGGGCGTGCTCGTGTTGAAGTGGGCTCCATTGGAGAAGGATCAGGGTGATCCTTCCCCGGCGAAGCTGGCGCTGCCGACAGATCTCCCTTCATGCGCGCAATGTGAACCGCCGCACTTGCAATCAATCGCTTCTGTATGGATCAAAATCGGTATCCGTCTTTCCGCGATGTCAGCCTTAATCGAACGGCTCGATCCAAACATGAAATTAAAGACGCGAAACATTTAATTCTCCTACGTGTGCGCCGAAGATGTAGGTTTCGCCCTGCTGCGTGCTTTCAATTTGAGCTTAAGCTATGCGAGCACCATTGTGCCGCCGCCATTTTTAAAGAGGGATCGACAATCCGCCTCGGCCCCATCCTCCCCCTCAACTGCCGTCTCAAAACGCATCTTTCAGGTGCGATTGGTCAACCAAGCCAACGCTTTGTTCTCGTCCACAGCACAGACTTCAACAACAGCAAGGAATCGGTGCCCAATGCTTCAGGGGGGGGGGCTCTCCTGTAGCTCTACAACAAGAAGAAAACAGTAACAGTCCAGCAGCTCCACCGAAAGGTCCCACGCGGGACTCGCACCTAACCGAATACCCCCTCGAAACGTCGCGGTATCCTGTTCGGTATCGTACTTACACGAAACTCCACTGTGTCACTCTCTTCCAGCCGCGGCCATCCACTTGCTTCAGCCACTTCAGTGTGTCAATCGTCGCGCACCATGGGCTCCAGCCGATCTCGCAAGGGCTCCAAGGCCGCAGCGCAGCAGCACGACGACAACGATGATCTGCTGGTGACCAAGGGCTCGTCTAAGGCCGCGCGCCCGACGCCGCCCAGCAGCCCGGAGGTCCAGCTCAAGGTGAACCAGAAGTTCGCCGCGGCCTTCGAGGAGCGCAAGCGCAAGGAGGAGCTCTCGGCGCTCGAGAAGCGCGGACTGAACCCCGACGATGACGACGACGAGTCGGACTCGGAGACGGAGGACGAGGACGGCGAGGAGCTCACGAAGGAGCTGGACGCGGACATCTCCAAGACGCTGAAGCTCATCCGCAAGAAGGACCCGGCCATCTACGACTCGTCCATCGCCTTCTTCAAGAAGCCGGAGAGCGACAGCGACAGCGACGACGACAGCGACAAGAAGGGCAAGAAGAAGAAGGGCTCGGCCCCGCTGTACTACAAGGATTTGGTGCGTCAGCAGGTGATCGCGGGCGACGTCAGCGGCAGCGAAGACGAGGACGAGCGCAAGCCCGTGCAGACGTACGCCGAGGAGCAGGCGCAGATCAAGAAGGATTTCCTTAAGTCGCTGATGGAGAAGGAAGGCAGCAGCGACGAGGAGGAGGACGAAGACGGAGACGACCTGGACGGAGGACTGTTCACGGTGAGGAAGAAGACGGAAGGAGAGCAGAAGCAGGAGGACGAGGAGTACGAGGAGTTCACCACCAAGTACGGCTCCAAGCTCAAGAAGGACGACATGGACCCGGACAAGTTCCTGGAGCACTACCTGAGCAGTGAAGGCTGGAAGGACAAGACGGCAGTCGTCCCCCACTATGAGGACATCGTCAAGGAGGACGAAGAGGACGCCGAGGAGCTTGAGAAGGCCGAGGACTTTGAACACACGTACAACTTTCGCTTTGAGGAGCAGGGAAGCAGCATTATCCAGACGCACGCGCGTCACATTGAGGACACGATGCGTCGCGAGGACGACTCCCGTAAGCGCAAACGTGCCGAGCGTAAGGAGCGCAAGGCCCTCGAGCGTCAGAAGAAGGAGGAGGAACTGCGTCGTCTGAAGAACCTCAAGCAGGCCGAAATCGAGCAGAAGCTTAAGAAGGTGGCGCGGCTCATGGGCGAGGCAGAGGGCACGGCCGGTCTGAAGCCGGAGGACTTGGAGGGTGACTTCGACCCCGAAGAGTACGACAAGCGGATGCAGGCTGTCTTTGATGAGCAGTACTACGACGAGGACGACGACGATATGGAGAAGCCTACATGGGACGAGGAGGAAGACAAGGAGCTGTTTGCTGGTCTGCCTGTTGATCCGGAAGATGAAGAGGAGGGAGAGGCGACAGAGGCCGCCGCTGAGACTAGCGAGAAGGGCGAGGCAGAAGAAAACGAGGAGGAGGAGCAGGAGCAGGAGGAAAAAGGCGATGAGGAGGAACAGGAGCCGCCCAAGAAGATGACGATGGAGGAGATGCAGCGTGAAAAGCAGAAGTACCTGGACGAGCTGTACAGCCTTGACTACGAAGACCTAATCGGCGATATCAAGTGCCGCTTCAAATACCGCCAGGTGGAGAACAACGACTTCGGCTTGACGGTGGATGAGATAATGGCTGCCGACGACAAGGAGCTCAAGCAGCTTGTGTCTCTCAAGCGTATGGCACCGTATGCTGAGACGGAGTTCGCTGTGGACCGCAAGCGGCTTAAGAACTTCAAGAAGAGCGTGCGCGAAGCTCAGGAGGAGAACCGTAGACGTAAGAACAAGGAGGCTGCAGAGACGGGTGAGGCACAGAACGGTGAGGCCGAGCAGCCGAAGAAGAAGCGGAAGCGCAACAAAAAGAAGAAGGCGGTTGAGGAGGAATCGAAGCCAGAGGAGGACGAGGCAATGCCCGAGGCGGACTCGGAGGAAGTCTCCGAGCCTAAGAGCAAGAAGGCGAAGAAAGACAAGGCCGAGCCGGCTGCGGAGAAGGCCTCAGACGAACCCGAGAAGAAGAAGAAGCGTCGTAGTAAGAAGAAGAAGGGCGGTGCCGAAAAGAACGCGTTCGCATCCACCGGTCTGCCGACTTCCCGACTCGAGTCGTACAAGCTGGTCAAGGCTAGTAAAAAGTAGAGAAAGTTTGGAGCTCATACAGATGTGATCACCTCAACGTGGTTTAGCTTACGGTAATGCAAATAGACGGCACCTTGCGCTAACACAAAATTTGTAGCGATGTTCTACAAATGGCTACACTTTTCGTCTACAGATATCAGGAAACTTCAACGTACACTTCCAAAAATAGTGCAGTCGCTGCGTCTAGCATTGTAGTCCCCCTCCGTCCACTGCCAGCGTCTCCCCCTTCAGTCCCTCGCATATATAATGGCTGCGCTGCCTGCAGTAGCCCCAGCCTCGTCGAACTCGCCGAGATCTTCTAATGCCTCTGCAGTAGCAGCAGGTGCTTTGGAGGGGAAAGCATCGAGACTGACGCGCATTTATCGGCGTGTGGGGCCAGCTGCAAGCCCAACGTCCGGCACTCCCCCCGCCTGGAGTGCCAACAATGAGAAGACGTCTCCGTCCCCTGAAATTGAGGGCGAGAGCAACAAGGAGCAGCAGCTGGTGCCAAAGACTCCTGTGTCAACAAGGTCGAACAAGTGGAGTGCGCTGCGTCGCGAGATTCTACCCAGCCCGGCCCTTATGACAGTAAGCGCCAAGGTCCAGCACATCATCGAGTACGTTGTCGCAATGGGAGATTTGCGAACGTTGTGAGTATTGACAGGATGCCCCCTGCGCTTACAGGATGCTGAAGAAACCACCTGAAGACCGCTCTGAGAGTGATATCCTTTCCACTTGTTTTGTTTACTCGATTTATTGATGCCAGTTCCCTATTTCACAATTTTATTTCCTTGACCAAGAATGTATTGACCTCTTGCACACGTGAAGATGCTGTATCAGTGGCTCATGAACCAGGAAAAACTTAGCTCGCTGTTTACAACCATGTCGGAAGTATCTGCTAAGAAGCTGTGCAAGGACATGGAATTCCTCCATCTCAACAGCGGCCAAGTGGTCGTGAATCAAGGCGAAAAGGGCAGCACGTGCTTCGTACGTGTAGCTGAACCAGCAAAATGTTTTTCTCGGTCGTATTTTTGCTGATCACTGGCGGATTTTTTATTGTAGATCCTTATGAGCGGCGTCGTGTCGGTGTATGTCCGCAGTCCCGACGAGCAGATCAGATACCAGCGCATCCTCCGCTCGAGCTCTGTCTCCTCCAGCATGCGCAGACTTGTAAGTTTTCAGTGTCTAGCTCGCAACATATTTCGCGACTGATTCACTCAGGATGCTGTAGTCAGGAACAGCGAGCATTAACTACGGGACCAAGGTGGTGACGCTCACGCCAGGCGCGACGTTCGGAGAGCTCTGCCTTATTGAGCCTGATTCCAAGCGTAGCGCAACTGTGATCGTCGATCCGCAGGCTCAAATGGCGAATTTTATCGTTCTCACAGCTGCATCCTATCTGCGAATGACTCGCAGCCAAACTATCGAGGTGAGTTGCAACATAGCTATCAATAAGTACGCTGATCTCGTAGTTGACTTTTGACCATGCCCCTGAACCGTATCTAGGGAACTATCACGGACAATATCGCCTTCTTGCAGCACTTGCTTATCTTTAAGAGCTGGACGAAGATGCGTACGACTTAGTTTGGCGTTCGACTTGCATTGTGTCTTTATCTCACACTTGTCGTTTCGTCTTCAGAACTCATGCATATTGTAAACTCTATGAAACTGGTCAATGTCTCCGCTGGGGTACGTCGCAACCGATTTTTTATTCACGATACAACATTTGAACTAAATTTGCCAACGCTGCAGCAATACTTGACGCGCAAAGGCTCTGAGGCCGACTCCTTCTTCGTTTTCTTAAGGGGCGAAGCCGTGGAGAGCGTTAATCTAACAGTTAATGAGAGTTCCGAAATGAGGTAAGTCTGCATACGTATGCGCATTTTCCTTACTTCTTTATTTTGCGAAGTCTCACCTCGAATTGGATGCAGTATGGGCGAAGCTCGCGGTGTACAGCGCAGTATCACTGTCGAGCTGACGTTTTTGGGTAAATTTGACGTTGCTGGTGAATACCTGGCGTCGGAGAAGAAGGTATCATTGTGTCCTGTGGATATTCGCGCCACGACTGATGTGGACTGCCTCATGCTCACGGTAGGGCTTATATTTTGAACAGACCTAGGCAGTTTACTCATATTTTGTTATTGTTGTTTTGCAGAGGAAGTTATTCATGTTGCATTTTGGCGGGAAAGAGCTGAAGCCTCACGTAGTTCCAACTCGAAGACGTTTGCGCTCTATTGCTGAAGCGCGAGAAGCTTGGCGAGAAACGCGAATCTTACAAGCACTACAGTACCCGAACCTGAGGATCCCCATTACGCGCAAACTCATGCGACTCAGTGGAAACTGTTGTTTGATCTGCGGGAGACGTACACATGTTGCAGGGGACCAACTTTGCATGGAGCTCCCATTGTACTACATGCTGGAGGAGAAGCAGAAGAAGCGCGAGCAGAAGGAGCGAGGTCGCACCGCAAGCAAACACCGCATCAGTGTCGCGACACCATCTCCTTCGAACGGCTCGGCCCCTGACGCTCCCAGAACGTTAACCAGAAAGCCAACAATGGCGTCAATGGCGAGTCAAACTGATCTTCCATCACTGCGTGAGGTAGATCGCGAAGATGTCAGTGAGCCCCCGAGTCCTGTTCGTCTTGGAATGCAGCTGGTCACGAAGCAGTTGCAGGAAGCGGGAAAAAGTCGAGCTTTGCGACTCCCTCAGCGTCCAATGGTGAGTACGACCAGGAAAGTTGACCTTCCCCAGCCTAACTCCTTCTTGTTTTGTATCTGCAGACGACTCCATCGGGAAAGCGAGCGGTGCCGCAGGCAGTAACCTCCATCACACGTTCGTCCCATGTTTCACGGCGTCAAGAAGAGGCTGAGCAACAACGTCGTCAGCTCACACAGCGCAAAACCCGCACTATCCAGGAAGAGCTCCAGCATATTCGCGATACCTGGCCGTACTGCTGGAACAATGACGACGAAGGGAAGCAGCAAGACGCAACGACGGGAATGCTGACGCGACTGCGGTCTCGATCACGATCTCCGTCACCACCGCTTGATGCACGAAGGCCTCGGCCTGGACGACATGGAGGCGGCAGCTTGTCAGCCCGAACATGAACCAATCCAAACCAAACGAACGCACTGGCGCAGAAAGGAGACCACCAAACTAGGCAAAACCGGAAAATATTTAATCACTTTGGGGCAGCAATGAATTCACACAGCCAGCTACCAAGGAATCTATAATGCTCCCCTCAACAATTTTCACGTACCCCGCTTAAGCGGTACACAAAGCGGCAGGAGGCAGCCCAGGTAGACGCGCGTACACACCACATCCTCCTGCCAGACAGGCTCACATATACACTGCGAGTGGCTGAGCACACCACCATCCCACCCACTGACCAAAGCGTCCACGTTTTCCAGCTTCACCGTGCCGTTATACTTTAAAACGCAACTTCCTTGGTGCTTCGTGGCGGGGCTTCATCATCTGCTGGCTGGGATACAGAGCCACTCGTAGGGGGCCTGCGCGCCAAGTGTGTGGCCTTGAACTCCATAAGGTCCTCCTGATACTCGTCCGATTGCATATACTGAGTCACAGTCTCGCCCAACACGTTGAGCACCTCCACCTGCTTGTGGTCGATGTTGTCACGGGCGTAGCGGTCCGCAACGCACAAATCGCCAACCACTTCACCGTTAACGAGCAACGGAATACCCACGAAGAACTGCAGCTTGGCTGTGAAACGCTTTTCGCCCGAAATCCGCTTGTCCGAGCTCACATCGAGCACGATGCACGGCTTGCCGCGAGTCGCCAGTCGTCGGAAGGTCGGCAGACTTCGAGGTAGGCCCGGCCCCGGCTTGCCGTCATAGTACCTCACGAGCTCGAAATCTTCGGTGCGAATACCTGCCATGGGGCAAGTCAACGTCTCCATCGCCAGCATGCAGATCTCCTCCATGTCCTCGTTGAAATAATGGATACGGCGATCGGAGCTCTTTTTCCTGCTGGTTGCAATGCTAGCATTGGACGCGGTTCTACCCATGGAACCAATCGGCCTACCTTCGTAGCCCGTCCCTCTGCCTTGACTTGACACAGAGGAGGTTTGCTTGTGGTAGGACGGGGGGCTGCTACTTCCATCGTCACTCATCTGTGACGCCGATTCAAAGTCGTTCAGGGACAAACTCTTGTTGTTGGCCATCATCGTCGGAGGAGACGCCGACGCGGGGTTGTCGTTGGGCGGGCTGTGTGACTCATCCGAGGTCAGTGAACTGGTACTGCCGACGCTCGTGCCGATACCCACGCCATTAGGAGGTGGCATGTTTCCCAGTCCGCTATTCACCTCCAACTCGGTGCCATTGCTACTGAGCATCCGAGCGGGCGGGTTCGCGTATCCTGGGGCCATGGTGCTGCCAAAGTTCTGGTTCGCGAACGCGTTCGTGACGATGCCGTTCGAGCTGGCACTCTTCGCCAAACAGGCCTTGCACACTCGCACTTTGGCCGCCACTTCCTGATCTCCCTTGACCATTTTAAACACGGTACACGCGGAGCAGACCACCTCGCCGCACACGCGGCAGTGATGACGTCGCTTCAACATGCTGAAAGATTGCACACAGAGCGAGCAGTTGGTTCGCTGCGCGTCGTTCACCCATTCCTGACGTTGCGCCAACGCTGCCGGAGCAAACAAAGCCTGCTGCACCGCCTTCTGCATGCCGGACAGATCGCCAGCCAGTCGGAGCGAGGTGAGGCGAACGCCGGCCGAAACGCTCTCGCCTCCTCGCGCTTTCCGCATTGCGAACGTCCACATGACGTTGACCATGTTGGGGTCCTCGGGGGTCTGCTGCACCACGAAGGAGCTGGGCTCGAACACCGTCAAGCTGTAGGCGTCGGGCTTGCCACGAATACCATACTGCGCAGCTGCGCCGTCATACGACTCGAACTTCAACACGCCCACGTTGCCGTGCACGGGGTGGTTAGGCAGCAGCACACAGTACTCGCGGATGCAGAACTCCTTGGAGCGGCCCAGGGTCTTGGGCGACGAGTACACGAGCCACTTGAGCGTCATGGACTCGACCGACGCGCCGTCGTGCGTAGAGGCCGGGTCCGTGTGGTGCGCGTGCAGCACCTCGCCGTCCAGGAAGTTGCGCGGGTGCAGCAGCTTCTGGAAGCCTCTCAGGCTCGCGTTGTCCGCGGAGCGGAGGCACTCGAGCACGTCCGACACGGAGCCGGTGACCTTGGTCACGGCGCGCACCGAGTAGGACAGGCGCTCGCTGTTCTTGGAGTGCAGGTAGACCATGGCGTTGTCCTTGCGGTTCTCTACGGCCCAGACGCTCATGTCGGACGCGCTGCGCACGAGCTCGTCCACCTCGGCGCGCTCCGACAGGTACAGCGCGTCCAGGTCCACGTCGGCGGGCCATTGCGAGGCCACGGTGGGCGCGCGCGGGTACTCGGGGGAGCCCGGGATGTCGCCGCTCATCTATCTGTCTGTCTGTCTATCGATCTGCACGCACAATGCGGTCGTCGGTTAAAGGACGAGCGGGCGGGCGGGCGACCGATCGATCGATCGATCGCTCTTGAGTGAGGAGACGCACCTGCCTGAACTGCCGGACGAAGATAGCTCTCTCGCTCTCGCTGAGGAGGGTGGAGGGTGGTGGTGGAAGTGGTGGGGGAGCACACGGAGCTGCTGCTGGTTGTGCCTTCCGCCCTTGCAGCGCAGGAGTGCCAGTGCTCGCTCGTCGGTCGTCCGCACTGGCTGCGAGCTCCAGTTGCTTGGGCTCGCTGCGACCTTCCCCCTGTTACGCCCGCTCTCTGCGCGCGCAAAGAGGCACGCGAATGGGGGAAATTGTGGCTCGCGCAAGACGCTATTTCGGCCAATCAGAAATGGCTCGGAAAGGGCCCAGCATGCCCCGCTGTGCACGCTTCTGGCAGTCGATTCAACGAGCCAGCGGCTTTCGCTACGAGGTGATGCGTATCGCCGTCCGTACCTCTGGGGCAGAAACAAGTGAGAGGCATTACAGTATCGTCACGAAACTTGGCGGTCCCCCACAGAGGGTCAAGTGAGAGTCTCCGCGGACCCGCCCGGCAGGCAGGCAGCCGGTGACAGCCTGGTTGCCGCAACACCAGCCGACTTCGGTGTGATACCCAGCCAAATGGTGCCGTGGCGTGCAGATGGCGGTATCGGCTCAAACAAGTGTGATGAAATAATCGTCGCCGAATTCCGTCTCGAAAGGCCGCTTGCTTGACCGCGAGGGCGGACGAACACTAGATTAGCATGCACACTGGCCCTCTCCGAGACTCTCTTCGCCTTGTGCGTGTGACCCTTGCGTTCGTGCCCCCAGTGCTGGCCCCTACGCTCCATGCAAGGTTTGCAAGCATTGCACGCATTTGCAAGCACCTCTACGGAGCGACGACACAAAAGAAAGCAGTGGTACCGCGCACAAACTTTGCTTTTGTACGAGTAAAAGTATAGCGTATAGTTTATGAGTGGAAAGTGCGTTCGATTGTAAAACCGTCGTTTGATTGTGATCTGTACGAACCACTAAAACTGATTTTTGATTGGCCGAAATGTTCGACAGAAAGCCATTGGCCAAAAGTCCATTTCGGTGTAAACGGCAACTTCAAGGGCACTTTATCGGCTTGGTGCTCCGTGCTTATCGTATCCATTTACCAGTGCAGTATTAATAGTTGATCCCGACAATGCTCACTCGTCATATGCATGCATGTTAGCTGGCACGTGTACATGTAGAGGAAAGTCAATCATTGCCCTTCAAAATGGCGGGAGTCCGTCAGACGGCGCGCGTAGCTGCAAAGCGCCTATCCATCTCGAGCTTCGATCACCGACTTCGCTGTGACAAAAGCCATAATAATATGATCTTTGACAGGCAGCAACTCGAAATTGAGCAGGTCTGTGTTAGCACGTCTCGCACAACCGCAGTCGTCTCGAAACCCGTCCCGGATCCATCGTGGACTCATTCGGCACAACGTACTGCGCCGCGCGCATTGTGACTTGTGAGGCGACCGAACATCACTGTCGACAGCTGCAGACGCAGCAGCATTGCCTGGCCATGTCCATTGCACACTTGTCGCTGTGTACATCTACGCTTGACAGGCGCTGCTTGTCGACACTGCATCTTGCTTAGGAGCGTTCTTAACCGGGGTTGTACGGGTGTACGTACAACCTGTGCAAGAGACATACCCGGTGTACGCTACACCCGTACTACCATTGAACGAGAAAGAAAGTGATCCGTTCACCTCACATTTCCTTATCATATTTTCTCATCTCCAAAGGGACTATTTGCATGCTTCAAGTGTATCATGATTGATAAATATCTGATGCTGAGTATGAAGCAAAAGAGGCAGAACTTGGCAAAGATACACGAAAAGTCCTCATTTTACATGAAAAGGTACATATATATACATAGAATCAACTCCTGAGATATGATTGGCTGGACTCTTCCTTTTTACTTAGGGCTCGTCTCTGGACGATGAAAGTTCTGCCCAATTCCCGCCGTTCACCCCCATTCACCCGTTCACTTCGTTCACAGAGGTCTGGTGCACCGGTGCGCGTTTCTTTGTGGCTCATTATTACGCAATCGGTTGTACGGCGTACAACAATACACCCGTATAACCGCTGTTAAGGAAGTTGCTCGTCCAAAATCTGGATCTCAGCGATCAGCGCGCGTACACTCCGACCGTGCCGCAGAGTATTTACTGGCAGGTTGGTTCTCTGTAGTCCTGGAAACACAAGTCATCAGTGGAATTCATCAATTCAACCAGATTCCCGCTCATGTGGATGTGTTTGCAGCCCCCCTGAGAATCTCAGTGAGATCTAATTGGCAAAGATGACATCCTCAAACTCAAGTCATGCGTTGCAGTTCATCGGGCGAAGTTTAATGCCTCTTCTAACGTTAGATACCCACACGAACAAAGGTTCTGAGGCTTTGAATCCAAACAGTTCGGTCTCACCAGTCGGGGGGGGGGGGAGTCCCAAGCCAAACCACCGGGATCCATTGAAGTAAGAGTCTGCTCGGTACGTGCAGTTGATATGCCAACAAGAAGCGTAATGCTCTGAGTCTCGATTGAGCGCGGCAAGTTCTCCTGGTCGCGGGTGGGGAGAGACATGGTCGAACCGTGAGCATCCACTGCAGACGCAGTGTGAATATGTTACGCCTGCAATGCCGACTGCACCTTCAACCATAAACGCCTTGCTTACCGGCACCGCCTGATCAATGACGCGCTGCTTGTAAAGCTCGACCGACTCCCTCGCAGCAAATCCGTGAGACTCCAGTGACCATCACTCCTCATACAAACTCCAAGTCAACCGCAACTTGAAGTCCTTCACCCAGCCGATCGCGATCCGCGTCATTCCGCAATCTGCACCATCGGAAGCAAGCGCCCCCTCCTCCTCCCTGCCGCCCGCCGCTCATGTCGCTGTGTCTGCGCGCCTTGAAGCCTCGCTGCTCCCCGTGGCGGCGCTCGCTGTCCACCGCAAGCGGCCGCGCCCTGCCGTCCACGCCCGCGCCCGCCTTCCCTGACGAGTACGCGCACGCCGAGATCGTGACGGGCCAAGTGCCCGGCCCCAAGTCGCAGCAGCAGCTCGAGCGCCTCGCCGCGCTGCAGAACACGGGCGCCATCAACTTCTTCGCCGACTACGCGGCCAGCAGAGGCAACTACCTCGTGGACGTGGACGGCAACCGCTTCCTGGACGTCTACGGCCAGATCGCGTCGCTGCCCATCGGCTACAACCACCCCAAGATCCTCGAGGCCATGAGCGACAAGGACAACCTGGCCTTGCTGGCGCAGCGCCCGTGTCTGGGCGTGTTCCCGCCTGCCGACTGGGTCGACCGCATCGACGACACGCTGCTCAAGGTGGCCCCCGAGGGGATGGAGGACGTCAACACCCTCATGTGCGGCTCGTGCTCCAACGAAAACGCCTACAAGGCCGTCTTCATGTGGTTCCAGACCAAGCTGCGAGGCGGCCGACCCCCGTCCGAGCACGATCTGGAGACGAGCATGGCGCACCAGCTGCCGGGCACTCCCAACTTGAGCATTCTGTCTTTCCAGGGAGGCTTCCACGGCCGCCTTTTGGGCTGTCTGTCGACGACCCACTCGAAAGCCATCCACAAGGTGGACGTGCCGGCCTTTGACTGGCCCGTGGCGCCGTTCCCCAAGCTCAGATACCCGCTAGATGTCCACCAAGCTGCCAATGAAGCGGAAGAAGCGCGGTGCTTGGATGAGGTCGAGAGGCTGCTGAAGCACAGCGCGGAGGTGACCAAGGCGGAAGACTCGCGCATTGCCGGCATGATTATTGAGCCGATCCAAGCCGAGGGAGGAGACAACCACGCGAGCCCGGCGTTCTTCCGTTCACTGCGTGACCTGGCTGCGAAGTACGGCGTGGCGTTCATCGTGGACGAGGTGCAGACCGGAGGCGGCAGCACCGGCAAATTCTGGGCGCACGAGCACTGGGAGCTGGAGAACCCGCCCGACCTCGTCACGTTTAGCAAGAAGATGCAGACGGGTGGCTACTTCGCCAAGAAAGAGTTCCGTCTCAAGGAGGGATACCGCATCTTCAACACGTGGATGGGAGACCCCACCAAGATGATCACGTTGAAGGCGGTGCTGGACGTGGTCGAGAGCGACAGCCTGCTCGAGAACGTCCAGATCACTGGTGACTACCTGAAGGCCGGGCTGCACGAACTTGCTGCTGAGTTCCCGACGCTCGTTTCCAACGTGCGCGGCCAGGGTACCTACCTGGCCATGGACTTCCCGACGGAAGCTGTGCGCAACGACTTTGTGGGTCTGATGAAGTCGAAGGGTGTGGCCTCCGGAGGCTGCGGCGTGAACTCGGTTCGCTTCCGCCCGGCGCTCGTCTTCCAGCCGAAGCACGCGGCGGAATACTTGGAGAAGATGCGTGAGGCTTGTGAAAGCCTCAGCAACGCATGAGACGAGCGGTGCGGAATAGCAGTTGAACTCGTGTCGTCATGTAGGTCGATCTTAGAAGCACAGTCTCCCATACAATCCATTCCTCGACCACATTAACCCTCTGAAGTACTGCGACGTACCTCTAATTGAACTGTAGCTGCGACTGAGTTTGTTTTCGGGCATATCCATGTGCCTCTTGAGCTGCCGTTGCAATGGACACCACGACCACCCGACTTTTCGGGCAAGGGACACAAACACATCGCAAGCCACTGCAGCTTTGCGAAGAGCTGTACACTCGTCGGTATTGAGCTGCTAGCGCTATGAGCGTCAGCATCAAGGTGTCGGTACGATGCCGGCCGTTCACATGCGACGACAAGCTGGGAGTGGTGATGACCCAGAATGGTGAAGAGGAAGGCGATGTGGAGCTCATCAACTCCACGTACTCCACTACGAGGTTCCCCTTCAGCTACGCGTGGTGGAGCGCCTACGGCTACAAGCGGCACATCCAGGGCGACTCGCTGCAAGCCGACAATATGACACTCGTCGACCAACAAATGGCCTACGAAAGCGTCGGACTAAAGATCAAGGCAGACCTGATGGGAGGCAACGCCGTCGTGCTCTTCGCCTACGGCCTCTCCGGGTCTGGCAAGACGTTCACAGTGTTCGGGGTAGGTTCGAGCTTTGTTTGTTTTTATATCTAGGACTAACCTGCTGATTATTTGTTCTGGAAACTCGTAGCCGGACGCTGTCGACATTCCTGAGGCATGGTTCAAGCACGAGGATCCCCATCCACTGGTACGGAGAAGGCATATCGTTTAATTAAAAGTGCACATGATCCTTGGTTTTGATGTGTGTATGTGTGTGCCTGTCAGTGGGGGATTTTTCCGCGTCTGGCGTACGAGTTGTTCAAGGAGAAGCAGGACGGCTGGAAGATCTCGATGAAGTACTTTCAAAACGTCGTGGATACCGTGCGCGATCTAATGTCCCCGGTCGCACAGGAGCAGCAGTACAAGTCAGGTATGCGCAAGGACCCCGACGGATTCACAGACATCGACTGGTGCCAGTCCGTTGTGCTCAAAGACTGGAACGACTTGCGCAAGACGTTCATGGCAGCCAATGCCAAGAAGGCTATCGCACCGACGCAGTTCAATCACCAGTCTACGCGTGGGCACTGCATCATGACTCTTGAGGTGGAGAAACCTGATCCAGAGCGCGAAGGGATGAAGCAGAGAGGGCGTGTTTACGTGTGTGATCTCGCCGGTACAGAGCCTGCTGGTGATATTGTCTACGCCGACTACAAGAAAGTCGTGTATGAGAACGGCGAAATCGAGCACAAGTACTTGGGCCCCCACCCGGATGCGTCAAAGTCGAAGGAGTTGCAGGACCAGGGCAAGAAGATCAACCTGTCGCTCACGGAAATGGCGCAGTTCTTCATGAAGATGGCTGAGGCTGTCAAGGCCAACAAGCTCAAGCCGGGGATGTCCATTCCCGGATGTAACTCGTACTTCCTGTGCAAGTATCTCAAGGACACGATGCTGCAAGCACGAACGTATTTGTTCTGCGCTATCCGACCGGAAGTCAAGTTTCACGGCTATACATTTTCAACTCTGGGCTTTGCCAAGAACGCCTCGGTCATTAAACTCCAGCCGAAGAAGGCTTCAACTGCTGCTAGCCCTGCAGAGCGGAAGCTTATGGCCGAACTAGAGCAGATGAAGGCTCTCGTGAGCCAGTTGAAAGAGGAAAACGAGCGCATCGCGAAGATGCGCAGTGCAGCTGGGGGTGCTTCACCAAGTGCGGAAGCTGGTGAAGATGGCGACGCCGAAACTGGTGGAGACGATGTGGCCAGTGCACAGGTCGCACAGTTGGCCGAGTTGCTCAACCAGAAGCAAAAGGAGTTGGAGAACGTGTTGAGTGGGGGAACTGGAGGTGCCAGTGGTGGCATGAGCGTGCAAGATGAAATGATGCAGAGGCAACGCGAGGAGTACGGCAAGCGTGGAATTCACTTGTATCACTTTGAAGCTGACACAAAGTCCCCGTACCTTATCAACCTGGACGTGGACGCTTATCGGTCGAAGCGATTCATGTTCCTGCTCGATAAGCCTCACCTCACTGTGGGACCACAAGGCGACATTCAGCCCATGTCGCTCAGCATTGTCAACGGTCACTGTTCATTTGAGAATGATGGCACGGAGATCTTCCTTTGTGCAGGTGCTGGAGAAGTTATGCGCAACGGGAAAAAGATTGATAAAGGTGCACGCATACAGCTTGATCCGTACGACCGTGTCGTGATCGGAAACGAGCTCATGCTCTTCGTATATCCGGGGCGTGAGCCTGAAGGTGAACCGCCTTCGGCTGACACTGCCGCTGCCGAGTATAAGGAAGCTCTGCAGACAGTTGACACCTCCGCGATGAATGAGCTGCAAGAGCAAATGAAGAAGTTCGAGGAGGAGAAGGCGAGGTGGGAAAAGGAACGACTGGAACGCGAGGCGGCCGCTGCTAGTGCCAATAATGATGCCAACTCTGCTGCTGCCGAAGCTGCGACGGCAGAGGCCGCGGCTGCAGCAGCAAAAGCGGAGGAAGAAGCACGACTCGCGGCTGAGAAACAGCGCGAGCTTTTGGCTCGACAAGTGAATGATCAAGAACTCCGGGAAGTCCTGCCCAAGATTGCGGAACTTACTCAGATTGTCAAGTTCTTGAACCGCGACGTGTTAAGCTTTGAGACGGCGTTGCAGAGCTCCTCTATGGAAGACAAGGACGGCACTGGTACAAGTGGAATCCCGAAGGTCAAAGTCAAAGTGTACAACAAAGCCACGGACGAGACCATTTTCCTTGATGTCTTCGAGTTTGTAAAGGCGCACGCACTACTCAAAGATGAAGTGGCGTTCCTACGCAACGCGCTTATGAACGACCGCGAGTACGAGTCACCGGCAGGCCACGACCCGATCACGCTACTTTTTGACAACTCCTTCCACATTGGTAGTGCTACTACTTTCCTCGAGTACTTGCTGTACAACTTGGAGACGGAGCCCGATGAGTCTCAACTCAGCATTAAGTTGGCTGTGCCGCCGTTCAACACTATTGGGAAACTCCAGGTTATGTGGATTCCTCTATCGTCGCCCGATCCCGAGAAGCACAACGAGGACGACTTGATGGATTTGGAGAATCCGAGTGATCTCCTGGGGAAGCCCTGGACGTTCAAGATTCGCATCGTTGGCGCTACCGGCCTCCCCATCATTACCGATTTGGCCTACTGCCAGTATGAGTTCCTAGGCGAACTCTTCACGACTGAAAGTGTCGAGCAGAACACGCGGAGCCCCGTGTTCAACTACGAGTTCATTCACCACGTGGATTGCGTCACGGAGCAGTTCATCGAGTATCTCCAAAGCGCACGCCTCGAATTCCAAGTGTTCGTGAACCCGTACATTCTCGATCCGCCCAAGGATAAAATATCGACGAAGAACCCCGCTATTGCTGCGCAACTCGCGGAAGGACACGCAGGTTCGTGCATTATACTGTGTATGGCCGTACTGTTGCTACCTGCCTCCTGACTTCGTACTATTCGTTGTGGGACAGCCAAACCAACGTATGAGGAGTTGCAGGCAAAGTGTGCGCAGTTAGAGACGAGTCTGGCGAGTGCAACGGAAGATCTCAACTTTTTGAGAGAACAATACAGAAGTGCTGTCGGGAGGTAAGGCTATCACGACCTAAAGCTTGCTGTTTGGTGGTGCTCACTTTAGTGCAATGAATTTTGCGTGCATGTAGTGATCCACCCACACGCCCCTTGCCGAGTCTGGCGGGGCTTGAAGAAGCTCAAAAGAGTCCAACGCACTCAGCTCCTTGTACCCCGAGGAAGAAAATTGAGCTTGCGAAAGCGAACGACGAACGTCTCAACAGCCCGACGAAGGAATCGAGTGCCCCCATCACGCCAAATCACTCAGCGACTTAGTAGACTCCCCCATTTGAACTGTTTACCTAGTAATACTGGCGGTACCCGTTGCGGTAGGGCACGCAGTCGTGTCGGGGATGAACGAGTTACGTTTACCAACAGCGTTTCCATGCGTTTGGAGCTATCATGCGCAGGAGAGTCCGATATAGCTTCCAGCCAGCCTATATTTTTATCTACACGTCTGTTGTGCCGCGACGTCTGAACATTCGACACACTTAGCTTTGTCACGGAGGGCAGTTAGCCGCAATGGAGGAGAAACAAGAGGTTGATGCGGTTCCGGACGCTGAGCCTGCTGAAGCAGCAGAATCCACGGCTCCTCGAGTCGAGGTCGACGATATCAAACTCGAGGTGAGGCTGAACCGCCACCTTTGCGTATGCTCCTTGTGCGGTCTGACGGACTTGGTTTGTATATCTGCAGGTCGATCATGAGTCACCTCCGCCTCGGAGACAAACCGTCAACTCCGCCCCAGCTTCACCCTCGACGAGCCCGTTAGGTCGGAGGGCTTCCGTGAACCTCATGACCTCGGGCACTCAACTGAAAATCCTCGTGGCTTCCTGGAACGTGGGCAACACGATGCCACCAAAGGACTCGAAACTTTTGAACGACTGGATCCCGGAAGGTGGTGGTGACTACGACGTCATTGCAGTCGGGCTGCAGGAGAGCACGTACAAGAATGAAAAGGTATCGGAGAACTTGGTGCGAACGGACAGCTGGCACCATTCCAGCTCCAAGGCTGACGACCAGGAGGAGGAGGAGGACATCGACACGGACTCTCCTGGGCTGGACAGTGTTATTGATGGTACTGACTTTGAAGAGGGCGAGGAGGAGGAGGAAGACGAGGACGAGGAAAGCGACCTGAAACTTGATGACGCTGGGAACAGAGCTTCGATAAAAAGATCCGGCGCCCACAAGAGCTCGTCGACCACTGACGAGAACAACAGTGAGGCGATACGAAATGGTCGTGCCGGTGGACCGTTCAACAGCTCAACCTCAGACCAGAGCAATGGCAGTTCCGTTGGCCCCAGCAAGTCCTCGGACGTGATCGTAAAGCGATCCCGCACGAAAAAGTCGATGCGCAAGATGACGAGAATGGTGCGTCAACTGAGCAGCAACCTGCGCGACACGATGGGCGACGTGCTCGACTACCCATTTAGCAAACAGATCTACCTGCACCTCGGAGACAGCTACGTACTAGCAGGAAAGGTGGAGCTGATGGAGATGAGGCTGTTTGTCTACGTTCACGAGCGCAACAATGTGTGCGATGTGGAGAAGCTTGCAGTCCCGACGGGCTTGGGAAGTGTCATCGGCAACAAGGTACTACCCATCACAAATCGAAATATTGGTGATAGTTTGACTGACACGGTTTATCGTCTGTGGCGATAGGGTGGTCTGCTGTTCAAGTGTGTCGTCGAAAACACGTCGCTGTGCTTTGCTAGTTGCCACTTGGCTGCACACCAAGATCAAAAGTTCCTTGACAAACGCAACGCTGATGTATGCTCTATCTGCTACTAGATAGTTAGTTGAGCGTATTTCCCATCGTGCTCACCGTGGGTTGTTGTGGTCTTTGCTGTGTTTAGTGCGCTACCATTCTTGGCGCGCAGTTTGGTCAAAAGAACGTGTCGATCGACCACCAGTTTGACCACTGCTTCTGGTTCGGTGACCTCAACTACCGCTTGGACATGAACTACACGGCCCCACGCCAACGCAACCATGAGAAACACTGCGCCGAGGTCATGGCGCTTGTGCGTGCCAAGAAATGGGCGGTGTTGAACCAGAACGACCAACTCAAGCACCAGATCGATCTCAAGAAGGCGCTCACTGGGTGGGAACTGCCACCGGCGCTCTTCCCTCCAACATTCAAGCGAGTGCGACACAGTCTTGACGAGTACTTGGTGCGTTTTGGATGCCCCTGACTTGATCTTCGGCGCACTTTATCTCACTTGTCGTGCATTTTGTAGTTGGAGCGTATTCCGTCCTACTGCGACCGCGTCTTATACAAGTCGCTGCCAGGGTTGCGTGGCAACATTAAGTTGCAACGCTTTTCGTGCTATGAGGCAATTGCAACCAGTGATCACAAACCAGTGGCGGCTTCGTTTCAAGTGGGTCGGACGCCGCCCATTAGCTCTGGCACGGCGGAAACGACCACGCTTGTCGAAATCATCGAACTCGCGGGGAAAGACCTCCTGGGGCTTGACTTGGCGGGGCTCAGTGACCCCTACGTCAAGTTTTACTCGACACCAAGCAACGCGGTGCAAGTAGACTCGAACGGGAGCCACCCAAGCACGTCCACGATCTCAAACACGTGCTCACCAAGGTAAGTTTGTTTATTTATTTTCTGGATTATGATCATCAGCTTGACTCATATTCGGCTATGTGCACGTTTGTGTCAAGGTGGCGAGACGACCAGGTTCCCAAACTGCACGTGTTGTGTGACAATGAACGCGACGTGAAGCACGTCCACTTGACCTTGGTCGTTATGGACTACGACGCCACCTCGAAGGACGACCTGATGGGTAAGTTGGCATTTGAGTAGAACTTCGGTGTCGGAGACTGATCAATGTTCTTGGCTTGGTTAGGTGTTGCGTCGGTGTCGCTAGAGAAGTTTTGCCTGAACCGACCACGCTTTCTGCCATTCGAGGTGCCTGTTGTGCTGCATGGTAAGGCCGCAGGCACCCTCACCGGCAAGATCCGCGTCACACTTCCGCATCAGGCCGCGCCACCTGGAGAGGAAGATGGACCGCAATTGATTCGAGTGGCGGGTTGCCACTGCACAGTCTCGTAGGCCGCAAGAACCTCGAAAGCAGAAGAAGTAGACCTATGGCACTCATTAACAAACCAATGTTGAAGGACATACGCTTCTAGTTACACAGCAAGAAGCGAGTATGGCCCGTTGCGACTGACTTCTTGGTGTGTATCTCGCGCTCTCGTTCCTAACGTTGCTCACTCATGTTCATAGTTTGCAACAACCTCGAACCGTAGCAGGCCGTGGTCCTCGAAGAGCTTCTCTAGCCGCATACGGGCCTGTCCAAGGATGAAAACCGCACCGACGAGTCGACTTCCACGTGCCACGATGCCGCGGTAGAACCTCCGCACTCCTCCTTCGCGGTACATGCGCCTAGCAGTGGCGAGCATGTTGGGTCCGCGGCCTGGCGGCAGCTTCATGGCCTCGCCTTGCATGACTGTTTTGATAGTATCCACTGGCTGCGTCAATGGAACCACGGTGAGTCCAGCGACCAGAGAGCCCGCAATGGAGGCCGATGCCTTTTGCGACGCAGTGGCTGTGTCGTAGTGGCCGAATGTCTCGGGTCTCAAGCGGTGCACCTCGCGCGTGAACAGCGGACCCAGCGCCAAGTATCCGGCGCACCACACTGCGTCACGCACAGCAGTGGCCGGGTATCCCCGCATGAGTCTCGTCACTCCGTGGGTCTCCAGTACCGCCTTCACGGTTGCTCCAATGCTGCGTCCGTTGATCTGCTGCAGTGTCATGACGAGTTCGGCGGGGCTCGTGATGGCCGCCGCGGTGGCCCCGGAGATCGTGCTGCAGAGCACCTTGGTCTGGGCCGTCGGAGCCGAGTCCGTCCCGTTAAGCACCCGTAGCAGTCGTCCGTTGATGGCGAAGCGAATGGCGCTCACCGGCGCAATGGAGGACAAGGATACGCCCAGACCGCGGTAGAGCGCCGGAATCGAGCGGGGAACGGGGCGGCCCTGCTGCACCGCGTTCTTGACGGCTACCCAGGGCTGTTGGATGGTCATCTCGATCATGCCGGCCAGGGACCCAACGGCTCCGTTCTGCAGCGCCGTGAGGCGCTGGGCACGCTCCGTCATGTTGCTGTCGGATCGGATAGGCGAGTGATAATACCAAGGTGAGCTGCTGCTACATGTTTGCGTAGGTCGTTGTACCGACGCGGCCAGCGAATCGCTGACCTTCAATGGTCATCGTCAGCAAAAATTCCCTTCGGCTAGTGTAGCTGTTGGCGACTAGTGAAGCCATTTACAGCGGAGACTCTGGACAGAAGACTGCTAGACTGCGCCGCGGCAATGGAATCGTGTTGAAATGCTCATGCTCGGCTTGCAGTGGGTGACTATCGGTTGAAGCGAGCTCTACACATGCGGCGCAGAGTATCTGTCTACCAGGTGATCTAGAACTTGAGCAGCGCGTGCTCCTCGAAGAGCTCCTCGAGCCAGATACGCGACTGCCCCAGGATGAAGACGGCACCGACCAAGCGGCATCCTCTCGGCACGATGCCGCGGTAGAAGCGCGGCAAGCCCCCTTCGCGGTAGATGCGGGCAGCAGTGGCGAGGGTACTGGGTGCGCGACCCGAGGGCAGCGTCATGGCCTCGCCCTGCATCACGGTCTTGACGGTGTCCACGGGCTGCGTAGCCGCCACCGTCATAAGCCCGGCCGTGACGCAGCCGGCGATGGAGGCCGAGGCCTTCTGCGACTTGGTGGCAGTGTCCGCGCGGCCGAAGGTGGCCGGGCTCAGCGTGTGCATCTCGCGCGTGAACACCGGGCCCAGCGCCAGGTACCCAGCGCACCACACGGCGTCTCGCACCGCCGTTGCCGTGAAGCCGCGCATCAGCCGCACCACGCCGTGCTCTTGGGCGATCTCCTTGACGGTGGCGCCGAAGCTCTTGCCGTTGTTCTGCTGCAGAGTCATCACAAGCTCCGCGGGGGCGCTGAGCACGGCCGACGCGACGCCTGACAGTGTTCCGCACAGCACCTTGGTCTGGTCCGACGGTGCCGTCCCCGGGGCAGTCAAGGCGCGCAGCAAGCGGCCGTTGACGGAGAACTGGATGGCGCTCACGGGCGCGATGGAGGCCAGCGAGACACCCACGCCGCGGTAGAGCGCCGGCACGGACCACGGGATGGGGCGGCCTTGCTGCACGGCGTTCTTGATGGCCACGGTCGGCTGCTGCAGCATCACCTCGATCATGCCGGCGATGGAGCCCACGGCGCCATTCTGGAGGCCTGAGAGCCGCTCCGCCCGCTCCGACATCGCCTCAGCTCAGGTACTGCGTGCTTGGAAACGGTTTGGCAACTGGAGATGGGGCGCGGACGGCGGATGAGGCATCTGATTGGCTGGAGGTCATCAAGCGGATTATACGCCGGCGAGACCAGCTTCGGCCGCGGTGTGGCGCATTGTCAGAGCATCGTGGAGCTCCGTGTCTTGGCGTTGCTGCCGTGCGAAAGAAACTACCTAATTCGTTGCGCTAACCGGCAGATTCGCAGCATTCCGTGGGGACTTTGCAGGGAGGGATAGGTAGGCATTTATCCGTGTTCCCTTATGGATATGAACACGGTTCACAAAGTGTATTACGGCCACGTCAATGGCATTGACTGCGAGCACCTCAGCAACTGGAGGACGCAGTTGTCATGGAAGAAGGCACTTCAACTTCAGTGTAGAAACGTAATTTCTTCATCCAAAGAGGCTATGGCACCACCATTAAAAAGTCAAAAGGGGCTATAATTGCAGTACTTAAGGCTAAAAATGAAATATATAAACGTAACTACAATTGATTGTACGTAAGGGTACTAATTCTACATTAGCTACACACGCGGTATGTTAATTAAAATCATACCTTCTCGGCCTTTGGCTAAGATCAAGTGTAGTATCTGTTCTAATCAGTGTGAAAACTGGTTTCCCTGCTTTTGGTGGGGTCTTTTTCACATTTATTTTTGGAACTGCTGCTTTCGGTTAGCTTGCTAGCCAATCGCGGTACGGTCTCCGGGGGCTTTCACCTATCCCTCGTGAGGCCAACTACTACACTTATCTTTTCTATCCAACTACCTTTTTCGGCCCTTCACCACCGCATCGGCGCATGCGCTTCTGGTGGCCGGACTGGCAGCCCCGGGAGCGCTCGCCGTCCACCGACAGCGAGTGCTCCACGGCCAGCCACTCCAGCCTCGCCAGCGACGCGTCTTTCTATAGCGCGGCCAGCGACGGGGCTGGGGCGGCTGAGCTGGCGGACGTCCGGGCGGGGGCGGATCCGCTAGGGCTTCGGTTACGCATTGGGGATCCGCCCGCCCCCGTTTTGGGCTCGGCCGGAGCCGAAAATGGCCCCGGCGACCCTCCACGCGCGGCGCCGCTGCTCGGCACCGGCGAGGAGTTGGCCGGCGCAACTTCGGGCACGGGTCCGCGACCCGCTGCGCCCATTGCGCCCATTGCGGGACCGCGGGCCGGGCCCTCTGGCGGCCAAGCCGAGGCCCGGTCCGCCGCTTCAACCTCGCGTCGCTTCGCGGCGACGGCGAGCGGACGCGGGCCCGCGGACCGTCCGCCGGGCGGGACCGGGCCCCGTCCACCTGGCCTCACTATGCCAGGATCCCGGGCCTCTCGTGCGCCGCGCGGCACGGAGTACACGGCCGAAGAACACGGCCTCGAGCATGCGGCGCTTCGGCGAGGCGCGCGGAGCGACGGCTCCTGCGCAGCCCCCACGCCTGCTACGGACCCCCACGCGCGCCGGTTGGCTGCCCAAGACCCCCCGCCAGCCCCTCCAGCGCGCGGCGCCGCCGCAGGACCCCCCAGCGAATTGGCAGGACCCGGCAGGGCGGCCGGCAGGCTGCCCGATTGGGTAGCGCCTGGGGCGGCGCTCGCAGCGGCTACGGCGCGGGCCCTGGCGGTCCGCCACGGGCCCAGCGACCTGGACGACGACAGCAGCGAGGACGACGACGGCCTCGCCGGCCCTGCCGCCGCCGGCAGCGGCCCCCAAGACCCCAGCAGTGTGTTGCCCCGACCCGGCAGGGCGGGCGGCATGCTGCCCGCTGGGAGAGCGCTCGCAGCCCCGCCGGCTCGCGCTCCCGCGGCTACCCCCACGGCCCCCCAGCACCTCGACGACCCCGGCGCCGGCCCAGACGCCGCGGCCGGCCACGCCGCCGCCGCATGCAGCCCCCAAGACCCCGCCGATGATGCTGGCCGACCCGGCAGGGCGGCCGGCAGGCTGCCCGTCGGTAGAGCGCCCGCAGCCGCCACAGCGCACGCTCCCACGGGCAGCCAGGGCCCCGACGACCTCCGCCGCGCCCAGGACGACGACGGCGACGACGCGGACGGCCAAGACGACCCCGCCGCCGCCGCCAAGCTCCGCCCGGACCCTGCGAGTGTGTTGCCCCGGCCCGGCAGGGCGGGCGGCATGCTCGCCGACATGCCAACGCCTGGAGCCGCGCCGGCTGCGACTGCTGCAGCTATTGCTGAGGCGGCAGTTGCAGCTGACGCTGCGGCTCGGGCTGCCGACCAAGTCGCCGCGCAGGAGCCGGTGCAGACGACGTACGCACACAGCGCCACCGAGTTCAAGTGCAGCGTGTGTGCGTACGTCGCAGGCAACTTGGCTACGCTCGTCGCCCACCGCAGATCGGCGCACCGCGGCACCCGCTTCTCCGACATCTTCGACAGCGGGTGCGCGTGCAGCCTCGTGTTCCACTCGCGGATGGCGGCGACGAGCCATGCCCTCGCCTGCGCACAGCGCGCCTCGCAGGCGGCGCCTTCCCCCGCAGAGCCCATGGACGTTGACCAAGGCCGCGTCCGGCCCAGGCAGCGCCGCCCATCGCCTCGCCGGCCCAGCGAGCGACGCCCGGACGGCAAGCGCCGCCGCCTCAACAGCGACGACGACGCCGACGCCCAGAAGCCGGCCGAGCACCTGCAGCTCGTGGACGAGGACGGAGCCGAGAACCAAACCCCGGTGCACACGCCACCAGCAGCAAGCGCCCGCCAAGCTCCCGTCCTCGCCGTGTACGTGCACAACGCGGAGCGCTTCACGTGCACGCTGTGCACGTTCACGGCAGCCAGCTTCAGCTCCCTGCAGAGGCATCGGACCACTCGGCACCGACGCGCAGTCTTCCAGGACAAGTTTCTGGCGGGCTGCGCGTGCGGCACCCCCTTTGCGTCGCGGCCAGCGGCAGCTAAGCACGCGCAAGCGTGCGCCGGCCGTTCGACTGCACCTCCGGCTACGGCTCCGCCAGTGGCAGGGACATCAAGCCCCACCGCTGCCGCAGCCAACGCCACCGTCGCGGCGGCCACTGTCACGCCCGACTCGCCCCAACCAGCAACCCCGGAGCTCGCAGCGTCCCCCCCGCTTGCGAGCCCCACTCATCCCGAAGTTGAAGTTGTTGAAGTGCAGGAGCAGCCGAGCCATGGACGATGGGGGCCAGCGCTACCTCGAGCTCTGGTCGCTGACCGTGTCGCCGCGCGCCTTGGTGCCATTCCAGCACCACGCTGGGAACCTCCGCTGCCCCGAGAGCTGGTGGCCACCCGCATAGCTGCGCGTCTCGGTGAGGTTCCAGCGCCTCGCTGGGGCCCACCGCTGCCGCGCCGCATGGTGGCGTCTCGGATCGCCGCTCGCCTGCTCCCACCAGAGCCGACGGCTGCCGGCGAGACCAAGGAGGACAACCCGGCGGCCGCACCCGACCGGACGGCGACAGCGGCGGCGATGGACGTGGACAGCGGCACCGCCGGAGAGTGGCTGCTGCGCTTCGACGGCGCCTGCCGCGCCAACCCAGGACCCGGCGGAGCTGGTGCAGCGCTGTTCAAGCCCGACGGCTCCGTGGTGTGGACGTGCTCCCACTACATGCCGAGCAGCAGCGAAACGAACAACACTGCCGAGTACTCGGCGCTGCTGCTCGGGTCGAGAGCCGCTGCCGACCACGGAGCGACGTCGCTGCGGGTGGAAGGCGACAGCACCCTTGTGATCCAGCAGGTGCGCGGCATCTTCGCGGCGAGGAACGCCGTTCTACGCCGCCTCCGCGACCACGTCAAGGTAGAGCTCGCGCGGGTGGGGAGCTTCTCACTCCACCACATCGACCGCCAAGCGAATGCCCATGCCGACCGCCTGGCCAATCGAGCCCTCGACCTCCGCCGGACGATGATGGAGTGCGGCGCTCACACGGCAGGCGACGGCTGTACGAACACGACGCTGGACCCTATGCCCGTGCTGCCGCCCCAGCCGACACCCCGCGCTCCGCCCCCGACACCCGCGGCCGACACCAACATCGAGATGCAGGAGCCGGAGGACGAGGATCTCGCCGACATCGACGACGGCGAGGTCTATGCAGCCATGCGCATCGGGCCGGACGCAGTTCCGCAGCGTCGACCCCGCCTCCGACTACGCCAGCTCACCGAAGCTGAGGACGACGCTGCCCGCGAGATGGTGGAGCGGCTTGGCGCGACGCTGGCGGCCAAGATCACTGACGCCAGTGACTGGGAGTCGGCGGAGGGCTACATCACAGCCCTCCCGCACCTCCTGTACGACAAATTGCAGCCGTACTCCCAGGCCCAGCGACGCCCCGAGCCGCGTCCCCAGCGTCAGCGACAGCAGCACCAAGGCAGCCAATGCCCGCGGCAGCAGCGGCAACAAGGCGAACAGCGACGGCAGCGCCCGCTGCACGACCAAGGGCAGGACCGCCGCAGCCTGGAAGGCGATGCACATGGCGACAACGAGCGCGATGGCGACGCCAGTCAGCAGGACTCGGCGCGACGGAGGCAGTGCAGGCGCCGCGGGCGCTCTGGTGCAGCGAAGCGGCGACGTCGCCGCCGCCCGCCGCGGGTGACTCGACACCACCGCGAGCACCGCCTCGACGAGGCCTTGGACGACCTCCACGCCGTGGAGCAGGCTTCGCCCGGAGACCGCACGGCTGTTCGCCGAGCCCGCCGCCGCGTCGGCCGCGTCAACTCGGCCATCGACCAACAGCACCTGCGTCACCGGTTCGACACGGACGAGAAAGCCTGCGTCGAAGACATCCTGGCCAAGGCACGCGCGCAGCAGGAGACGCCAAGGACAGCGGCCTCCAGCGCCGGCACCGCATCGGACCTAGCGGCGCCAGCGGCAGGCGCCACAGACGACGGTACCTGCCCCATTCCGGGCGATGAGCTCTGGCGGTACTTCGACGGCGTCAACACACCCAGCCAGGAGTTCGCTCCGGACGCCCCGGCGGGTGCTGCCTTCCGCTCCGCTATGACCCACCTGCCTGCCGCGTCGAGGTTCAGGGAGCTGCTCACGGAGGCGCCGACACAGGACGATATCGAGTCACAGCTGCAGCACGCCCACGGCACCTCCAGCCCCGGCCTCGATGGCGTCGGCTATGACGTGTACCAGCACTTCGCCGCGCAGCTCCTGCCCGTGCTCGCCACCGCCTTCCAGAAGTGCTGGGAGGCGAAACGTGTGCCCCAGAGCTGGAAGCTCGGGGTGGTGCGGCTGCTGCACAAGAAGGGCGCGCGCGAGGACCCGGCGAACTGGAGGCCCATTTGCCTCCAGCAAGCCATCTACAAGCTCTACACGGGGGTCCTCGCGCGGCGGCTGGTACGGTGGCTGGACGCGAACGACCGCCACGCCCCGGGGCAGAAGGGCTTCCGAGCGGTCAACGGCTGCGGGGAGCACAACTTCCTCGCGGCCACGCTCGTCGACCAGGCCCGCCGCAAGCGCCGCCAGCTCTACGAAGTCTGGTACGACTTCCGCAACGCGTTCGGCAGCGTGCCGTTCGCGCTGCTATGGGATGCACTCGCGCGGCTCGGCGTCCCCGAGGACTACGTCACCATGTGCAAGGGGCTCTACGAGAGCGCGGCGTTCGTCGTCGGGAACGCCGCCGACGGCACAACGGCCCCGATCTCGCTGCGGGTGGGAGTCTTCCAAGGCTGCCCGCTCAGCCCACAGCTCTTCAACGCTGCCATCAGCCCGCTGCTCTTCGCGCTGAAGCGACTGCCGGCCACGGGAGTGCCGCTGTCGGGCGATGACTGCCCCGGTGCCTCGGCGTACGCCGACGACCTCAAGATCTTCAGCGGCACCGAGGACGGCATCAAGCGACAGCACGCGCTCGTGGCCGACTTCCTCCGCTGGACCGGCATGGCGGCCAACCCCAGCAAATGCTCCGCCATGTCGATCCAGCGCGACCGCCGCGGCGTGCTCAAGGCGGACGACCTCAAGCTGGAGCTGGACGGGTCGCCGATCCCCGCGCTGTCCATGAGCGCCTCGTACACCTACCTGGGGGTCGGCGACGGCTTCGACCACACACGCCGCCGCGTCGAGCTCGCGCCCACGCTCAAGCAGCTGAAGGATGACGCGACAGCGCTGCTCCAGTCGGGCCTCGCACCGTGGCAGGTGGTGAAGGCGGTGAAGACGTACCTCTACCCTCGGGTGGAGTACGCGCTTCGCCACCTCCGCCCCTTCCAGCAGCAGCTTGCGGGCTTCGACCGGCACCTCGCGCGAGGCCTCCGCCATCTCCTGCGACTGCCAGCCTCCGCCACAGCGCAGTGCTTCTACGCACCGGTGTCGCGCGGCGGACTGGGCCTACTGCCGCTGACGGAACTGCACGCGGCGCTGCAAGTCGCGCATGGGTGGCAGATGCTGAACTCCAAGGACCCTGCCATCCAGCGCATCGCGCGCGTGCAGCTCCGGCAGATCGCCGACGCGCGCCACCGGCTGGACACTCAAGCGTGGGCGGGCCGCGAGGAGGAGCTGTGCGAGCTGCTGCTCAACTCGCAGCTCGGGACGTCGCCCGACGCGCCGCCAAAGCGCCGCAACGGCGACATCGGCTCGCTCTGGGTCGACGTCCAGCGCCACCTCCGCACGCTCGGCCTCCAGTTCGCGACCGCGCCGGCGTGCGCCGACACCGGCACGGCCGCGGCCACGCTGCAGCTTCGCGTGCCGCACCACGACAAGTGGCTCGACCACCGCACGGTCCTGCGGCACGTGAAGCTGCACATCAAGCACAGACACTGGACCAAGTGGGCGGCCATGCGCGACCAAGGCAGAACGGCACGCGCGCACGGCGGCGTCGGCAGCAGCTTCCTCACGCGGCCGCGAGGCATGTGGGAAGCTGACTATCGCTTCGCGGTGGCCGCCCGCTTGAACCAGCTCGACACGCACAGTGTGCTCAAGCGCCGGCGCCTCCGGGCCCACGACCGATGCAGGCAGCCGGGCTGCTCCCGGGTGGAGACGCTGGCGCATGTGCTCAACCACTGCCCGGGCACCATGGATGCGGTCCGCGGCCGCCACGACGACGCACTCAAGACCATCGAGCGTGCGCTCATCGCGTCGTCGTCGGGCGACCGGCAGGACCGCGTTGAGCTCCGGGTTAACCAGACCGTGCCCTCGCTCGCTGGCCCCGCGCTACGGCCCGACCTCCAGCTGTACAACCACACCAAGAAGACGGTGGCGGTGGTCGACCTGGCCGTGGCGTTCGAGGAGCAGGCGGGCGAGGACCCGGACAGCTCAGCGCTGGCCCGCATCGCCGCACACAAGCGCGCCAAGTACGACCGCATCAAGCGCCACCTCGAGCGCCAAGGGTGGAAGGTGCACCTCTCGGCGCTCGTTTACGGCTCGCTTGGTGCGGTCGCCGGTGGCAACCGCTCGGTTTACACCGAGCACCTGGGGCTGCTCAAGCGAGATGCGAAGCGGCTGGACTGGCAGCTATCTGCCGCGTGCATACAGTCCAGCCGCCGCATCTGGAACCTGCATTGCAGCCAGCACCGCGCCCGCCAGCACACACAGCGCCCCAGCCAAGACACCAGGGGCAGTCGGGTGACGGAGACCGGGGGGACTCCGTCGCGCTCCGGCCGCCGCTAGACGGCAACCAGGCCCATTGCGGCCGACAGGGCCACACCCATGTAGGGAACCGCCCTAGGAAACCCTGCACCGGCTCACATGGTCCGACCCCCCGATTGGTTCAACCCGTACACCAACTACACACCAATTAGGGACTCCCAGGTAGTCACTACCAGGACGCAACGGACTAACCGGCAGGTAATACATTAACCCCTTCTGTTCTAATCAGTGTGAAAACTGGTTTCCCTGCTTTTGGTGGGGTCTTTTTCACATTTATTTTTGGAACTGCTGCTTTCGGTTAGCTTGCTAGCCAATCGCGGTACGGTCTCCGGGGGCTTTCACCTATCCCTCGTGAGGCCAACTACTACACTTATCTTTTCTATCCAACTACCTTTTTCGGCCCTTCACCACCGCATCGGCGCATGCGCTTCTGGTGGCCGGACTGGCAGCCCCGGGAGCGCTCGCCGTCCACCGACAGCGAGTGCTCCACGGCCAGCCACTCCAGCCTCGCCAGCGACGCGTCTTTCTATAGCGCGGCCAGCGACGGGGCTGGGGCGGCTGAGCTGGCGGACGTCCGGGCGGGGGCGGATCCGCTAGGGCTTCGGTTACGCATTGGGGATCCGCCCGCCCCCGTTTTGGGCTCGGCCGGAGCCGAAAATGGCCCCGGCGACCCTCCACGCGCGGCACCGCTGCTCGGCACCGGCGAGGAGTTGGCCGGCGCAACTTCGGGCACGGGTCCGCGACCCGCTGCGCCCATTGCGCCCATTGCGGGACCGCGGGCCGGGCCCTCTGGCGGCCAAGCCGAGGCCCGGTCCGCCGCTTCAACCTCGCGTCGCTTCGCGGCGACGGCGAGCGGACGCGGGCCCGCGGACCGTCCGCCGGGCGGGACCGGGCCCCGTCCACTTGGCCCCACTATGCCAGGATCCCGGGCCTCTCGTGCGCCGCGCGGCACGGAGTACACGGCCGAAGAACACGGCCTCGAGCATGCGGCGCTTCGGCGAGGCGCGCGGAGCGACGGCTCCTGCGCAGCCCCCACGCCTGCTACGGACCCCCCCGCGCGCCGGTTGGCTGCCCAAGACCCCCCGCCAGCCCCTCCAGCGCGCGGCGCCGCCGCAGGACCCCCCAGCGAATTGGCAGGACCCGGCAGGGCGGCCGGCAGGCTGCCCGATTGGGTAGCGCCTGGGGCGGCGCTCGCAGCGGCTACGGCGCGGGCCCTGGCGGCCTGCCAGCGGCCCAGCAGCCCGGACGACGACAGCAGCAGCGACGAGGAAGCCTCGGACGGCCCTGCCGCCGCCGGCAGCGGCCCCCAAGACCCCAGCAGTGTGTTGCCCCGACCCGGCAGGGCGGGCGGCATGCTGCCCGCTGGGAGAGCGCTCGCAGCCCCGCCGGCTCGCGCTCCCGCGGCTACCCCCACGGCCCCCCAGCACCTCGACGACCCCGGCGCCGGCCCAGCCGCCGCGGCCGGCCACGCCGCCGCCGCATGCAGCCCCCAAGACCCCGCCGATGATGCTGGCCGACCCGGCAGGGCGGCCGGCAGGCTGCCCGTCGGTAGAGCGCCCGCAGCCGCCACGGCGCACGCTCCCACGGGCAGCCAGGGCCCCGACGACCTCCGCCGCGCCCAGGACGACGACGGCGACGACGAGGACGGCCAAGACGACCCCGCCGCCGCCGCCAAGCCCCGCCCGGACCCTGCGAGTGTGTTGCCCCGGCCCGGCAGGGCGGGCGGCATGCTCGCCGACATGCCAACGCCTGGAGCCGCGCCGGCTGCGACTGCTGCAGCTATTGCTGAGGCGGCAGTTGCACCTGACGCTGCGGCTCGGGCTGCCGACCAAGTCGCCGCGCAGGAGCCGGTGCAGACGACGTACGCACACAGCGCCACCGAGTTCAAGTGCAGCGTGTGTGCGTACGTCGCAGGCAACTTGGCTACGCTCGTCGCCCACCGCAGATCGGCGCACCGCGGCACCCGCTTCTCCGACATCTTCGACAGCGGGTGCGCGTGCAGCCTCGTGTTCCACTCGCGGATGGCGGCGACGAGCCATGCCCTCGCCTGCGCACAGCGCGCCTCGCAGGCGGCGCCTTCCCCCGCAGAGCCCATGGACGTTGACCAAGGCCGCGTCCGGCCCAGGCAGCGCCGCCCATCGCCTCGCCGGCCCAGCGAGCGACGCCCGGACGGCAAGCGCCGCCGCCTCAACAGCGACGACGACGCCGACGCCCAGAAGCCGGCCGAGCACCTGCAGCTCGTGGACGAGGACGGAGCCGAGAACCAAACCCCGGCGCACACGCCACCAGCAGCAAGCGCCCGCCAAGCTCCCGTCCTCGCCGTGTACGTGCACAACGCGGAGCGCTTCACGTGCACGCTGTGCACGTTCACGGCAGCCAGCTTCAGCTTCCTGCAGAGGCATCGGACCACTCGGCACCGGCGCGCAGTCTTCCAGGACAAGTTTCTGGCGGGCTGCGCGTGCGGCACCCCCTTTGCGTCGCGGCCAGCGGCAGCTAAACACGCGCAAGCGTGCGCCGGCCGTTCGACTGCACTTCCGGCTACGGCTCCGCCAGTGGCAGGGACATCAAGCCCCACCGCTGCCGCAGCCAACGCCACCGTCGCGACGGCCACTGTCACGCCCGACTCGCCCCAACCAGCAACCCCGGAGCTCGCAGCGTCCCCCCCGCTTGCGAGCCCCACTCATCCCGAAGTTGAAGTTGTTGAAGTGCAGGAGCAGCCGAGCCATGGACGATGGGGGCCAGCGCTACCCCGAGCTCTGGTCGCTGAACGTGTCGCCGCGCGCCTTGGTGCCATTCCAGCACCACGCTGGGAACCTCCGCTGCCCCGAGAGCTGGTGGCCACCCGCATAGCTGCGCGTCTCGGTGAGGTTCCAGCGCCTCGCTGGGGCCCACCGCTGCCGCGCCGCATGGTGGCGTCTCGGATCGCCGCTCGCCTGCTCCCACCAGAGTCGACGGCTGCCGGCGAGACCAAGGAGGACAACCCGGCGGCCGCACCCGACCGGACGGCGACAGCGGCGGCGATGGACGTGGACAGCGGCACCGCCGGAGAGTGGCTGCTGCGCTTCGACGGCGCCTGCCGCGCCAACCCAGGACCCGGCGGAGCTGGTGCAGCGCTGTTCAAGCCCGACGGCTCCGTGGTGTGGACGTGCTCCCACTACATGCCGAGCAGCAGCGAAACGAACAACACTGCCGAGTACTCGGCGCTGCTGCTCGGGTCGAGAGCCGCTGCCGACCACGGAGCGACGTCGCTGCGGGTGGAAGGCGACAGCACCCTTGTGATCCAGCAGGTGCGCGGCATCTTCGCGGCGAGGAACGCCGTTCTACGCCGCCTCCGCGACCAAGTCAAGGTAGAGCTCGCGCGGGTGGGGAGCTTCTCACTCCACCACATCGACCGCCAAGCGAATGCCCATGCCGACCGCCTGGCCAACCGAGCCCTCGACCTCCGCCGGACGATGATGGAGTGCGGCGCTCACACGGCAGGCGACGGCTGTACGAACACGACGCTGGACCCTATGCCCGTGCTGCCGCCCCAGCCGACACCCCGCGCTCCGCCCCCGACACCCGCGGCCGACACCAACATCGAGATGCAGGAGCCGGAGGACGAGGATCTCGCCGACATCGACGACGGCGAGGTCTATGCAGCCATGCGCATCGGGCCGGACGCAGTTCCGCAGCGTCGACCCCGCCTCCGACTACGCCAGCTCACCGAAGCCGAGGACGACGCTGCCCGCGAGATGGTGGAGCGGCTTGGCGCGACGCTGGCGGCCAAGATCACTGACGCCAGTGACTGGGAGTCGGCGGAGGGCTACATCACAGCCCTCCCGCACCTCCTGTACGACAAATTGCAGCCGTACTCCCAGGCCCAGCGACGCCCCGAGCCGCGTCCCCAGCGTCAGCGACAGCAGCGGCAACAAGGCGAACAGCGACGGCAGCGCCCGCTGCACGACCAAGGGCAGGACCGCCGCAGCCTGGAAGGCGATGCACATGAAGACAACGAGCGCGATGGCGACGCCAGTCAGCAGGACTCGGCGCGACGGAGGCAGTGCAGGCGCCGCGGGCGCTCTGGTGCAGCGAAGCGGCGACGTCGCCGCCGCCCGCCGCGGGTGACTCGACACCACCGCGAGCACCGCCTCGACGAGGCCCTGGACGATCTCCACGCCGTGGAGCAGGCTTCGCCCGGAGACCGCACGGCTGTTCGCCGAGCCCGCCGCCGCGTCGGCCGCGTCAACTCGGCCATCGACCAACAGCACCTGCGTCACCGGTTCGACACGGACGAGAAAGCCTGCGTC